ACCTCAGCAATCTTAGAAGGGTTACTAAGAACAGAGGAAGCATAATCATGGATAAAAAGGGCTAAAAAAGTTCACTAATTCTTAAAGAATAAAGCATGAATACCATCTAGACTAAGGGATTTCAAATTTTCTATACTATACAAAGATGATTTTATTTCTTCCATAATGAGGTCAGCATTTAAAACAACCAATTTAGACTCTTTCAGGAAGGGAAAAGAAGAGATAGTGTTAAGGGAAGGGCTATTAGGGTAGGGGTCAAAGTATGTATTTTTAAAGTACTAAACAACAAGGGCTAAAAGTTTCTTGGGGTCATATTCCCAATCGCCCAAATCATCTTTAAGGGTTTCAATACGATTTTTTTGCCTACGAATAATAATAGTTCTATGAAAAAAAATTATTGTTTCTATCACCTAGCTTAAGCCAATTGGATTTATAGTGATAGAACTAGAACAATTCCTTTTGGTTTTTTTTTATAATCATTCTATAAAGATTTCATAAGATTATTTAGGAAGAAGTTTTCCTTTGAGGACAACTTGCAGGATATACCCGTAATTGTATTTAGTAAATGCCTCTTTCTTTTAAAAATGTTACCAAAGGTATTTATGTTTCAATCAGAATTTTTTTTTTTAAATATTCTATATTATCATTCCAAGATCTAGAAAATAACCAAGAGTTCTTTACTTGATTTGGCTAGAAATTTAAAGGATTTTTTTTATGAGAAACAAAACTATCCTTATTTCTAATTTTTAACTAGAGCTCATCATGGTCAGATTTTAAGAGAGGAAGGTGAATCAGAAGGCTATTATGGAATAACTTTCTCCAAGAGTCATTTGCAACAACTCTATCAATCATTTCCCTAATACTGCCTTTATGCCAAGTGAAATGGTCAACTTTAAAACCTATATCCTGTAAACCACAAAAATTCAGAGAATCAATAAACTACTGGATAAGGTTCATGTTAGCAATTCTATCGCTAGCTTTTTTATGTTGATAAAGGACAGAGTTGAAGTTCCCAGCTAGACACTAGAGCTTCTTAATAGAAGAGTTGAATTCAGTTAATGGCTTCTAGCACTCAGCTCTCAAGTTCTCTTGGAAGCTAGCATAGATAGATGATAAGATCCAATTCCATTGCTCATTACTAATGTTCAGATGAATCATGTAATTATTTTTTGCTATAGTGCTGACCTTAAGTTTTCTGGTGTTCCAGTAACACTAAATCCCCCCCAGCAAACCCTTAAGCATCAACTTTAACAACACCATCAAGGTTAATTTTTTTAATGACAGAGTCAGCCTTCTCAGAATTGATTCTGGGCTCAAAAAGAGTAAAAATATAAATTGTGAATTCTAATTAAGTCATTAACTAGTATATGAAAAGTCTTGTTTCCAGCACCTCTACAATTCCAAAATAAGCAATTCAAGAACTAACTAGATAGAATTTTGAGCATCTTTAAGATATTGAGATAACTTATTGTGATTAACTCTAAAGGCAGGACAGTTTCAGTAGAATTAGATACTAGCCTATTAGTATTGTCAAGTTCCCAGGATAAATAAGTGTCTAAGAGTCTATTAGTAAGGGGAAGTTTCTAAAACTCTTCGTTATTCCACAAAATTTTAGAGTTGAGCCTATAAGATCATGTGTAGAAAGTCTTATTTTAGAATTTTTCTAGATAATATTTTGAAATTGTTTCATAAGCAAGAGAATTTTCGTGCTTTCTTCTCATCTAAAGGCTCCTAACTTACCTGTTTATTATTAGGGAATTCTAGTTTCTTAAGGATTAAAGATTCCTCAATACCTTTATCTATTTTCTCAATATTTGAGGAAGATTTGGCCTTAATTGATTTTTTGCTAGCCTCACTTAAATTGAAGCCATTAGGGACTTAGTACCGAATTTTTGTCTAGACTAGTCCTTAGGAATTCTAACTTATTATTAGGCTAAGGATAAGGGTTCTTCAAATTCTCATGATATGATTCATGACTCAAAAGTTGGTCAGACTTCCCTAGGATATCGAATCTAGACCTTACTGATGAGTCACTAACTCATCTAGAAAATTAAAGGTTTTAGGCATATTTTACTGAATTTAAATTATAAGTTAATGTAATTAATTGAGAAATTCAATGAAATATTGTATTTGCTGAAAAATTCATGAATCACTTATATTCTGATGGCTAACGATTTTATTTTTAAGGGATTAGAAAGAAATTTGCAATTGGACTTAAAAAGCTAAAGTTAAATGTTGCAGAACTCATTTGTGGGGACACGATGCTGACTGAGCATATAAAAATAAAAAAATTCTGAAAAGAAGCATCTTTTACTTTTCTGTCTTTTACGATTCTAGAGCGCAGAAACCTAGGTTTTTACATACAGTTTACGTAGAATATGGTAGCTATAATATATTTTTTACATCTTTGTTAGAGGATTCTTATGAGAACTTGGATTGCATCTCATTTTCTCTGGTTTATGTAATGGAACAGTAACTTTCTCATTTCATCTATTTGCTATAAGCGTTTTTGTAAACATGAATTCTGTTTCTGCAATATATTTCAGTTTTATATTACTTACTTTCATTATGTCTAGATAAATATCTATGGGTTGAGTAAGGATGAACTATACCTTTGCCCTTTACAATGAACTAACACTGAATATAGCTCAAGATACATGCTTTAATCTAACACATTGATTTTGAACTTAATACTTTTCTGTTTTACGTGAATCAGATTGATAAAAAAGGAGTTTATTGCTGGAAAGGAGTAAACTTTCTTGGAAAGGGATTAATTTGCTGATTATGAATTGTCTAGGAATAGAAATTTTTGATGATATGGTCAACGGATTTAATTCTTAATGCTGAATGTCTTTAGTTGTATCTAAAGAATTAAGATATTAATTTCATTTTAGAACCAATTAACAAGGAATTGGGGTTGAGTACTTTAGAAAACATGACCATTTAGATGAAGTTGTATTTTGAGTTATACATATACTTGCATGCAAAGGGAAAGGGATAAGGGATTCCAAACTCAACTTGTTTTAAATTGTTATCAGACTCAATCTCAGTAATCACAATATTTACATTATGCAGTTAGTTTACTTTGTGTTTCCAAATTTAGTTTATCATTCTGCGTATTATACAATTAAATTCCAGCATTTTAATTTAGTTTTTATAATTCTGCACTTAATTAAATTTTATTTTATTTTTACTTTGTTTTTGGTGACCCAACTAGTGTCATTCTTGTAATTTGGTATTTAGCATTAATTCCTGTGGACAATAATCTGTTGTTACTTTAATGATTTGGTGCACATGCCAAAAAGAAGTTTATGACCTACCTGGGGCTCCCTTTTCCTACCATAATTCCCAAAAATGCCATATGAGAGAGAGGAATTAGATCTTTTTCTAAGGGAGACTTTTTGCTGCATCCAGTGACCAAATTGATCCATTTCCTGACCAGAGCTACTGCCTTGCCCAGACATACACAAATATCTATTTACCTCATTCTTAATAGCATCACTTTCTTCATCTCTAGCAGTAATAAAACTCTTGATATTATCCTAAATCCCTTCTTTTTGACTTTGATGTATACAATAAGTACATAGTTCCTGCCTATATCCATATTTACCACAATCAAAACATATGAGATGCAATCTGTCATATTCAATCTTAAATTTATGCCCTAACACTTGAAAAGCAGGAATCAACTTCCTTCTTAAATCTAATTCTACAAAAATTCTAGCAAAATTTCCTCTTAAAATTAAGGATGTATGAGGATCAACTTTCAACATAGCTCCTAAATAGTTTCCTACTTGCCACAGAAACTTAGTATTATACAGTTCTAGGAGTAAATAAGGTATACAAACTCAAACAACGATCTTTTTTATATTATAATCTTTTGGTCTAAATAAGGGACATCATCTCTGAACTAAAAGATAGTGATATAAAATTAACCAAAGCCCTTCGAAAATGACAAGTTTATAATCATTAATATTTTCAAACTTAACTAGGAAAAAATCATTATTAACATCAAGAACTTTTAAAGCCCTTTTTTTCCCAATTATTAGCTAGTTTCTGGTTTAAATAACTATAGCTCGCTGATTTTTCTAGAAGTTTTACAATCAGAGCTAAGTTCCAAGGTGAGCACCAATCTTCATTATCCTCTATAGGGATCTTAATATCAGGGCATAAATCTTGAGAAATATAAAAAAATTTAGAGTTATCTTCAAACTCAGGACAAATATTAAAGTCTTCTAAGATAGATTTTAGGATTTCATCATCATTTAAAGTTAGATTTATGTCCTATGACTCTAGCACTTTATCTTTGTAAGTGCAAGAACTAGAAAAAAGAGTTTAAAAAACACTTGATTTGCTTGCAACTATTCAGTACACAAACCTTTCTACATGTGCCAAATTTTCTCTTCCATTGGATTCTCTAAGCCCATCTTGACCTTCTTTATGCTACGATTTATCAGATCTAGTACTTCTATATACTTTTTTTTAACTTCAGGATGTTTCATCCCCTCATATCCTCTAGAGCAAGTGAAGTACTAATTTTCTTTCTTTGCAAGCACTTTAGAAAAGTTTTTTACTTACTTAAAGTGTCACGACTCTCGTTGGATAACAAAGGAGAAAGACTTTAGCGACATCTTTGATGACTTTCAAAAAAGAAATATTAGAGTTTTTGAAACTTTTTGTGAACAAAATTAAATTTAAAAAAAAAAACTTTATTTTAAAAAAATATATGAAAAGTAAATTATTTATTTTTATTTTTTTTTCTCAAAGTTTATGAAAATACATATTTAACGTATAATATTTAAAAAGTAGAATGATATTTTTATTTTATTTCACTGTAACCCTTCAAATAATAATAATAAAGAATAGAACTTCTCATATAGATTAGAATCTATTAATGCACAAGTCTAACCGTTATAATATTTATTAAAAAAATTACTATATTTTTATGTAATAAATACTAATTTTGTTAATAAATATCTCTTTTATTCTCATTGAAGTGCCCAGTGGTACAGTGGGAGGGAAGCGCCGAAGACAAAAGAGGCGTCTTTCATTCATAAACCCCGACGGCCACCGTTAACTGTTTTTCCGGCGAGTACATCAACATGGCATCAACTTCTATCACGACTTTCTCCATCTACTCGCAATCCCAAACAAAGTTTTTCAATCTGCTTGGGCATCCATTGATTCACAGCTGCAACAAACGCACATCAATTTCGTTTCAGCCAGCTATAGCTCGCACTACCCTTTTCACAGTGTTCACTTGTTCCCACACTCCTTGCACATCCACTTCAAAATTTTCACCCGGAAGAAGTTTATCCAAGTTCCTCTCAGAAAAGATAGCATTTTTTCTCATTGGGTCGTTTATCTTCATGGGTTGCTTCAGCAGAAGAGTTGCCTTTGCAGAAACAGTGCCTTCTGTGGGTTCTGGTGCAGCGTTGGAGGAGAAGATGAAGCCAACTGAAGAGAAAAGCGAGGAGGAAGAAGAAGAAATGTGTGAGAAGATTTTGGAGAAGGATCCGAGAAACGTTGAAGCTCTGAAGGTGGTTTTGTATGGGAAAATTAGGAGAGGGAAATCGAAGGAGGCTTTGAAATTTGTGGAGGATTTGATTGCTGCGGAACCAAATCAGGTTGAGTGGAGACTTTTGCTGGCACTTTGTTATGAGACAATGGGGCGCTTCAGTACTGCTAAGAGATTGTTAAAGGAAATCTTACAGAAAAAACCTCTTCTTGTCCGAGCTCTGCATGTAATCTCTCTCTCTCTCTCTCTCTCTCCCCCTCTCTGATGGAATTTTGAATATTGCTGAAATGTTTCGATTTTGATTCTGATTAAGGTAGTTGGATAGATGGGAATGCCTTGTTTTGGTTACTCATATGCTGACATGACAGCAAACGTAGTTCTATTTGTGTTGTTTAAATCATAGGAGGGATTCTGATTGGTGTAAGCATGCTTATTGCCTGTGTATTGTCATGGTCCTGCACCTTCCAAGTTCTATTCTATTATTGTGTTTAAGTGTACCATTCATTTTCTTATTTGGTTGAGTTGTGAACATTGCATCAACTGAGTTTGTGTCTGCCTTGAAGTTCAAAGAGTTCTTGTAAGAAGTTTCTTGGTATTATTTCTGTACCATAAATTACATTGAGTTTTCAACCAGTAGCATTGTATTATCCATGTATTTGAGCTTACTTTGTGGGATAAGACGTTGTTGTTGAATTTTTTTGACTTGGACTTTTCATTTGTTGTATGCAATCTTTAGGTAGGTTTTTATTAGATTAGTTGGAAAATATGTCTTCATTCCAAGAGATGTGTTTCTTACTCAAGATTTAGCTTTGGAGGTGGTATGTTAGATGCTTCTTTGACAACAATTCTTGGCTGATAAATTAAAAGAGATATGGTTACTGTATTCATACTTTATCACAATTCCATATCATGCAATCAAGTTAACATGACACTTTCTTTGTTACATTTTTCAATTTATGACCTGAGATGAGCGACACTTTCATTTACAGAGTTTGGCTATGGTGATGCACAAGAACCATGAAGGTCCTGCTGTATTTGAAATGCTAAACAAGGCTCAAGAGCTAGCTTCCCGGGAAAACAGAGTTACCGAGGAGAGAAATATAAGAATCTTAATTGCACAAATGCATGTTGTACAGGTGAACTGTTGATCCATCAGCTCCCTCAGACAAGTTTCCTCTTCCTCTGCTTATCTACTACCAGTTTAGCATAAAGCATAAACAATATCTTTCTGGATTAATAATTCAATATGCATAGCATTTGTGTGCTTTGCAGGATAATTTGGAGGAGGGATTAAAAAGATTTCAAGATTTGATTGATGAAAATCCTCGAGATTTTAGGCCTTACCTTTGCCAGGTGAGTTTGTCAGCAGTCATGCACACCAGTTTAACGAATTGAGCATGCTATAGTACATAGTTAATTGATGGGACTTATTCTGAAATTAGGATAGCACCCTTGCACTTTCTGTAGAAAAAATTACTGTCTTGTCATGATATTGCAAAAATTTATGTCCATCTGGTTTCCTAACTTCAAATTTGCAATACTTTTGGTGAGCTCATTTACATATTAATCTGTTAAATTATAAAATAAATGACTTAGATCATATTAGCTGTCAAGTGGATCAAAACAAAAAAACATTGACTCGGTCCTCAAGTCAGTTTGGTTGAATATTTTGATCTTGGTCAAAAGTGGGCGAATTAAATTAAAGAAGAGAAAGGGGGTAAAAATAAAAAACAAAAACAAAATGTTAGCAAAATGGAAATATTTGACATCTTCTATTGAGTTGTAGTGTTATAGCCCTTAAATATTTTAAGGGGACAGCTTAGCAAAATCTAATACCATCATCACTTGATACGTTGTGTCATCTCAGCAAAGATGGTGGACAACTTAGCAAAATATAACAGTCATAGTATTTACAGATGATAAGGACCAATTTGTAGATTTTTTTTTTGTGTAGGGACCCAAATGTAAATTTGTTTCATATAGGGATTAAAAAACTGGTGTCGATTGTAGGAACTAAAATTTGAGGTAAATTCTACAGTGCTCTGTAAAATGAGAGATGATTTTATGCTCTCTTATACATAGAACAATTATGACAATTAATTTAATATCAATAGACAGTGGAGTTAGTAGTTTATTTGAAAAAGACAAACATTCTTGAATTTCTGAGATATTAAAAGAATCACAATTCTCAATTTAATCCTCAATTTAGAGAGAGTATACAATGACCCCTTAAGTTTAGGAGTACCGTAACAAATATCAAAATTTAAATTTAACATTATTTTTATTTGAAAAACTACTGAGCAAAACCAAGGGAGAGAAAATGTTTTCAAGAGACTCCACAAATTTCACCTACATGATTATAGTTTGATTGTATATAACAAAAGTTCTAGTGCGTGAAGTGAAAGAAACCCTCGTAGACCTGACTCAATGTGGGTAAACTTTTGAAGTACTTGTAGGAGGGAAAAATAAGGGAATAAATCAAATAAAATCATTCTGATATGTTAAAATTAACTTATGCTCTTTTATTCTTTTAGAAGTTTTCTCAATTAACTCTTTCAAAATATTAGGTGCATAAATTGATTTTAATTTATAAGAAGAGTGGAGCTAATCACCTTTGAACTGAATACTTTGACTAGTCTCCCCGCCCCCCGCACCCCGCACCCAATCCACTGTCTTGTAGCTTTTCTTTTTCTTCAATAAAAGTTCATTAATATCATAAATGAGCTATTTTGCTGGGTTCTAAGAGTAAGACCCTATGAGGGCTTCTACATCCCATTTTTCTGTGTGTTTGCATTGCATTGTGTGTCCTGGACACACTAAACTTAAAAATAAAAAAGAAGTTTTCTTTCAGTGTTAAGGTGGATGAGTTTTATTTCCAAATTTCATCCTCTGGCTTTTTTATATGACTGGAAGAGATAGAGGTGAATTTGGCTGATTTGATTCATGAAAATACAAAATTGATTTTATACAAAATTGCAGGGAATAATATACAGTCTCCTGAATAAAGGAGAGGAAGCTGCACAGCAGTTTGAAACATATCAAACTCTTGTGCCTGAAGAATTTCCTCAGAGGGGATTTCTCGATGATGTTACCTTAGCAGCGAAAAGAACATCCCGGGAACAGTTTCTGAAGGAATTTAGAAGACAATTTTCTTACCGGAAATAGAGATAATAGAGGATGTTTTCTTCTTTGCTGTCTTGGCAATAATCATTAATGCAATTCAGCAGCAGGTTCTTGTATAAGCGAAAAGCTAGACTACTTTAATGTATAGCGCAGATTTTTCCCCCTGGGTTTATGGCTCATGGTTTGGGTAGGATTTTCTTGTTTTATTGTAATTCAATCCTTGAACACGGTGCTTTATCTTGGCATAACATTTGTTGTCTTTTTTGTGTGTTAGTGCCTTGGCCCCATAAAAACACGTGTTATTGATATTTATTTTGTTGATTTTGCAATTCCTTTCTGTAAAATATTGGAGCTCACGTAAGCCAAATGTTGATATGACATGATATCTTTTGTGTTTTGGTCTCATATCCTTCATCCATTACCATTATGCTTACTCAAAATTTGCCTAGAGGTACACGTGATTTGCGTAGAGCAGGTGTTTAAGAAAACACCGATTAAGTGTTTTTTAAAATTAGAAGAGCAGTCATAGAAGGTTTATTAAATGGAAATAATTTTTTAAGTGAAAATATGATCTTTGATATTAGATTTGGCTTCGTGAGTCATTACTTAGGAAAGGTAATCCTACAATGTTTATTTTAAAACTAGTTATCTTAAATTGATTGTAATATAAAAGTATTTATTAAACTCCAAAATAATGGTTTTTATTTTTTTTATAAAGAGGAGAATTTATTTACAAGAAAATATTACTTAATATTTTAAAAAAGAAGAAAGGAATATTTGTAATTTATTTTGTTTCAGCGATTTGTTTTACTACCACGTATTTTTAAGTGTAATGAAAAAAAAATCAAAATTACGAGTTTCTTGCTAAAATATTTTAAAACAGATTGATTGAGTTAAAATTTGTAGATAGAAGTTTTAAGAATCATTTTAAAAAATATTTTATATTAAATTTATATTATGTGAGACCTAATATATGTAAATACATGGTTTATATAGTATTATAACACATAAATGTAAATAAATTATATCTTAGCGCTATAAATCGCGGCTTGACAATTGTCTTTTATTTTGGTCCATGGTCCTTACTGTAATTCTAAAATTTGATGTGTTTCTGTTAGTGTATCACTTTTTTTTTCTCGTGTATCCTTCTTCTTTCTTTGAATATTTATATAAGATAATAATGAAAAATTAAGTAACAACTTTTATTTCTAAAATTTAGAATATAATTAAATAGTTGCAGCAAAAAAAAATGCATTTCACAAATTTTAATCTGAAAAATTACATGTATTTACCTTTAAAAGAGAATAATTTTACTGAATATCTAAGTTCGAAGATCATATTTATAATACAGAAGATAAAAAAGAATTATGTATAATTAAATGTTCACAAGCATGCAGAATCATCAGAGTGTAAGGGGCTAAATAAAACGTGCCCCGAAAGGAAGAAAAGGCTCGAGATGAGTAAGAACTGAGAGTACTCGTCTACCTATAACTTCTTGTAGTACATGTTATATCCAATAAACATCATTAATAAAACTTATTTCGGTTCTCTTTCTTTATTTAAACATCTATACCCTATTTATAATGTATGGTACGAGAACTACTATTATAAAATTATTTAGCAATGAGTTACGTAATTAAATGACCAATTTTTTTAACACTTTTTTTAGACATAATAACTAAAAACATCTAAAACCAAAACCCATATTTAGTGTCAGTTCTATATACTTGTAATAGTAACTATTTATTTTCCCTTTCATTTTTCAATACTCAATATTTGTGCATATATAAACCTCCAATATTTCACTCTCATCTTTGTTAACTTGCCTAATTTACCACATGCAACGGCTCCAGCCATGGCACAAGCTGAGTTTTGCATGTGGGCACTTTTGATATTGGTTCTAGCTCATTGCCAACTACAAGGTGCTCAAGGGGTACAGTCTATATCAGGTCTTGGTATCAATTGGGGTGCACTAGCATCACACCCTTTGCCTCCAAACATTGTGGTAAATTTGTTGAAGGACAATGGGATCAAGAAGGTAAAACTTTTCGATGCAGATTCTTGGACCGTGAATGCTCTTTCTGGTACTGACATTGAAGTCATGGTTGGAATTCCTAATGCTCAATTGGGTAAATTTGCTAGAAGTAGCGGAGATGCAGAAGATTGGGTGAAAGAAAATCTAACCAAACATTTTCATAATGGGGGTGTGAACATCAGGTATAACATTAAATTCCTTCACATAGGATTCATCAGTTACATTTTCGTGCATTTTGGTATCTTCTTTTGTCCTTTTCATTATCCCCTCAATCGAAAAACAACACTTTAGCATATATGTATATATCTCTATTAACAAATTAAATAAAGTGTTGTTTTTTCATTATGGATAACTTTTAATTCGTAAAATAGGAATGGGTAATTTTAATCCTCATCATGAAAATCATGTCATAAGTGAAAATTCAGAAATTTTCTCTTCTCCTCACCCATTATGTTATTTCAGATACGTATCTGTTGGAAACGAACCATTCCTGAAGAGTTACAATGGTTCGTATGTAGGGACTACACTCCCAGCAATGCAAAATATTCAAAAGGCTATTGATAAGGCTGGTATTGGAGACAAAGTGAAGGTGACAACTGCATTGAATGCCGATGTTTATGAGTCTCCTTCGAACAAGCCATCAGATGGAGATTTTCGAAGTGACATAATTGACGTTATGAAACCATTACTTAATTTTCTTCATGAAAGGAGCTCCCCATTTCTTGTCAACATATACCCTTTCCTTAGTTTGCACCAAGTTGAAGGCTTTCCGGAAGATTTAGCATTCTTTGATAGTCAAAGCAAAACGATTGATGACAAAAATGCACAATATAGCAATGTGTTTGATGCGAATTTCGACACTCTTGCTTGGTCATTGAAAAAGGCTGGCTACCCTGACATGAAAATTGTAATTGGGGAAATTGGATGGCCAACTGATGGTGAAAAAAATGCTAATATCAATAATGCACAAAGGTTCTACCAAGGGTTGCTTGAGAAAATGGCAAACAAGAAAGGTACTCCACTAAGACCTGGACCCATGGAGGCATATCTATTTTCTCTTCATGATGAGAACATGAAGAGTATTGAACCTGGTAACTTTGAGCGTCATTGGGGAATTTTTCGCTACGATGGAAAGCCTAAGTTTCCTATAGATTTTTCTGGTCAAGGACAAAATAAATGGCCAGAAGCAGCCAAAGGTGTTCGTTACCAAGAACATAAATGGTGTGTCCTTAGCCAAGATGTTAGGAACTTCAGTCTTGTACCAGATGCATTAAATTATGCTTGTGGAGGTGCTGATTGTACAAGCTTAGGATTTGGTTGTTCTTGTGGAAATTTAGGCCTTCCTGGTAATGCTTCGTATGCTTTTAACCAATACTTTCAGACTAGGGACCAAAGCGTTGAGGCATGTGATTTCAATGGATTGGCCACTATTGTAACGGAGGATCCATCAAAGGGAAGTTGCTTATTCCCTATAGAGATTGAGAGCAGTGGTGACAAGCTCAGAGCAATACATACACTGGGAGGCATTTTAATTGGGTTGTCATTGTTTTTTATAACATTTGCATAAAAAAATATATAGCTAGTACCAGTATAATATTTATCATGGGGCATGCTGATGTACTGCAATTAACAAAGCCATGCCCTTTTTTTATTTCCTATTGGGCTTTGTAATAGTGATTTAAGAATTAGATAGAGATCCAGTAACAGCACTGGGTGCTGTTGTAATCAACGATTACAATTCTCAGTTATGTATATAGTTTGGTTTTTTTTATTGTTTTGTTATCACGAAAATAATTGATGTTGAGATACTCTATAGTTCCAATGCAAGATTTGGTAGATGTACACCAGCTTGTTGAGAATATTCAGCAATAAGAAAAAGAAACAGTAGTAAAATAGGACAAATGTTTGTATCGTGTCATTTTTTTTACAATCTCTTTATATCACTAGTCAAATATCAAATCACTTCATTTTTTGTACCGAAAAATTTTCAAATCCCTTAATACAACGAAATGAGAAAAGGCAAAAAGGAAAAGTTTATACTGATTGTGGGAAAGAAATATTGACGTGTAATATTAAAGTTCGATTTTAATGTTGTAAAATGGGAGCTTGGAAAGCGAAATAAGCTAGGTTATTTATAAAGATTTATCTAAAATTCATAAAAAAAAAATTATGTTAAAAGGTTGTGTTAAATAATATGCAGTTAATATTCTCTATCCATATTAATTTAACTTAGTATTCGAGTTGTTGACGTTCTATTAGATTCTTTTTTTCAAATTTGTTGTTTCAAAGATATTAAGTAAATCAATTATACGTAAGATCGTTATTGAGAGGCTTACTGGAATAGAGTAAACAAGTGTGAAGGAGTAGGAAGTGTATCTGTCTATATACACGTGTGCATGCAATATCAATATTTAAGATTCAAAATGGTTTAAAGTAAATATAGTTTATTTAATATTTTTATTATATAAATTAAAATAAATTTAAGAGTCTAAAAATTATAAATTTTGTTCATAAGTTCAAATAATTTAATATGTAAGCTCCTTAATTTAAACATAAAATAATAAGCAAACGGAATATAGAACATAGAGAAAGAATAATTGATCCCACTCTTAATAATGTTTTAGTATACTTGACATAAAAAAAATTCAAACAACATACTCTTAAATACATTTTATGTGATTGAATTATATTTTTAAAAATAAAAATAATTATCTCATAAATTGATTATCTTTTAAAAATTATTTTAATATTTTTTTTTAAATTGACCAATTAAAAAATTATATTAAAGAATAATATGTTCTTGTTTAATATATAAGCATAGAAAAAAAAATGTGCTTGATATAAAAAAAATACTTATTTTTCTAAATCACATATATTTTCGTAAAATAATATTACTTGAATATTTTGACCCAAAATTTTTCAACTGAATATTTTAACGCAATTACATACTTAAAATTTAAAACTCAAGAATGGTGGTTCACAAATAGCATATTATAAATGAAAGGATACATCGAATTATTATAAATTTATTATATATTTAGTAATTTTAAAAATTAATTAATATTATCTAACTAGCATGGATTATTGGGTTTTATAAATTAAATATGAAACTATTTTGAATTAGATTATTTTTTTATATGATAATGAGGCCAGCAAAAACGAAAATCGGTAAAATATGGTATTAGCATAGGATTTGTCCTAACTTTCTCTGACTTCCATTTAGAGTCCATAAACATAGTCTTAAAGTATATTCACAATCCTCAAATTAAAAAGTAAGAAAACTCAAACTTACATATTATACTTCTTTCAAATTCAATGAAGAGATAGCTAATTGATGACATATACTACCATATGAGATACCGTAATTTTTTCGAGCTCATTTTTAGTCAAAATATTATATTATATATTTATAAAAGAAGTGTCTCCTGTTCATGTGTAGGATTATTTATATGTTTGCATGATACGAAAAAATTATAATACTGTAGTATATTAGGAGTCTACATCGTAAATCTGTTAAGTTTCTTGAGATTTCGATTGGGAATGTATCTTGGTAACTTACTTTTTTATTTTAACTTATTTTCTCTTTCCTTTGTCAATTCTTGTATAAATATTTGATACCGTATATTCAATATAGATAGTATAAATGGCACATTTAATTTTTCATTCTCTTTACGTTTAAATACTTGCCTCTTTTTCATTCAATAGATAGTATCATAATTCTAAGAAAGTTCTGGTTCATTATCGTTTTGTGCACATGCTTTTTCGTTTATCATTATCATTCTTCTTTGATATTTGATTTTATATAATATAATGACCAAATGTAAGTAAGGACGATGTATAATGAGTAATATTTAGATATTATAATATTCCTTTATATATATATATAATAATTTTTTTAATTGATATAAATTTAAAAATTCTTACACTCAATTTGAGCCATTTATTTAACTTACATATAACGGTTAGTGAAACAATAAATTATAATTCATTAAATAGAAGTTAAACAAAAAATTTAAATTAAATGTAAAAAATTTTAAACTTATACTAATATAAAAAAATTATATCTTTATAGATATATTATGGACATAATCTTTTCGTACCAGTGTAAGTTTAAAAAATTTTACACTTAAACTTTTTATTTAAGTTATATGTAATATATTATAATTTATTATTTTATTAATTATTAAATATTAATTAAATAAAATGCTAAATGCTTCCCTTACTTATTGGATTGGATGATATATAATGAGTAATACTTGTTATTTACTATATATCACCTCACCTGGGTGTACAAGCCTTATTGGAAAACTCATATTTGGTGGATACTAAGGTGGCGTGCATAATCCAACTCCAACTAGTACTGGTCCTGGACTCCACCTTGCTATTCTATTTGTATTGGACATTAACGTCTCCCATGACCATGACACCATTTCACTCTCTTTTCAAACACCACTGCTCTGCCCCCCCATATTGCCGCCAAGTTGCGTCATAGTTACGCTTCCGTTTTCGCCTAAACTACTCTGTCTCGGTAAAAAAAATTCATATATATTTGAAAAAAATTATGCACCTTGTTTATAAATTATTTGCCTACTCTTCAGCCATTAATTTTTTTAATGATTTAAATTTATCTTAATTCCTGTTTATCACTGAAATATTCATTTCCTTAGCCATTTCATTTTAGACTTATTGTATACTACTTTTCTCTGAGTGTATAGCCAATTTTTCTCTCATATTCTCTTTTTTCACCTCCTCAATTCCTTATACAGTGCGATTATTAAAAACTGAGAAGTTTCTTGCGTTAGGATCAGTCAAATCACTCGCTTGCATGTATAATAAATTCACATCAATAGATATCTGATAATTGTACGCGCACGTGGATATAAGGCTTTTTAATAAAAAAATAAAATGATTATCTGATTAGTGAGTTATATTAAAAAACAGATTAACGGTTAACACTAGTGACTATCGTTAGCTAGACTTCCTTGTTTACTTGTATGCTACTGAGGATTCATAAAATTCTTCAAAGATTAAAAAAGAAATAGAATATGAAAAAAAAAATCATAAGTTGAACTGTATGTTATGCAACAAAAATGTAATTATAATACTATATATGCCTTTAATGTTAAATTAATAATGCATAAGTATAAATTGTGTAATTAGATTATACTTATCATGTTATAATCAGGTTAACAGACTGCAAGAGTCCTGCTAAGGTAAACCAAATATTATTTGAATTCGAGTTTTGTGAGATAGAAATCAAATATTTACCAACTAGAATAATTTTGATTGCTGTTACGTACGAATATTTTACAGTCTTTGATGCAGTAAAAAGCATGTCCCCAAAAACTTCACTTTCTGTGAAGTCAATTTATATTCTTATCTTTTTGAGTTTTTCCCTTGACTTACTGTTATGGAAGTGAAGTTTCTGAGCTGTTTACCGGGTCTGATGTAACATAGGACATTTGGCAAACAGCTAATTTTAATTTTATTTATTTCATTTGAATCATGTCATGAGTCATCCCCAAAATAAAAGGGTTTCTAGCAATGTATGGAATGTTTCTACGCTTTGCACGATCTTGTCGTTATATATGGCCACATCGACACGAATTATTTCCTGTGACAGTAAGATACATTGAACCTTTCCACGTTTGAGATTTGTCCCTTTCCACTTTTGACCAACTTCCTCAGTTAAAAAGGATCAATTTTAGCTTTTTTTATTTTTTATTTTTGGAGAGGGACAAAACAAAAAGCACAACCATAAAAAAAATAGACAAACTAGGAAAACGCAAAGAAAAAAATTACTACAGTATATAATTTTATATTTGTTCTTTTAAAATTACTTGAAGTAACTCTGTATCTCCGTATATTTTCAATACCTAAACTATAACTTTCATACTTCTCTTTATTACTTAAGTTTAATTAATTGAAAAATGATTTCTCAGAACCTTTTTATGACATAATAAAATATAAATGTCATTATAAAATTAAAAAAAATATTTAAATACGAAACTACAAACAGATCATTCAATCGTTATACAACAAACAAGAAAAGAAATCTAAAACTTTAATTTTAACTTCATACACACACATATATTCAGTTAGAATTTGTTAATATTAAGTGTTAATTTTATACACTTACACCACTTAATAAATTTTTATATATAAAATATGAGATTAATCAATTAAAACATTAGTTTATTTTTTTTATCAAGTATATTAAATTTATAAAAAACAAAATGAATAAATATTTGATCATATTGCTTTATTTTAATTATAATATATTTTTAATATATAAATAGATATCAAATTTTAAATAAACTTACTAACATGTCTAAATTATATAAAATTTAATATATATATATATATATATATATATATAATTATAAAATTAATATATGTTAGATTTTATAAAAAGTGATTAGGTAACGTAAATATCTAAACTTAACACTATTATCGACAGATTTTGTAGTTTCAAGTTTAATATCTAGAAATGTAATTGCATTTATTCTAAACGTTTAAAATTTCTCAGTCTGAAAGGCTCATACATAGTGGGAAAACTCATTAATTCAAATAAAATAGTTAATGATAATTTTAGAGTTAATTATCAGAAAGAAAACAACAACAACAACGATAATAATAATAATAATAAGTTAGCTAAGTTTTTCTCAAAACGATTCATCTTTATTAAAAGTGAAAATATGATCTCTTTTTGAACATAACAGGGAGGAGTGTTTAAAATAAATATAAAAGACATAACGATGCTATTTCCTTTTTAATTTGTTAATATTTTAAGCCATAACAACCCCAAAAATAATTTTAAAAAAATGTAAAAGGGTACAGAAAAAGAAGTGTGAACTGAACCTTGAGCAATCGTGAAAGGTAAAACGACCTTTATCTTAAACATAAAGAAATATAAATATGTTGTTCATGTACAAATTTTTAAATTAATCACTCATAGAATACATTCTTCTGAAACGTTAAATTTAACCCTTTTTTGCAATGTAGATAATAAAATTTAAACTAATAATTTCTTAAATGTCTGTTTCAGTTTTTTTTTAAAATTAAAGGAATTAGTTTATTAAAAGATATAAAAATTTATGCTAAATAGATAAGTAAAAAACAATTTTTTAAAGGAATAATTAAAAACCTTCAGAACATTTTAAAATTAAATCATTAAAACATTTTTGTTGAGTTTAAATAAACACTAAACTACTGAATTCTTTTTACTATTTCACTCAATTTATTTGAATATATAAATATAATAACAATACCAAAGTTAAAATGCATCAATTAATATTGAACTTATTATAGTGAGAAAAGCGCGTTAATCTATATGCGTATTTTGATTTTGATTTTGAAAGTTTTGATAATTAGAATTTATTCAATGTACTGGCGTATTAACTGATATTACCTGTCTGCCAATTCTTTTTTATTATTTTCCACTATAAAATATAATAATAATGTAGAGTTTTAATTTTTTACAAGAAATGTTTAACCAAAAAACTATAACTGAAAATATAGGCATAAACAAATATATATATATATATATATATATATATATATATATATATAAGTAGTAGGAACTATTTATATTCTTTTTAATTTTCTAAAAATAACTAACTCTACAAACAATTAATGTAGTCGTCTAATAAAATGGACGTCAAGGCAAGAAACTTCCTTCGGAATAGCACAATTAACAAAATATGTGAAATTATATGTAATTAAATAAACAAAAGTTACAGAATATAATTACACATTTTGATGTTCAAAAGCAAAAATGAAATATAAAAACTCTAAAAAAATTGGTTTTACAATATTATATAACAGCAGTTTTTTCTTTTACTTTAACGTTTTAATAAATATAAATAAAATTTGTAACATATTGAAGACAAAGTGAGTAATATTTTCGGTACGTGTTAAGTTGAAATGAAGTTTTCTCTTCTATTCACAGTTAATTGCAGGGTCATTTTTTATATGAAAAAAAAAACTAAAATACGATGTTTTAAAAAAAATTACGAAAACATGAGATTTTTTTAAAATTACCAATGACAAGATCGTTAGTGATAATTTTTGACCAATTTGTTTTATTTTTATAATTTCTTAACATTTTTAAAAAAAATGTTATTTACAATTTTTAAATCCTATAATTTTTTAAAAAAAACACTATATATATATATATATATATATATATATATATATATTCAAATCCTATATTTAAAAAATATTCCTTAATTGTATATGAAATAATATGTCCATTTTATTTAAAAAAATGTGGACAACACTTATCTTCATAGTGCAGTCATCGTTATCAAACATTACAAAAGATTATACAAAAATAATTGTAATATTTTCAGCATAAACAAGTATAAAATTTTATTATTTAAATTTTGTTGAAAAAATATAAATTTGTTTATATATTATATAAATAATATTTTTTAAATTTTTATTTAATAAAATAATGTTATTATATTATATCAAATATATTATGTATTATATTCACCTTTTATTTTATTTATGTATATAATAGTTGAAGAGAGAAGCGTGGAAATGAGGATAAAATTGTAACTAAAATCATAAATCAAATTTATAATTTTAAATAAAAATATTATTTTAATTATTTTTTAAAATAAGATAATTTTATACATATAATAAAACTTTAATTTTTATATCATAAATAAATATCTTATAATTTTAGTTGTAATATTATGACTATAGTGTAAAGTATAATAATACTTGTATTTATATATATATATATATATATATATATAATAGTTGAATAATATATATTATAATAAAATAGAAAATATATGAAAAATGAATAAAATAAAATAGTCAAAATAAAAAAAAATAATCTTCAATTTTGTAACTAAAGATTAGAGATAAAAACTTTATATATATATATATATATATATTAACATAATTTTTAATTAGAAAATATCATTCTTGAATTTCCTTAAATTAATCTTATATTTCATAGCAAACAAATGATCTTAGATAATATTAAACCAAAGCATTGGATATATTGTTCATGTACACATAATATAAATATAAATATGATTAAGCACTTTAAAATAAGCCTTGGGAATACGGCATTGAGAAGTAATTATCAAAGTTATGAAGAAGATGGGTTGCACAGGGCTATCGACGGATAATGGATTGCTATTTAAACTAAGAAAACGAAACCACAGGCCACAGGGGATAATCGAAAATATAAAATGATTTATAGACCAATAACATCTCCACAATATGCATCGGCGTCTCCTAAAAAACAAATAATGGTATCATTCTCTCGATTGTGCAAATCCAAAGTTGTAGGGACTAGGTAGCCCCTACTAGCTATATTACGTCATCACCATGACGTCACCTTCACGTCTCTGATTTTGCCACGTAGCTCAGTGAGGATCCTTCGCTGCATCCTCCCCGAAGGTGTTTGGAAGTATCATTCCAATTCCAAAGCAAGCATTTTATATATTAACTAATATTTTTTTTATAAATATCCACTTGCAGCATGCTTTAGTCTTAGCATTGATAAAACGCTAAATTCTCTTAGTCTTTGCAGTATCTTTCACTGACTCATCTATTACCATTCAACACAATGGATTACTATTTTGGAAACCCTAATCCGAACCCTTGTAACCGTCACTCTGCCGTATTAAATATGGCTTCTCCCTTCTCCGAGTTCATGTTATCTGATTATCTCATGCTCGATGATGTTGTTGATCATCAAGAGTCTTGGTCCCAAAGTACAGAAACTGAATCATCCGAGAAAGCAGCTTCCAGCGATGCCAGACACGGTGATGCAACCTCCACCACCACCAACATGCAAGTGTTTCTCTCCCTCTCTCGCTCTTTTATTTAACAAGGAAATAGTACACTGTCTATTATATGCTACTTTATGTAGAAAAATGTTTCTTAGACATCTAATGAGATGAGTAAACCTGGAGAGAGATAGAAAGAGAAGAGAGAGAAATGATAGATATGGTAAATGAGATGATGTGATAGGAAGAAAAAATAATAATATGGAAGAGTTAAACAACGTTAGAGTGTTTATAAATAAAATGTGTTTATGTATGAATATTTATTAATATTTTTGAGATTTTAAGCAATTGTTTATAACTGTTGATATATAATGTATAATTTGACAGAAAATGCAAAAATAGTGGGATTAGGCGAAAGAAGGTAGAAGTTAGCCAAAGGGTCACGTTTAGGACCAGATCGCAGCTTGAGAATATGGATGATGGATATAAGTGGAGGAAATACGGCAAGAAGTCAGTGAAGAACACTCCATACCCAAGGTAATCGATACTAATATATAGTTAATGCATATTATTGCTTTATTTCAGTTTTCTTCCTGCGTCATGAATGCGATCGATGTACTCAGATTTAATGTTTTTAAAGTAGGTGAATTTAGAAGCATGTAAATTAAAACAAAGCAATGTGTGTAGTCAGTGTAGACATGAATGGAGGGGGAAATCGGGGAATCATGTCAACCACTGTTAACTAGGATAGGGTAGTGGGCCTGACTGATAGATAGATAAATATGAATGTGATGGTGGCGGATATATACTGCTAATTAATTAATGGAGGGGACAGGTATATATGTATACATGATTGTAGTGTTGTCCATGGACCCATATATTTAGCCGTAGATGTATGCATTTTTGGCTGCTTAAGAAGCAACTGGTCTAGTATTAAATAAAAGTAGTTTCATTTGCAGTGTTTATATAGGACAATAAAGTAACTATTCTCTCTTTGTGAACATGTGTATGTGAGACGAGACCGTGACGTATTCACTCACTACGATCTAACGACTAGTCCCTGTTAAATAATTGGCACTTTTGCAGACTCAGCTCCTTCGTCTCTTTGCCTAGAAAAGATTAATACGAAGAAAAAGGTAGCTGAACTAAACGGAAAATATTTACTAGTTGTAATTTAGTGTACGGCAAGATATAGACTACCTTTACATAAATAGTACTACTATAATTTGATTAGTTACTGCAAATATATTTTGAAGGTTGTAAACTCCTGTTTAAAAATATTTTACATTTGCTAAATAAAAATAGATACCATCACCTAGTTTTAGTTAGCAAGACTCACCATATGATATCGTATCCCATCCCCTCTACGTAGCGGTTAGCCACCATCTTATGACTTTGTGTGTGTATATATATATATATTGTCCTTGATGGCGTTACTTAGTTCTATTATTTTGTGTAGATTTGGATTCATGATTGATAAGAGATTCACATTCACATTTATTTTAACACTATTATTTGTTATAATTTTGTACTACCTTAATGTTTTTTAAAAATATATTTAAACGGTGTCTGAAACATGCTATTTATTGTTATAAAAAAAATGCTATATATTCATTTAATTAGTCAACTTTCAGCATAATAATTAACTGTTCCATTTATAACCAGTTGAGTTTCAAATCATTGACGATTACAGGAACTACTACAAGTGTTCAGGTGAAGGATGCGATGTGAAGAAAAGGGTGGAAAGGGATAGGGAAGATTCAAGCTATGTGTTAACGACATATGATGGTGTGCACAATCATGAGACCCCCAGTACTGCGTACTACAGCCAAATGTCCTTGATGCATTCTAGTGATTGGGCGCTGCAGCCTTCTGTAAACTCATCCTCTATTTCCTAGTCATCTGTATTACATAGCTTGTCAACAACCATTACCATATGTATACTGATTATGTACATGCCAATAGACGCTGAATGGCACCCAACACCAACTATAAGCACCATTCCAGCACCTTGTATCTCTTATATATATGTTGTTACTTATCACCGTGAAAGGATCAAATTCTTATTTTTATACTGTAATGTGTCTAATTAATCATCGCACTGTTCAAGCCTTCGTTTTGGAGTTTATATATATGCTTATCAATCATATTAAAGTGTTCCATATTGACTCTTTAATCTTTGATTTATCTTTAATATGGTATCTAGTCAATTTTAACCTTGTTTGACTCGTATAGTATATTCACATTATTGGGCATGACGAGAGTGTGTTAGCCCAATTCGTTTCTGATGTATCTAGGTTTGAGGGTATAGTGTTTGCCTTTTCAAAAGTGCACTTGATGTGGAATCTGACACAATGGCTTGTTTGCATCATGTGACAACAATGCAATAAGATAAGAGCTGAACCATTTTAGCACAAAGCAATATGGTTAAGTTTTTCACGTGGACAGAAAAGAAACAGCAGAGGAGAGGCTTAAAGGCTGTAGTTATCATAAGTGCGGGCGAGGCATAGATAGATAATATATTGTATTCCAATTTTCACTACATATAGGAAATCTCCTTAGAGATCTTAAATATTCGATGGCCTTTAGATAATTTGTTTATGTAGAAAAATATAGAGCGACACCACTAATCAATATAAAATCTTGTATATAAAAATTTTAAGTAGATAAATCTGGATTAAATAGAATGCTATCAATTTGAGGCAACGAAAAACCAATACACTGATAACTGTTTTATAACTCACAAAAACGAAAAATACATCGTTTTGTACGAAATAACAATATAAATTTTTGTTTCATGCAATAATATATTAAAACTGTAAAAGGCAGATAAATATAATTTATATTCTTAATCATATATATATATATATATATATATATATATATATATATATTAAAACTGTAAAAGGCAGATAAATATAATTTATATTCTTAATCATATATATATATATATATATAAAGTGATTATATGTAAAATAAATTGTATAAATTAAAATTTAATTTGTTAACTTTTTTTAGTCTTTTAAATATTTATGATATTAAATTCATCTTTTAATATTGAAAGGTACAAAAATAATTTTTATTTTGATTTATAAATTAAGAAAATGACTAATTTAGTAACACTTGATAAACTTATTTAATATTATAAATTTTTAATAATTAAATTGATATTAAATAAATATTTTCAATGCTAAATAAATAATGTAATGTTTTTCAAGTTATGAAAACATTTTATTAAACGTATACTTAACCTAAATAAAAATTCTACTTAATGTTATTAATAATTTATTTATAAATGATTAATAATATAAAAAATAATTGAATATTGTATAAACTTGTACATTATAGGAATATAAAATTTAGTTTATAATTAATTATATTTTGATTAATATATATTGTCATTTTCGTACTTTAAAATCTTAAAAATTATTATATTTATTATTTGCGTACTGTATCACATTTTTTCTAATGCTTGCTCGTATCCGTGAGAGGCAGCTGAGTAGAGGTTATTCTGCAGAAAGTTGAATGGGTATATACAGTAGATCCACAAATACCAGTGATTTATCCACAAGATGCCAGATAAAACACTAACCACCCAATTACTCAGCATATTTTAATAATCAAATTAAGTACAACAGATATTCAAGACTAATCACATGATATTGCAAACCACAATTGAACAGAGGGAAAAAAGTAACATTATTGCAAATCATTCAGGTAATTGGCATACAAACTCAGAGCCTTTAAGTACTAGCAAATAGCATACTCAAGGCTATTGGCATATTCAATTAATAGTACCTAACAGTTCTTGGCTAACAGATGCTACAAAACCTTTCTTTGTTTTATTATGAGGCCATGATTAATTTGCCTCACACACAAAAAAAAGTTTGAACTTAATTCTAACTATATATCCTAACCAAAATGTCTATTCTCCGTGTGTCTCTATCGAATCATTAGCACCCAAAAAATGAACTCGTACAAGCATGGTGGTATCATTGCAATAGAGCATTTGGATTCTTGAAGGAAACCTTGTTTTATAAGTTTCTTCCTAGCCTTAAGAACAAGCTCCTGATTTGCAACTTCACCATTAATCTTCTCAATTATATAGCCTATATGGCATTGCAAAATTAAATCTCCATAAACTACGTCAGAAAATCTAGAAAGACTTGTCTCTGCATGCTATTTGGTAACTCTGGCAAGCACTCAACAGAATTCTACCATCTAAAAGGCTACTCTTATATTGATCCACCATACATACCTTCCCATATTCATCATATCTACGTTGGAATCCGTTCAAGTCAAAACTCACGGACTTCTTCACTTTTAAGCTCATCTTCCCAAAGATATCAAAAAGTGTAGCTCTAAGATTCCTCAGATCTGTATCATCTTTCCAAACTTTCTGCTTGATTATATCACACAGAGTTGAAAGAGGCAAGGATCTATTTTTCTTATAGCCATAGCCAACAGCCCAACCGTGTTAGCTCCCAATAGAAGGACAAAACTTACAATCACAAAAGTATGCAACTACATAATCTATACAAAGACGAGAGTAACTTTAAATAGAGGTTGCTTAAAAATAAGGAATTGTTGCTTAGTAAGTTATGTCATTAAAATTAATGTGAAAAAAGAAAAAAAATATCAAAAAGAGATAATTACTTAATTACACAACTAACTACTATTGAAATAAGATCCACACACGCATGGTGTGTGTGAATATGAGGTGAAAAAAATATGCAACTCTTTTTTAGTACACGTCCTATTTTCTAGGGAGTAACAGTTGCTTGTTTAAGCAATTTTCTCTTTTTTATTATATCTTTTTTTTATTGAACTCTATAACCTGCTAAGCAACATTTCTTTATTTTTAAATAACTTTCATTAAAGTTGTACTAAGAAGTCTAGTTGATATCCGATGACAAAATTAAAAATTAAAAATTAGAAAGAGGGAGAAGGAATAAATAAAAGAGAGAATTAAATGTATTTGATGAATGAAAAGAACGGATGTTTTTTGTTATCCATATTGAATTAGATTTTATTTAAAATATTGTTTCTCTTATATTAATCAAATTGAAAGTTTAGAGTAATTTTATAAAAGAATTAAATAGAATAATAACAGAATTATTAGATAATTAATACGTGTCTTATATATTATACGTTTTAAAAATTCTAGTAAAACTTAACAAATTAAAGTAAAAGAAAAATACTAAGTAGAAAATATATTGAATTATAAAAGATATGTAGTAATTGATTCATATAAAAGTTAAAATATTTTTAAAAAATATAGAAAATGTGCATTAAATGAAATCGACGAAAATTATGACACTATAGATTAGTTTCCTCAAGTTTTGTAGACCTACTTCTAAGCTAAATTAATAACCATAAAATAAAATAAAATAAATGCCGTACCTATCAACCTGCCAGTAGTTGTAATAAATAACTTTTAAACTTTTTATTTTAATTCAAAAAAGACCAATTCTCTATAAAAATATTCATACAAAAAACATCGTCTTTATTCTCCTTATACATGTAATAACCAACAAATTTTAGGTTGATAAATTTTCTCGTGTTCCTTCTTATATTGCAAGGGACAGATAGCAAAATAGTAAGTTTAATAAACTCTACATAAGTGATGATGAGTTTTATTATATATATATATACATAACTTTTCTTTCATAACACGGGATAATTAGCATGGGAAAATTCAAATCCATATTTGTAGCACACTGAGAATTGGTAAGGTAATGTCCTAGTTTAAAGCTATTGCTAGTTTCCTTGATTTTTTATTCTATTTTTCCAATTAATTATGGCCACTTGTACAATTGCACTTTGCACACAATAACTATGATTAATCTAAATCAATACGAAGTTTGTAAGAATCAATATAACTGAAGTCTGCAATCTTCAAACTTCATCTCCACTCCAATTATGTTTCACCTTAGGACCTGTGGGTCCTTCCTCTCCAAGCACTTCACTTGGCAAACCCTTTATAATCTTTTCTAAAGCAGATTTTAGCTTTCCAGGCAATACCTTCTCAATCTTCTTCAGCTCCTCGTCTATGTTATAATCAATTTTAGGACCCCATTCCCTGAAATAGTTAAGCCATGATGGCTCTATAACTGCAGACCCCAAATACTCTGCAGAAACCAATTCAAATGCCCCCATATCCATGACCATGTCGCCCTTAGCTGTATCATTCCTTATACCTATGCTATCTGCACCTTGAAGATTAAGGCCAGCATGTGGGTATGATGCATGGCCATGCAAAGAAGAATAAACCACAGGTTTGTTGCTGCCACTTTGGAACTCAAGTTGCGAGGAATCAACCCATGTACCCTTACTGTGTTGTGAGAAATATACTTGACATAGTTGACCATTGAAGTTGCTTACCCTTAACGTCACATGCTCCCAATCACCTACATGTTCACCTATCTTCCCTAATTTCACGGTAATGAACTCAACTTTTGCTCTTGCTGGTCCATTGAATGGGTAGAAGACCCATAATGCAATGTCAGTGAAGGTTCCTCCAAGCATTGGCTTCACATGTACATAAGTTTTGGCACTTTGCAAATCTCCTTTCTTGACCCTCTCTTTGTTGGTTGCATCAGCAGGCAAGTCCAGCCAATAAGCACCATCATTGTTAGGATCCTGAGGGAGGTTAGTTCCATTTGGTGCTACTGTTACAGGATTTGACTCCTGTCCTTTCTTATATAGTAGTGCTCCATTGGAGAAAAACCAATTGACAGAAGATGGAAGGTATTCTTCATCAGGATGCAAGTACATACTTGGAGGGTACACTTGGAGTATTGCCTTAATTTGTTGCAAATTAGGCATGTATTTTGGGAGAGTATTGGTGTTTTTCAAACAAGCAATAGATGAAGGGTTAGTATTCCCACCATTTTGTGCATTAAAAGTGCCTACGGGAACACCGGGAGCTTGAATTCCCCTATTGCTTGGTCTAACATCATAAACATTGAAGCTATCTGATCCCCAAATCCATGAATTTGTCTCGCATTGGTCGGTGAGGTCTGACCTGACACACCTGATTTTGTCAAGGGAAGGCTTATCTGGTGTGGTGGTCACAACATGGCCTACAGGTTTATAGCCATTAGGCGCTGTTGGTAGCCAAACATAGATAGGACCATCTTGGTTAATCTTCAGAGATGCACTATTCCATACAAGTGTGTAATCAATTGGTTGCTTTAAAGTGGGGTTACTGGCATTTGTAGACACATCTTTTGCCACAAGGACCCATCCAAAAAGAGGCTTGTTGTTGGGTTGGCTGTAGCTACCTAACATAAAGAATCCTTGAGGTATTCCTGTTGGTTCAAACAAGGTGAAACCTTGATTGTCTGGTCCACCACCATGGGTGCTCCAAACTTTGTTGAATGTTGATACTTGAGACACTTGCAGCTCACCCAGATCAATGATTCCATTTGCAAAATTACCACCTGCATGAGGCAATTCAACACTAGCAATAATCAGCATGCATTTACTAGACTACATCACAACAAGGAGCAAATATGACAATCACATAATGGATATACCTGGAGGCCAAGCAGATGTTACAACAGGAAACTTGAATATGGTATCAATGGGGAGTGCTTGCTTTTTCTTGAAGATATTTCCTGCACAACATGTGGTAAGACAATTACCCATCGTTGGTTTTTCCAAAGAAGAATGATTGTCGAAGTATGGAGACTGGCTATTATATAATAGTATCGATTTTTGCTAGAGGTTTAGTATATTCCTTCGAGCATAATTGTGAAGGTAGAAGGGTCTTCATATAAATATAAATATAAATACAAAGGGTGCCCCAAGGATGAGTCGTACAAGGAAGCTAATTTGGCTACATAGCCAAGTTTCTAAACATTGTTCAACTTCACTTGTACACCAAGATGTTCATTAGACTATTTGCTTGACTTGTTTACCTTGTATCCCTTTCCATGAAGGAAGATGTCAATCTGCGTATGTGACTCTGATGTGGGGCAACCATCCAGGGGTCCTTTTTCTCCTTTTATTATGTACTTGTTTTGTATGGCAAACTACATTACAAGTATCCTACGATCCCATAAGTTCGGATTTGTGTGTCCAAATGTCTCCCATAATGAGATGGAGCAAAAAAAAATTATTTGGCATTTATGTGGAAAACACCTTCAACTTTGTTTGTCTACTGAATATTTAGTGGTGATTGTTGAATTATCATCATCCATTGTATTTGCCTCACTTTTTATTGACAGAGGGGAAGAACTAGTGGAAAACAGGGTACTCTGTTATATATGATTAAGTACATAGTTGTATTCATTATATTAACATTACGTTACATAACCAAAACTTACATGAAAAATTGAAATATCAATTTATAAATAACAGGTGATGAAAAATCTGTGAGATGATAGGCAAATCAAGCAAATTTCAACATTTCTGTCAATATTATTTTTGTTTCATGAAGAACGCATGATGTTTAATGGAATCGAATTTCTATTCTCTACAAGTTCAAATCATTACGGATTATCAATATGGTTTAGGAGAATCCTACACAAATACAAACTTAAAAACTCGTATCCTTGCCTCGTAGAGCTACAGGTTGCGTTGATAGCAAACTAACGAGTGAATACCCATTTTAATTTTTCAAATTGTAAGCTTCAATAATCACTCTAGTGTTTCACTTTACAAAAATTTATTTTAATTTCTGACTCTAAAAAAATCCATTTTAGCAATGAAAAATAAAGTAAGACAAAAATGAATAAATTTTTAAACACAAGAATAAATGTGAAATTTTTAAAGACTAAAACAAAGTATTTACTCACAAACTAAACTAATCGTACGGTTCAAGTTAGCTGCAGCATCAAATATAAAAAATGTGCAAGCAAGATCTTATAAAACACAATTTAACAAGAAACTGTATTAAGCCAAACAAGACTTGGAGGAAAAATTGTCTGTCTTAGTTTCCTTTTCCTCCTTTTTGTCAAGTTTCTTCACCTACGGGCTAACTTTGCATTAAATATTCCCAGATGTGGGAATATTCCAAAAAGTGGGGACACAAATGATGCGACTAATTGCAGATAAAGTAAGCATGGAATGCTAATCACATATAATCCAATGTTAATACTTGTTTAATAATAGGTTGATTATTTTCCTCGCCGATGCTGATATTTATGCATATAAGTTTGTTTGTTTCTTTTATGTACAACTCTAATCCGTGTAAAATATCTAATTAATTGCAACACGTATAAATTGATCTTCAAACATTTTGATTAATAAAATTGGCAGTAATTGAAAACTACGAGTTTATTTATAACCCATAAATTATATATATTACAACAAATTGAGATAATATTACCTTTTTATTTGGCCTAAATTAAAACTTTTTACTTTGTTAAGACTTTGTTGAAAATTACACTTTCAAAATATATTTGTATGGATAATCTAGAAAAGAAGTAGAAAAAAGCATAAAGAATTATTAATAAAGTATCTGTAAAACTAAAAAGAAAATTTTATCATCCTCTAATATGATCAATTGTTCATAAATATGGGATCTTAAAGAAACAATTTAAAAAAAAGTGAAAGTACTAAAAATAAAAGTGTTAAAGTGGATGAGTGACCATGTGAAAATATTATAATAACACCTATAATAAAAAAAATAACTAAAAATTGTTAAAGGTAATCTGATTACATGTTAAAAAAACTTTAGAAACACCCTGAATAGAATAGATTGTATAAATTTTAATCCAATAAAAAGAAATTAAAAAAAAAGAATTTTAGATAAAATTATTAAAAGATATTTTTAATTAATTAAATTTATAAAAAATTAATTTTTAACCAAGTTTAATATGTATAATTCTTATAAGCAAACCTCACCAGATGGGATAAGACTTTATCACTATTGTTGATGATTTAGAAGGAAAAAAAACTCAATTTTTCAAAATTATTAATTACTATTAGTGACCATTAACCAATTTTGATATTAATTGACTGATTTCTAAAAATAAAGCGATTACATAAATATTAGCCAATCCTAAGATCCATTGGTTAATCATCCAACAAATAGTTCAATTTTATAAATTATTAAATGTGTGTTGGAAAATGTCATATACCATTACAATTTTACTAGAGAGGATGAAGAGAAACTGTTGGAGAAGATCCAAATACTAGCTGAGGTTGAGTTGGTGTAACAAAATAATGATGCTATCAAGAGCAAGTATATTTGGACAAATTTATTCTTGTTAATACTAGAAAAAGTTTATGTGCATTGGATGTATAATTTTCATTTAAACAAACTTTATAAATAAATTAATTAAAAAATAATAAATATTTTTATTATTAAAATAAATATTTTATTATCTTAAATAAGAATAAGTAAAAAAGATAAGAATTCAAATTAAAAACAAAATCATGAACATAATAACTGAATCAAGACATATAGTTTTTATAAATATAATGTTTTAAAATTTAAAAACAAACCTAAATTAATATTTATTAATATTTCAATTATATATTTATAGTCTATATATTTAGAAAAATAAAAATATATTCAATTTAACATAGTATATTAAGATTTAAAAGTTAAATTAAATTATGTGACTTAATAAAAATAATTTTTATTAAAAATATATAATATCACTGAACTCAATTAAATACGCTTAAAAAACACATGCCAGTGAGAGAGAGAGAGAGAGAGTCGTGCGCACTCGTACTCAAATTTTACGTGCGCCTCAGGCCATCACAGCCCCCAATTAATATTCTCTTTAATAAAATGAAAGATATGAAAAGGATAAAATTATACATATTTAAATTACCTCTATATTTTATATTTTTTTCATATTTTTTAACTCCATCTCTGCTCATTTTACGCCTCATTTTAAGTGTGAAGTACCATTTTCCTATAAAAATATGTATATAATTTCCGTCTCTTATCTCTCTCTGCAATGTATTAAGGTATTCTCCTGCAATATGATAATATTCACTTGTAATCTGAAAAACTTACATATTTACTATTTTTTAGGCATCACCATCATCTCTAATCATAGTTTTCGCAGCCTATATTATAAAAGAGATATTCCAATATATTTTTTTGGTACTCCCCTGTATTCTTATCTAGAGAATAGAGATCCGAATAAAATAACAGAAGAAAAATGGCCAGCACAAAGGAATCAACGAAACAAGAAAAAATAAAGTAACGAAAAAATGTGAAAGAAGTACCTGGAAAACGCTTCCATGGTGCAGCTGCAGGAACCCCCATTGCCATGGTTGCCCAGAGGAACACAACACAAATGAACCCCACATTGAGAGCCATTTTGTGATATTTTTCAAAACTTCAGATCTCTGAAAATGTTAGTAAAAACTGTTGACCCTTGGAAAGTCTTGCAGTGTCTGGTGGCAGTTCACCGCAACTGCAGGAAAAGCACAAAGTTTGGTTGTGGTGGGTACTGCTCACTAATCACTTCAGGTTTGCTTTAAATAAATAATAATGGCTAATGGGGATTCGTTGGGTATGGGGTGGATCCACTTTCTTGCTTTTCATAGATTCAGCCTCTTATGGCCCTGTCTCTCCCTCTTAAATTAAAGTATTTTTAAAAAGTTGAGCATTATTTTTTTCCCCATTTTGCTTTCCCACTTTTGGTAACGATGATTCGTTATATGTTTCTTTCTCTGTTTTCTTTCTTTTAATGATTTTTTAATTTGTATAATATTACATAACAAAAAATATTTATAGCAAAATTTTTATTAAAAATATAAAATTTAATGTAATTTAATATATCGACACTGATTATATATAAATATATATTTTTAATAAAAATCACTATATTTAACTTCTTTATTAAGTGTAACGGATTAAAAAATTAATAATCTACCTTTTTGGTTTTTCTCCACTTATGTTTGTCACTTTCGTGAAGGTGGTGGCAGTCACGGACAAAGGTAGCGGTAGATCATAGAAGGGTAAATGAGTAACAGGCTTACCAATTGGGATTTTTGTCGGTTACGAGAATGTCAGTTTTTTTTTTGTGACGGACATGTGCTCCTTTCTAGGTTGTGGGAAATTTCTCAACATTCTAATTACAGTTACAAAATTTATGTGCCTTAGCTGCGGATGATGATGAACGTGTATGGTTCCAAGGCCACAGAACAAGGGCCTTTTATCAATGTGAAATAATCCGCTTCAAAATTATCAAACTAGAGTATTTTTAAAAATTTTAGTAACATAAAAGGAAAAATATGGTTTATCTTATATTTTTATGTATGGAATTTGTAGCTGTCTATAACAATCATTTTTTACTGGTTTAGACCGTCCAAATGATTCTGGTAGCTATAATAAGACTATCACAATTGCTTGCGTAAAAACATTTAAGAATTGGTATTCTATGACTTATTTTATATTAGCATTTATTTTTTGAAAAATAAAATTAATTTATAAATTTTAAAAAGAAATTATCCCGCGTTAGTTGAAAAAAATGTTTAGAACTAGATTGGATAAAAACGAGCAGGTACACAATGCCTTTGTCGTATTATGTTGCTTCTTGTTTAATGCCGTTAAGCAAAACAATATTTTTGTTAATAAAATGGGCATAGTATACACAAGACCACCTCACCAAATCTTCACTGTAAACAAAATTCCAATGCTAAGTAACATACTTTTCTTAAACCCTTTTCTTCGACTAAGCTACTACTTTCTTAACACTTCAAATTTTTATATTGCATTCTTTAAACCAACGTCAGCGATCATGAGAAATAGCCAAGCTGAACGGGCATGGATTCCTCATATTGAGCTACAACTGCCTCCTCCACTACAATCCAGCCCTTACTACTGGACTTTGCCTGTTCAATCCCTTCACAGCAACTCTGAGAAAATCAAGCCATAAGAACATAGTGAGCATAAAAAGACAAGTTCACAAGATATATATAATTCTCTAAAAAACTTTAACCTACATTCTTCCATAAAGAACAAATTTAAGACATTTAAACCTAGTTGTCTAACTGTACATTTTTCTGACAAAACTTAGATAACTTATTCTCCCATTCAAAGTAACATGATGAAGATAGAAGAAAAAGAGAAAGTGCTAAAAATGGATGAATTATAGCAACTAAGGCTAATATGAAGGCGTAACAAGGTTGAACAATCAACCAGGTTTGGAGGGATGGCTGCATTTTCTAATAAGCACGCATTTGGCTGATATAACAAGGCCTGATACACCCTATAAATACAATTGACATCTAACAGCTTTATTATTGCTAAGCCATTCTTATATGGTAAAACTTATAGGGCAGGGAATGGTTATCTAAATCAGAGGGCAACAGAAGAATACCAACCTCTGGACAAGTATATACAATAAGGGTCATCCAATCCCACTTTTCTACCATCTGTCTTTGGTCACCAAGTGCTTCCTGTAGAAAGTATAGTAATGGAGGCATTAGCTGCATCTCAAATTGCCTTGGTCTACCACAGAGCTTGCAGCTGCCAGAGTTTATTTCACCAGCTGCAGCTAAAGCTGGCCTCCCACCGTATGAATATCTACACAAAGAAATGATACGGAAAGCATGTTATTGATCCCCAAAAATATGAAGGAAGAGAAAAACAGGGAGAAGAGGGAGTGAAGCAGAGAAAAGGAAAGATTTAAATGCTATGAAAAATATAAATAATAGAATGATGGCATGATCAATGAATGTATTTAAATGCCCTCAACTTGTATGTTTTCCCACTTATCAAAAGGGAGCCACAGAAAGAAAAACGGATGGAATAAACCCAAACTTTCTCCAGCTTCCTCAACTCAAGTGGATTTAACTTTTTATTACTGCATGTTTCATAAAGTCCACACCAGGTACTGCTATTGCAACTCAGGTATTATGAATTAGTAGTGACTAGAGAGAAATTATATTTCTCTGGCAAAGGTTGAGCAAATAAATTCTTTCACCAATTACTTAACATGCCACATCAGAATCACACACTCCCCACTTGAAACCACAATCCCACTTTATCACCCTAATGCTATTGCTCTGGTCCCTACAATTCTTTCACTTTCAACAAAGCATGTTAACCGTTCTAAATCCAGCACAAATTAAAACTTTAACAAGGAATTGAGATCAAAATAAGTGATATGGGCGAGGCAGTGCATTTAACTCTATAGTCCACTCCAAATCATCATTTATTACATACCTGAAACATTGTTCAGGATAAGCATCCAATCGTTTCTTAAACTTGAGATATGTTCTATCAGCAGTCAAAGCTTTATCATACTCATAATGTTCCTTTTCCCAGGTTTCTTCTGCTTGTGAAGGATCCTCAACATCACTTCCATTCTCCTTAATAGAAAGTGATGAGTAGTTAGAACATACTGAAGTAAGATCCCCCGAAGATGGCTCTTCCTGGGCATATATATAAAAGCAGGGCACCACTGTAAACAACCAACACACCAGCCAACTACAACAACTTTAGCACAAAATTCAGAATGCTCTCATAAGTAATTATAAAAATGCAGTGAATTTTTATATCATAATTTATACCGGGCATATCATTATCTTTATGAATTAGAGTTGTTGTTTTTGGACACGGAGAAGACGAAGGAAGCTTGTCCCGGCGCCTTCTCTGGGGTTTTTGGGTCTTAGTGTTAGAAGCCAACATCCCAGCTTCAAAGAGAGCCCTGCCCAGTTCTTCCAAATCCATGTCACCTTCATCATCTTCATCTTCCGACACGTTGACACTTAGAACATCATTGGACGGTGCGGCTTGTTTTTGTGGAGACATATCGACATCAGCAATATTCTGAAGGCGAAGAACTCGCCAAGCTGTTCCACATTGAGGAGAGACACAGCCGAGAACGAAAAGAATGCGGTGCTGAGAAAGAGGAGCATAAACCTGTGCAACGAGGGAGAGTTGAGTGGCACATGAAGCACAGCGAAGGAAATCGTCGTTTATGGCGTCCTTGGGACAAGGCCAGTCCTGCGTTCAGAAAGATACGGAGTCGTTTAAGCATGGTTGATTTATAAAGCAACGTAAGAGTAGTATTCGAGTTAGACTTACAGGGATTCCTCCAATTTTAGTTGTGAAGGGATCAGAGGGCTCGCGATAATTCAGAGCCCATGGCCCAGGCATGCCTAGAAATGTTGCAGCCATCTCTTTCACCATGGATTCAACTAGGGTTTATCCTCCCAATTATCAGGTTAGCTTTCATTATTTAATTATTCAGTTTTCAACACCTCAAAAACCGAACCGGGTTCGATCCTGAACTGGATCACCACCCAGTCCGGTCTCCATACTAGGGTTATCTATACCACAATTATAATTGCAATCAATTAATTACAGTTCTTCTATTTTATCATTTTCAAAACATTTAGGGTATATATGGATTAATGAAACACAAAGCAATAAAATGGAAAATATTTGAATATATTTAAGTTCCATCGTTTAAATTATAAAATTAAATATGAAATAGAATTGATTTCTACTTTATACTATTATTTCTTTTTATCAATTTTGACCACCTGAAAGATAATGGACAGATAATTTTTTGTTCTTTTTAAATGTTTATTTTTCATAAGATAATCATTTTATAAAGTAGCTTTAAAACAATTAGTATAGTAACAGTGCAATGTAATAATTTTTTATTTTAGAATATATATATATATATATTAATAATTAAAAAATATATTTTTTATATTTTATAAATAATTATATATAATAAAATTATTTTAATAATAATAAATTTTTAAAACTATTTTAACTAATTTTATAATTATGAATAATATGTATTAAAATGATAAATATTTAATAAAACATTTTTAAAATATAATTTTTTTAAATAATATTTTCATTGTATAGTATCAAAATAAATTAATTAGATGTGAATAATTAATATATATTAATAGCCATAAATTTAAGAGATAGGAGTCTTAAAAATAAATTTTAAATTTTAAAAATTTAAGACAATCAAATTTTAAAATAGCCATTCAATATTTCTAATGTGACTGTATTATATCTTGATTTCTGAAACTAATACATATGTATAAAACTGGCCATTCAGTATTGTATCTTATTTTGTGGATGATATATTATTGTCCTACAATGTTTTAAATTTAAAAAATAATAATTTTACATTTTATATATTGTCAGAGGAAAAAATTAATATTAACAAAATTACAAAACTTAATATTGCAAGAAATGTACTCACAAAATTAAATAGTGAAGGGCAAGGGGCAACATAGAGTATAACTAATAAGGATTAAAATCAAAAAGTATTTTCAAGATAAGAATAATATAAAAATAAAAATGTTTTTATTTATTTTGCTTTATTTACTATCTAAATAATCAAATGAAAATTTTATTAAATTCCATCATAATATATTTAAATAATAAGATAAATTAATTACTTTATTAAATTTATCAATCTAAACACACTTTCATAATTTCACCATGTTAACTTTATCCTTCTAAATTAGTGCTCGGTACAGTAATTATCCTTTCTTCAAAATGATAAAACATTGATAACATACTTTCGAGAAAAATTAATTTAGACTTATAATTTTTTATTTATAGTTTGACAAACTCCTTTTAATATATTATATATTTTTTACTGAATCATTAAAATGTACAAAATAATATAAATCTCACTTTTAGCCACAAATCTCACTCATAATTTTATAAATTTAAATAATTTTCAGTAAATATTATAAAAATATCAAAAGTGTATTATAAATACATTTAGCCATATGTCTGGACTCCAGGAATATTATTTGTGTGTAACTTGATTAGATTTGCCATTGGTGGATGCTCATGCATATTAAAACTGAATATATCCGTACAAGGCATATTGACCTCAAGCCTATTTCTGATCATAATAACTCTGAAGAAATATTGAGAATGTATTTTTCAACATATGTTTATATTATTTAAATAAAATTTATGTGAAAACTATAATCTGACCTTAAAAATATGTAATTTTGCAAATAAAAGAAAATTAACCTGACAACAAAGGTAGTTGGCTTAGTAAAGTAAAATAGGTCCTTGATAACTTACACTCAATAATTGATATCATGGTATATCTGGGCTAGTTGCTTTCTTCGTATTATTCGCATTTAATGAGTCGAATTACATAATACATGCAAAAATGGGATTGGGGGTAGCAAGTTGCAGTTGAGAATAACATATGATATAATGAAACTTGTATATCCCCGTAAAAAGTAAATGTATTCGTACATGATATATACAAAGGGTGTGTAGCTAACCCAATACGCTACTTCACCTTCTATCCTCTTGACATGGTAAATTAGACTAAAATGGAGCTCACGTGATGTAAAGGAACGGTTCACTCAATTCCATCTCTTAGCATTTTTCGCACCTTTAGACTTCTGTTTTGCTGCCTGAAAGGCCTGCATCTTTTGCTTCTTCCGTGCTTCTTTCTCAGCCTGTTATTGCAAAACAATTAGAATGCACAAGCTCTTCTTGAAGTTCTTCAATACTGCTAACAACCCACCAATATATATGGATTTAACCAACAAAAGTTTACCTTGGACATCTTAGATTTGGCTTTCACTTTAGGAGCTTTGCCCTCTAGCTCTGCCTCGCGTTCAAGTTCTCTTTCCCTAGCATCGAGATTCTTCTCTAAATAATACTGCAATTTTTTAGACTCAAACATGTTAGAAATCTATAATAAGCCATGCAATGCCTCATCATGCTGTACTAATTATATAAAAAATCGGATAAGATTTAAATGAGCAATATAAGCAATATTAAAATTCAATATGTCTGCTAAATTTACACCATTTCAATGAAAATATGGTTTTGGAAAATGATCACAAGTTGCCATAAATATAGTAAATTACACCCTCATAATTATTTAACCCTGTTATCATGTGAAGTTTTAAGAATATAACAGTATTTGGATCCTCTCATATCAAATCTCAGAGTAATTTTCTTTTATTTTGATACCGCATAGATATATTCCCAGCATCATTTTGGTCCAATGAGAGAATAATTTTGAGAGATCCAAATGAGGTGAGAAAATCTGTGCGGGATCAAAAGTGAATTACAGTTTCTCTAATTTTAAAATATGATGCGAAAAATGAGACTTGATGTAAACAAGACACCTAGTAGAGGGCAACAGGGATAAAATACGAAAATTGAGGATCAAGTGTAGTCAAGCAGGGGATAATATAAGATAATTGAGGATTGAGCAGTCGGGTATCCATAATCATCCTAAGCACCTGGATAATACTAAACACTAAATGCCAATGTTTTGAACAAGTACGATCAGAAAAGTTTTTAAAAATAGAATCCAACTAAAAAGCACATTTGTACTATTGATCAATGAGTTCCTACGACCAACTGCATCATGAATAAATTTAAGTTAATCCATTTTAACTAGCTCTAATCTTTTGGAAAAAAATTGTCTACTATCACACTCAGTGGGCCACAGAAAGGGGAGGAGCAGAGAGAGGATTAACTAACTTACATTGTAACCACCTGCATAATCCTGTAAAGTGCCATCTTTAATTTCTATCACTCTATTAACTATTTGCTTTATAAAGTATCGGTCATGAGATACTGTGATAACAGTGCCCTGGTACTCAGTTATTGCCTCCTGTAAAAGAAGTTGAAATCATTAGGCTTATAGCAGACAGTGAGCTTTTAAATAAGGAGAAACATATGAAGAGAGTGAGCCAAACCTCGAGCATTTCTTTTGAAGGTATATCCAAGTGGTTGGTTGGTTCGTCCAACACAAGCAGAGTCGATGGTTTTACCATGAATTTGCAGAAAGCTAGTCGAGCCTAGGAAAACACAAGAGACAAGATAAATTCAAATATTTATGCATCCCGGTTAGCAGAGAGTGAAAAAGAGTAGAACATTGCAGCAAAACTAGCAAAGCTATTGTTACATCCAGAGAGTAAGATGGAGGAATTACAATGTTAATTAAAATATTATACATACGCTAGGAGAAAATCAGGACCTTCAAGAATTACAACCATTCATGAATATATTACTCTTGATTACACAGTGCATGACAATGAATGGAAGGATATTAATGCATCCCATGATTATCGAATACATTTACTGGGGGAAAAAAGAAACACCCATCTCAATGTTCAAGGTTGGAGCATATGTCTTAATATCATTTACCAATTTCTTTACCAATTTCAATTCTTCTTGTATCTTAAATTTCTTTCAATACAATCATCTTAAAGCTTTTACTGAAGCAATAACCACTCAAATCAAATGTCTAGTAAAAGATTTTCAAAATGTCTATTACATTTAACAGAACATCTATTCAAATCTGCAGGTAATGAAGTAATTCTCTGTTAACAGCAAAAGAATTACAAAAAGAACCATTGAGTCATAGAATCAAGCTGGAAATTGAATGTTGCATTTCTCACAAATGCTAAATAAATGGCAACTGAAAAAGAAAACAATTTTGAATTTACCTTCTCACCACCACTCAAAAGTGAAACTTTTCGGTCAAGCATATCAGATTTAAAATTACAACGCCCAAGAAGTCCTTTAATGTCATCAATCCTCCAGTCCTCTGCAGCTTCTTCTACTGTCTGAATCACTGTCTTGTCCAGATCAAGTGCTTCAGCCTGTTAAATAAATCAAGTTAGCACTAAAATATATTAACCACAACAAAGTTTTGACATGAAAAACTGGAACTGAATGCATAATCATCAATTTAATTACAATTAGCATTTCCCTGGTTAAAGAAGCACACCTGATTTTGCTCAAAATAGTTAGGCAATACATTATGCTCTCCAAGCAAAACTTCACCCCCACTTGGCTTCTCTAAACCCATAATCAATTTCAGTAAAGTACTCTTGCCACATCCATTTGGACCAATAATGGCAATTTTTTCTCCCCTTTCAATTGTAAGATTTGCCTTTTTGAAAAGTGTCTGGCACAGAAAAACTTGATCAGTTGATGTCATATAACTGACATGTAGACAGTCAAACATTTTAAGTTTTGTCACTCTGGTTTTCAATCATAAAACCAAGCTAACAGACCTTATCCTCAAAGCCAAATCCCAAGTTCTTAATTGTTACGACAGATCTTCCACTCCTTCCGCGCTCAGGGAACCTGATTTTCATTTGCTTCCGTTCAAATGGCTTCTCTACTAGTTCCTCTTCCTGCAGTCTCTCCAGCTTCTGTTGTCATACATAAACAAAGAAATTCTTTTAAGCAAATACTGTAGAACAACAAAACATTAAAATTTACAATGAAGAAGGATGCAGTGCAACTAATCTCGGTAATTAACACAAGCACTGTATTTTAAGTCATCTTAAGTGACTATTATTTAAGATTGCTAATACCTTGTTACAACAAATCATTTATGAACTCTCACCCAATCGCTTAGGCTTTGAGGAGAGTTAATTCATGGCGAGGATTTCGAACCTTTATAAATTGTAACCCAGTGATTAGGAGTTAAATCCTTTTCCACTCTTATTCTTCTAAATAATTAAAAGCTGAATTTCAGACAGGTATGGTGGGCTTGTACACTTCAAGGCCAAAGAGTTCTTGAAAGAGGGGTGTGTTGGATATAAAATCATCCATAAACTTTCAAAACTTTCAAGAGAAATAGGTTTTAGACATACTTAGTTTAATTGGTAACTTTGGCTTGTTCACATTTTGTACAAGAAACACCATATATTTATTAAACTGTCAACTTTGCACTCATTGATCACAAATACCTTTTCAGCAGATGAAGCACGGCCAGAATTTGCTCCAGCACCTAACCTACTTATCAAGTCTTTTGTCTGTTCAATTTCTTTCTGCTGCTTCTCCCATGCAGCATACTGTGCCTCAATCCATGCTGCCTTTGAAATTACAAACTCTGAATAATTCCCCTCATATGTCCTGGATACACCCATCTCAGTTTCAACAATTTTTGTACACAGCTGATCAAGAAAAGCTCTGTCATGGGAAATGATAACCATCGGCACATCCTGCTTGTTAAGATAGTCTTCAAGCCACTCAATGGTGTCGAGGTCAAGGTGATTTGTGGGCTCATCTAACAGTAATAAATCAGGCTCCTGCAAATGACGACAAATTGCCTTGTTATCATCAAAATCATACACTCAAACCCACATCATCTACATCACAAATTCACCAATATCAATATGCACATAGCACAGCAAGATTGGTCATATATGCATAATGTTAATAACAAGCAAGTATTATTATACAACATACATTGAAGAGAGAAGACGAGAACAAAGCAATTAAGTCCGAGTTATCAGTATGCTGATTTTTCAAAAAACATTAACACAGCTGCGCTAGAGCAGATAAAATTGCCACAAAGCAGTGCAGCCGAGGAGACATTTTCACCCAGGAAGTAACAGTTCACAGAATTGAATCATTCCTTTCACTCAGTTAAAAACTTCAAACTAATAATACACACATGATGATGATGATGTAATAATAATAAAAATTGGCAATACCCAATATACAATAGCAGCATGCAGTGAAGTAGTATAACATAGACACCTGAAGTAGAATCTTGCCAAGACACATTCTCATTTGCCAACCTCCACTAAAAGACGCGACCAACCTATCAGAATCCTCAGGAGCAAAACCAAGTTCTGGTACCAATTTATTTATCTTTGCATCAACCTCATCCAAGTCCACAGATTGTGCCCTCCTCTGAAGTAAATCAAACTCATCCAAAAGCCTTCCCATTAACTCCAAATCGTTAACAGCACCTTCAAGTGCCTTCTGCACCTTCTCCAACTTGCTCGCCACCTCCATTTCCTCCTTAAACGCGCTCATAAACTCCTCCCTCACCGTCCTACTCAACGACACCTCAAATTCCTGGTTTAGAAACGCGATTTTCATGTTCGGCTTCGCTTTTATCACGTTCCCCGAATCCGGTTCCTCCAGACCCGCAATAATCCTCATCTGGGTCGTCTTACCCGCACCGTTCACCCCAACTAAACCCACTTTCTCACCCTTCTTCACTTCCCAACTCACGTCCTTCAACACAGTCACACCCTTGTACGTTTTGCTCACGTTTTCTAACTTCACGCCCGATGAAACACTCGACGCGCCCGTGTTCGGCTGCTTCCTCACGCGCCGTTCGTCGACCGTAGAAGGCTCAGAAAAGAGAGACTCGATGTCGTCCTCGACGGTGACGGTGGATAGGCCCGATGAAGCATTGGAAGTGGAATTGGGCCTTAGTGGGCCCAAGAATCGATTGGTGTAAATTAAATTGGTGTTGATGTTCACTCTGGTGAGTGTGCGCGGCGGAAAGTGGCGGAGTATGGAGGGCTTCGGCGCGTCTAAAATGACTGGCGCGGTGAGGTCGAGGTGATGAAGCTTTGCGGCTAAGTCCATTGGTGAATGCTAATGACAAAGAAGATTAACGGATTCTGAGGGAAGGGAACTGATATGGTGTGACTTCTCCCCCCACAAATGCTCTGCCAAATTTCAACCCATAAACCAGTTTCCCAAGCATACTCTGTTTTTTATCAGTAGATAACATTACAACAAAAACCATTTACGAAAATGTTATCATTTGACGACCCAATTAATAGTTTTTAAACCGAATGATAATATTAAAATTATTTATATCATTACTGTATTTTAATTAAGTTACAAATTTATGGAGGATATATATGTGACCAAATTAATTATAACTTTATTTTTAATGAAATTTCAATGAACTTTGAATTCATTACAAGTAAAATTTGCTTAGTTAAATTTGTCAATTAAGTTCCAGGAAAATAAGTTAAAATAAAGTTAAAATACCCGATTTTATCGGTCATTTGCCTAGATGGTGTTTTTTAATAATCAATTAAAGGGGTTTTAGGCTTTTTCTGTTAATTGATTCATTAATTAAAATAAAGAAAACGGAAATTATTAAATATATAGGTAGTAAAAAGTTACATATTGTTCCCTTGGATTTATTGTGGCCACAACTAAATACACAAATATGAATATAAAAAAAGATCAGCCAACAGATAACGAATCGTGTTTAGAATAAGGGATTTGTGTGGTGCAGAGTAACGCTATACGGCCTTCTCTTTTGCGCCACGCGTGAGTTGATGCTGGGAGACTTGCATCACGCTCTTCAGTCCACGTCGCACAACCACAAACTACAAAAATACTATGACTTATTTTGGGTTCTTTTGTCCTCTTTGGGGATTTATATCATGGTGGGTATTTTATTACTTACTTTTTCTGGCCCAATACTTTAATGTTTTAAACGATCACCATTGAAAACGAAAAACCTTGGGTTAGTTTTCATGTCCTTGTATTGTATGCCCATGTCGATGTTAATTCTTGAGAAACCATAGTCCAAAACATGTTACTGGGAAACCTGTCTATTGTGAACTTCAAAAAATAAAAGACCAGCCTGTGTGCTGAATTCCTGAATCCTTTCCATCAGGTGAGCCATCTTCATATTACAAGTTTAAACTGTAACCAAGCCCAAATAGAATCACACTAGTCTCACTCGTTTTAACACATTTTTCATTTTTATTAGTTAAAATAAATAATTAAAAACTATAAAAATATTATATAAAAAATAATGAGACTCATTTAATTTTTATAATTTTTAATAAATTTTAATTAATAATTATAAATGTGTTAAAGAGAGACAGGTAAGAAATATGTTATTTACATTTAAGTCTATTATTATCTTTTATTGTAAAACTAAAAAAATTATATTTCCTTTTAATATTTTATAAAAATATTAACTGAAATAATGAGATTAAATATCTTAAATATGTATAAATTATTTAATATTTTATTCATTTAATAGTTAGGAGAATTATTTTAAAAATGTCATGGTAATATTTATAATCATTTTTTTTTTCTAAAATGAGGAACATATGTGCTGTTCTGTATTAAGATAATTCATTAATCTTGACCAAAAAAAAACTCTGTCGAAATTACAAGTCGCGGACTAATAAAGTTTATAAACTTTATATTATGAAAAAATATATATATTCAATCCTCTAGACTTTTAATTGTTTACAAAAGGGAGTCTTGATTTTTAACCTCGTTATAATTTGCTCTTGAATTTTAATCATTACATGAAGTGACACTAATTATTTAAAAACCAGATTTTATGCTTTTTTTTTTCAATCATCTTAAGTTAAAAAGAAACAATTGGACCGACCACTTTCATTTATATAATTCATTGATTTAACTAGTTAACTTTTATTTATTGCTTGTAAATTTCAAAATTAAACACCTCCAATCCAAGCCACAAACAAAGTTGACAGTGAATTATTAGATGGTAGCTAAGAACGATTTGGAAGAGTTGCTCAGACAGGAAGAAATTGCATGGTGTAAAGCGTCTGGAGCTGCTTGGTTGAATTATGGCAAACTGAAACACCAACTTTGTTTGGTAAAGTTTCTCAAAGCAGACAACAAAATCACGTCGGAGATACATGAGTTGTGAGTATTTATAATATAGAATAAAATCTTAAAAATCACGCTAACATAAATTTAATAAATATTCTAGAAAAAATTAATAACTAATATAACTAAGTTCATTAAGCATAATAAAACATAAAACCTTAAAAAATTTAATAATAAACGTGATTCATCTCACTAATCTAAAATATAAAATTATGGTCCAAAATACAAATAAATATAAAAATTAGACAAACATAAATTAAAACTAATACTAATTTTCATAAACTTTAATTAAAACACAATAAATCAGCCTTTAATTCTTCTTGTTCACATTCCGCAGTATCTTAAAATAGTTATTGCTATTTGATCTAAAATTTATTTTGCTTTCTTTGTTTTTAATATTGTCATTAAACCTTCAAATTTTATAGGTTATCCTTCTCTTTGATACCTTATGGTTAGTACTTGAGTATTGAAGATGTTCTGAATACCTAGTATTAGTGGTTTCTGAAAGTTTCTCATGGTGCTTGTTCTTACAATAAACACTTCAATACTAAAGTAAATAGAAATTTGGTTGAAGTACAGGTACATAGAATGGTAAGATAGGGTACTTGAATTAAAGAATACCCTCCATAAGTGAACAAAATAAGAATCATATCAATTCAAACATCGGGTCTTTGAATATAAAATTTCAACATAAGAAAGGTTTTCGAGTAATAATTCCTTTCTACCGTTGACCAACCCAACTAACTAATGCATTTTATATGCATTTTTAAATTTACTTGTATAGCCTAAAATCATGTTCCTGGCTCAATGCACCTGAAACTCACTTGCAAAAAGAAACATGCAAGCTGGAAATGGTGAAATAGTCTTCTTGAGGTTTTATTTACAGCATTCAAATAGAATTAGTATACTATCACTTGTAAATATAAATGAAATACGTCAAATTATTTGACAGGAGTTTAATATTTTTAATGTTAACTCGGTTTGATCTATTTAAATAATACACTAAGCTTGAATTTTAAAAAAAATTATTAAACCTATTTAAAATTTATAATAATATATTAAAAAAATTTATATAAAAATTATAATATTAATTAAATAAGATTATTTTTAAAATGAGTAAAATTTTAAATTGAAAATTATATTACATACCTTCTAAGAGAAAGTCATATTTGCTATAGTCTTTTACATTACTATTATTTAATTTTATCTTATATAAGTATTTACATTGTTTCGATTATATCAATCACTGATTTGTTTCATTTATATCTTCTTGTATACATGTTTATATTATATGTAATTTTATTATTTTTTTTTTTATTTTAAAGTTAATAAAATAATTTTATCTAGTTGTATTTGTACTTGTAAATAATTAATTATAACTAAATTTAATTAATAATATATTTATAAATAAGCTTAATAACCTATTAAATATCTTAATACAAATACTATTAAAAAGTTAGTAAATTAAAATAAACTTTTAAAAAGATTAAGATAGACATAATAAAAAATTTATAATAGATATAATATGTTAGATTTAAACTTTAAAATTATTAAATATATTAATTCTATTTATGTAAAGTGTAACTTAATTTATTTGGCTATTCCTAGTTGTAAAGAATAAGAAGTGAAATTTAATCAATTATGATAGAATTCTTCTAAAAGTTTAGTAAGGAAATCAAATAGCTACTTCTCAATGTTCATCCTTTCTTTCTTTTTCTTTTTCTTTTTCTATTTTACTCTGATCTCTCATCTTATGCTGTGCTTTTGCTCAATTTCTTCTTTCTTCAAGCATTGTACTAAAGCCTACACTTTGCAAAATTTGAACGAACCCACCCGCTCAACCTATGACAAGCCTAACTCATGACACACCATACCCACTGCACAGTGTTATAGGAGACAAGTCTTTCAACATTATAATTGGTTTGTTGTGGTGTAATTTTTGAATTCAAACCTGCCCGATGTCCACCCCTAACCAATTTTAAGTATTTTTACATATTACTATTTTTATAATTATTTATTATTAATTTTCATCAAGAATATTGATCTAAAGTAATTATTCAATTTATTAATTCTGACAACGCAAACTTTCACTGATTGACACCTCTCATCATAAATATTAAGGAATTCATGCATATAGGCTAAATTGTCAAAATTTTGCATATTTACATAAAAGTCAATAAAATTGCAAATTGGTAACTTAATAAGGCCACACAAAAAAAGGGTAGGTAAAGTTTATTGATCCAAACTCCTATTAAATTAATTTTTCTTTTAAGATAATATGCTATACTGCTTATAGAATATAATTTGGTAGGATGATCATTTATTTTTTATAGTTAATTTATCGTAGACAAAATTTTATTGTGCATCTCTAAATTCTTAAAAAAAAATGAATAGTTAGAAATAAACATTAGTTAGATTTTTAAAATATCGGTTACAGAATTGCGTATAACTGTTATAGAATATGATTTTTTTTTGTTTCACGTTGAGCATTTTAGTCTCTAAAATTGTTACTAACAAACATTTTAGTCCCTGAAATTATAACTTGTTACTTTCTGGGTTTGTTTTACTTTCATCTTTATATCTTTCCTTCACATCTTCTTTAACTTCTTCGGGTGAAAATGTGATTACACACTTTTTTTTGTAGCATTCATATCCAGTATTTGGCCTTCATTTAAGCATAAAATCTTTAATTATAAGTGATGAAGCTATTATTAGTGTGAGAGCAATCTATTATATGGATGTGACTTGAAGATGATGTGTTGGGCTTTGAACAGTAACAACTGGTCTTGATGATTTTACAAGGAGTTAGAACAACGATAAAGGTTTAAAACATGATTTTTCTATCATTTGATAAGTGTAAGAACTCCAATCTCTCTTCTCTTTCCTTCTCCTTCTTGCAAAGCTACTAACCATCTCGTAAATGCAGCTTCACATGAACTTTTTCTATCATCTTTTTTATTAAATTCTCTTTCAACATAACCTCCACCATTCTTCTCTACTTTCTCTTTTTCTGAAAACTAAAATGCTCGTCGGTGATAATTTTAGGAACTAAAATATCTGTTAATGACAATCTTAAAGACTAAAATGTCTGATGAGCAATAATCTCACAAACTAAAATGAAATAAAAACATATATTATATCATATATGACGTCATTTTTGTCACATAATTAATAATACTTATCATTACTTAATGTGACATTCTATTACTATTTGTTAATGTATTTAAATTTAAAGATTTATATATCTTATAGAAATAAAAGATATAGACTAACGTGACATTTTTTATTTTTTAAGAACTAAAATGTAAAATATATTTTTTTTCAAAAATCAGGATGAGGGTTTAGTCTAAAAAAAAAGTATTAATATATCTTTTAAAAGAATAATTTGAACTCTCTGATTAGTGCTGTTAACGCATCTGTGTAGCATTTACAGTTTAAATTTTTGTCCTTAGAACGCTTTAGATGATGGTTAAAACAAAAGACGTTGATGGAAATAATGGAGGTAATAATTAATGTTCTTTACACTCTTTCTCCCTTACTTTTGTTGTTTTGGTAATGAATGTTTCCTTTTTCTAAGATTTTTGCTAAAGAAAAAAGATTGCACCCTTTTATGACCTGTCATTGTCGAGGGACGACTTAATTGTTCATTTAATTTTAGAACAGATAAATAAAATAGTTGGTCCCGATTAAATATCAAATATGCCAATGTCATTGACTGATTAATTATGCGTCACACTCATCTTCTTTAATCAAAAAATGAAAAAAGGGCAAAATTTCTTGGTCCTGAAAGATAAGAATGAAAAAGGAGGACGTGTAGTTGTGAGTTGCAAACTGGTGAGAATATTTGTGTGTGATGGGAAGACAGCTAGAAAACCGAAAGCATGAGACAGGCGCCACCACACGGAAAGAAGCTACAATAAATTAAACCCATAATTAATAAATGACAACTGCAACGGAAAATAATATTTTTTTATTATTAAAAATTACATATTAAAATTATAATAGTATAATGAATATTTTTTAATAACAATATTTTATATTAAATTTATATCATTTAGACATTTTTAAATATGTTATTTTAAATATAATATTTATTTATATTTTTAAAAATATATTATACATTAAAATGAAATAATGTGATAGAATAATTATTTATTTTATTTTTATAAAATTAATCAAATTAATATTTTTTAAATTAATAATTAGATTGATTAATTTTACTTTTTATAAAAGATTATTAAGTTATGTAGTGTCTAAATTTAATACTTAGAATAAGAGAGATAATATATATCTATATCTATATATATATTTAATAATTAAATTTTATAAAAAATAATTTTAAAATGAAAAATAAAGAGAAAAAAGATCACTTGTTTTTTATTAATTTTTTTTGTTAATCTCAATCTTCTCAAGATAAATAATTGATAATAAAACATATATATATATATATATATTATAATTTTTTTTATCTAGTGGATATTTAAAATTATAGGGGCTTAGATTAAAAAAATAGTGAGATTTTCTTTAAGAAATTCGTGGAAATGGAATGAACTGTTTCAGCTTTTTCTATCATACTCGTCAGGTGTATTTTAGAATATCAATATGCAAACAAAAATCAAAAGCGGAAAAGAACCGCCTAGCTTTTATTAAAAAAGAAATAAAGTAGAATAATATATTCTTTAAAAATTCAAAGAAATGGAATGAACTATACAAATGATACTAACCAAATAAAATATGTTAAATGATTTTTATATTTTTAATATAATAAATATTTTATATTTTTGTTTGACTAAGTTATACATCTATTACATAGGATAAAAAGCAGTGATATATCCCCTTCCTTTTATGTGTCCAAGATTAGAGTTGAATGGGAATTTTTTTAATGAGATTTTCTCTGCCTTCGTGGAAAAGTATGACAGATTTATTTATTTTTACTATTTCCTGAATTCATCGTTTATCATCCTTATTTTATTAATCTTAATACATGTTTATTTAAAAAATACTATATATTTATATGTTTAATATTATAAAATATTTTGTTATTTAAAATCCACACTAAAGAGTAACAGAGTCCTTGTTATTAAATATTTTTTATTTTATTTTAAAATAGGTATTAATAAAATAAAGTTATACGTTATATCATTTCTCTTAACACATTTACACCACAAAAGGTGATATAAACATTTTCAGAAAAAATAACAAAATAAAAGGAAAACTCTTATTTTTTTCTTGTGTGTATATATTGAGAACATACATGGCGAAACAGCTATGCCTATCATTTTACCAAAGTAGCAAAGCCTGTGCCAAATCTCTCTCTCTCTCTCTCTCTCTCTCTCTCTCAGGATCTGAAATAACTCTGATGGAGCAAAGTAAGGAGGTAACTTCATCTCTCTCTCTCTCGCTCTCTCTCGCTCACTCTGATGATGTTATGTGTTTGGCGGCTAAGAAGGAAAAGGAAAAATAATCAAATGGAATCCAATGATTTTGTTGTTTATGTGTGTTTGGTTGCAATTCCACTCCGAGAGAATCGCGCAACTTCGATTCCTTCGACCTGAACACAGAAACAGAGAGTTATTGAATTTTTTAAGCTCGTCATGTTTCCGTGAAAGTCTTGTTAGCATGCATTTTCTGGCGTCTAGTTTATCTTATTCGATTTTTTGTTTCGGTCATTGAAAACATGCATACTCTGATTTAGTAGTATTTATCGATTTTCTTGCTCGTGCTGCTGAAACTTTTGTTTTACTTCAAGATTTGAGGCGACTATGATGATAATACTCTTTCATTACAAGCTCAGTTTAATTTAATTAATCGATTTGTTTTGTGTTCAAACTTTGATATGATGATATCAGTTTGTTGCAATCGCGCAAGTAATTACAAATTTCTTTGTACAGCAAATTGATGATCAGATGGTAGAGGACTAGGGGGTTTTGAATTTCTATAGAAGCCATAAATACTTATCTGTTTTGTTTTTCATCATTTGCCTCTTGTATGAATATAATGAAGATTTTTTCTGTCTTTTAAATTTTGTTTAATGAACTCTTAAGATTTATGATTAAAGATACCTTTCCCCAGACCTCAATGTGGTGGGAGCATCGTGCACACAGCACACTGGCCTTTTTTCAGATGACATTTTTTTAATGCTAATTTAGCTGAAAATATACGTAGTAGTTCCTAAACTTTGTCTGCACATTGGCACTATGCTTGTAATAGTATTTCTGGATTTTAGTATAAAATTTTCAATAATTAATCATTATGTTTGTGAAAGTTTAGTATGCAGTATAACTAATAACTTCTATTCATATCATAATGGGAAATAATGAAACTTTTTCTTATTATTATAACAGAAAATAGTTCTGTTATGGTGATCAGCTGTCTAACCTATAAACCATTTTACTGTAGAAAAATGCTCCTTGGTTATCGGTGCCACAATTTGGGGACTGGGATATGAAGGGACAAGTGCCAGACTACTCAATGGATTTCTCAAAAATTCGGGAAATGAGGAAGCAAAACAAGACAAATATTTCAAGGGCAAGTCTTGGTAATGAAGAGGAACTGATGACTTCTACCACTACCAATATAAACACTGATCACAGTGAAACTGAACGCCAGCACCCCCACTACCACCAAACCAGTTCTCCAACTGTAAGATTCCTGGCCAGATTTAATGTTCTTTATTTTGTTTGCTTCTTACTTTTTAAGGCCCCTCAGGAACAGGAATACTATTATAATTTATGCAAAAAATATTCACCAGTGAATATGGTGCAGTGGTTAGCAGTCAGCACATGTTATTCATTAGAGCTCCCCCCTTTTTCTCGAGCATTTTCGCAACGATGGAGAATTCAAAATACATGAGTTGACAGTAGACTCGATCCACATCAAATTTCCATTACTCTCTCGTTAAAAATCATTCTTACCAATCTCTCTTTTTTCATTTCCCCCCTCTCAAGTTTAATTCATTTGAAATAGTGCACATAAATCTGTAGTTTTTGACAGTTCTAAGAACTGTACCATATATTTTTATAATAACGAACATAATTTGAAGAGATCAAGTATAATGTGGTGGAAACTTTTTTTCTTTTCTGTGAAGAGTGGAAAACAACAACAAATACAACCCACCAGGAACCTCTTGGCAAGGAGGTTTTAGTAGCATAAGAAAACAAATCAAAACTAAGGTCGGGGCCTGCTGGTTAATGACAAATTCACGTAGTAGTCCATCTTCTTATTTTGGCCAAAGCAGGTAGTGGAAGCTTATACTAATGTTTTTTAACGCATAAAAAAGGGAAAAAACGGATATATTAAATTATACATTGCAGGGAATTATACTGTGGGACCCATGATAAACTTCTTCCTTTTTTTATGCTATTGCTCGCACAAATTTGAGCTGGGGGCGGTGGTTAGGACCATGTAAATATTAATATTTATATGTAGATATATGTACTATTTGCCAAAGACAACACGCAATTCTAGTTGCTGCACATGCAATGAATGTTCGGGGCAGTTACATTCATTTCATTGGTAAGAGGGCTATAAAATATGGTGATCGGTTATATTGATTAAAAAAGAGAAAAACTTTAGTGGAACTTTGATGTCATATTCATTTTCTAGATCCACAAAATATTGGTCTAGGATATTTGTGTTGCCTGAAGTATTGCGATTTTGTTTGATTTTTTCCCCTGACAGACAAGGAGGAGCTTTCTGAGCTACTTCAACTGTTGTGTAAAGGCCTGATACTCAAGGGAATCTACAACCTTTTCTCGTCTGCCGTGTGCCGTGGACAGGGACAACTATGCTTTTTTGCTTGGTGATAATTAATTTGCACTTGTTTTTTATTTAGGTAAACAAACCTTTCCTTTTAGCCCCAATCTTCAACAGGTGATTCTATATTACTTGCGCTGTAGTTTGAAATTTGTGTATCTAATTAGAGGTAAGGATGATAAAGATGTAAATGGCGCTCAGGAGTCAGGACTCTTGAACCTGTACCACCAGTTCTAAATTATGATGATGAATTAATCTAGCACAGTAATGCTCGAGTCGTTGACATTGTAATTTCCTTTTATTTTGTTCCTCAATTATTTATTCTGTCTTGAGTTGAATGCTTGAACTTAGATTGAACTTGCAATTGTCTTTCTCAGTGGTGTCATTTAGAGGTCATCCATAAATGTTGTTCCAATGTAACCTGCATTGACTTTTCATAGAAAGATGAATTGCGTTTACTGTTCATTCATTCTCCCTGTTGTTTTCATTTATTATACGAAGCCTCGGATCCATTTATTAGACATTTTCTGCTTGTTATTGGACCATGAGCATTTCAGCTCCATCGCTCAGATAGTCAATGAACCCCTCTATTCTTCAAGCCGTGGGTTAGGGGTGTTAGAAAATGCGAGGGGCATTTTAAGGTGAGCCTTGAATCCCCGCTAAGTGGAGCCAGGGATGGATGGGGATCTAGAAATAAATGCACATCTGGTAGCTCCATGTTACATTATGTAGCATATAAAAAAAAAAAAAAACTCATATTTCAGCTGAGTAAATGTAAAATCAGATACAGTAAATAGATTTTAATGTATATATTATAAGGTTTTGTTAAACTAAATAAGTTTAAGCATTTACAAATAAATTTTTTTTATGAAAAATATACACATTTGTGTTATTAAAATTATATAAATATATTTTTTAAAATAAAATTTTACTATTATTATCCGTTTATCTTTTCAATAAAATATTATAGCTGCCTATATTAGATTTGTGACTGTCATTGGACAATCAATTACCAATAATTTAATAGCAGCAGCTGCTATTACATTACTACAAGTGTTTACCTGATACTACTTGGTCTTTTGGCGAGACTCTCATAGAGGTCAGCGACGTAAAGGGAACAAGGCTAAAATCTCATATAAACAAGCACCAATTAACACAAAAATGAAACTTGGTTAAGGTTGCAAACTTGCAATGGAGGAGAAAGGATGTGTATTATTTTCTTCCGATTAATTTAGGCAAAACTTAAACCCCTAATGCAGGTAGGTCAAGAAGGGTTTACTATTTTCTTTTTAATTTTTTATGTTCATTAAGAAAGGGGGATTGAAAGTTAGGAAAGGGAGATGTGAAAATTTTAGACACAGGGTTTATCACAATAAAAACGCAGGACAGCCTAATACAGGCTGCCGAGTCGGATTGTTTGGACCACCAATACATATCCAGCTGAGTTTTCCTCAAGGAAAAATATATTTTAAGTTAATTTTAGTATAAATAAAGCTTTATGTAAATGCTGTACCAAACTTGTGCCGTCATTTTGTTAAGAATATCCAGCAACATAGGCATATTAACATACCCACCTGAATTATATATATCCAGCAAACCCTATCAATGTTTACAAGAAAAACCCCTATTATTCCACTCATTAATTGTCTTGGACACAAACATTCCAAAACTAACGCGACAAACGGCGTTCCCTGATATAGCTAATAATAATAATATAACTACGCATCAAACTTCAATATAATCTACCTAACCCCCCAACTGAAAAAAGTGAGAAATTGGAGAGTAATCTACGATTCTGGAGAAAGTCTCAAGAAGGGATCTTTGATTTGCCTCAGAACATTCTCTAATATCTCGTGGAGGCATTCTGACCCATTTTCAGAAGGAAAAAAAAAACATCTTGGATTCCTTTTGATTACAACAAATTACACTTTCTTGATAATCTGAACCACATCTTCATCTTCAAGTTCATGTTCCTGGTGCGTAATATCATATTCAACTTAGTACATGACATCTTTACTTATGAGATAAGAAAAAAAGAAAAAGTCAACACACAGTACGAGGAAAGAGAACGAAGCAGAAAATAAAGTAAATTGAGTATAGTATCAACCTTGCCAACTCTTTGAGGCTTGTGTTTCGCACTTGAACCCCAGACCAGAGCACTGCATCATTTGGTAAATGTAAGCATTTTTTTTTTCCAATAACCCCCCGGCGAAGCTAGTTCATCCATCAAACTAAAGATCAATTCTAAGTTATAAAGTAAGTTCAGTAGAGCATAGGCCTGAGAGAAAGAGGGAATAGCCTAAATGACTGCTTTGAATATATTATTGAAAGGTTTCTTAATAAAAGTATAAAACTAAGTACAGTTCAGACCTTCTAGTTGAAAAACTAAGTTAATCTTCACATATGCTGCCGCTCAATTCTTATTAACGCAAAACAGAGAGATTACTCAACATTGTGAAGGAATGAAGCTTAAGATATTATTAGGTTTTCGAACAAGGCACTCACTATTTAAACTGTTTAACCATGTCCTTGTGAATGCGATTGCAGAAGTCCTCAATTGTCCTCCTCTTAGATGATAATATGACAGGATCTTCATAGTCAGGATTCATCCCTTTAGGTTTAGTATAAATCCGAGTTAAGCTAAGATACTCCCAAATTTTCTCTAGAAGACCATCAAGGTTCCACTCCAGGTGTGCACTGAGGAATAGATAGAAAATTATACAAATTTTTAGAAAGAAAACAGCTTTGTGAATCAATTATTGCAAAAATCACAACAATGGAAATGGGAGAAACATGACAGTTGCCAATCATATCATAGATGCTTTGTATAGTAATCTATGCAACAATTTTGAACCGATATAGATGCAATGCAAGAGGGAGATTAACTAATATCAAACAAAGGCATAAACAAGGAAGAAAAAATTATTTAGACAATCTAAGGATGGCCATGAGTATGAAGGATTTAACATGCCAAGTAACTATAGTCAGTGGAACCAAATCAAAGGTCAAAAGGAAGATCCTAGCAAAAACAAAACAATGATATAGTAAAAATCTTCAGTGCTTTTTGCTATGTGTGAGAAAATCACAAGAGAATACTGCAAAATGAAATCCCAAAAAAGTACTCGTAAAAAAGAAATAATAACCTCTAAGCGCCTTCCACAAGGATGTACAAAATTCTTATGTTTTTTATGCTCAAAGGTAGGTAAAAGGATTGAGGTAGTAATAAGACCAGTGAATCAAAGAATTACCTGATTGGACAGTAATGAGGTAGCTTATCCAAGATCTCCAGTTCCTCTAGTGTGATCTGATCAATCTTGTTCACAACATAGATGCAAGGCATATAGACTCTACTGCCCTCAATGACATCTATAAGATCATCGGCAGTGGCATCATACCTGAGGGTAATATCCGCATTGTGAATTCTGTACTCACTACATATAGCCTTCACAGTCTCAAGATCCAGAAGTGTTGTGGTGACAGTTGAGGTGAGATTAATTCCACCCTTATCTTTCTTTCTAAAAGTCAGATTTGGTGGCTCTTTATTTAACCTACAGTCAGAAAATAAACTTTAATCAGTAGAAGAGGCACAAATGGGTAAAGAGAAGAAAATAAATAACAGAAAATCATCAATCAAAATTTCAATTGAAATACATCAGAACATTTACAAATGATTGTGGTCATTTGAAGGGCACAACAGCCAAAGACAATAAAGTCCATTACAAATTATATAACCAAATTCTCTTTAACAAAATTTCTCTCCCAGTGCTAGCCCACCTGCCACATGTACAGTTAGTTACAAGCAGTCCCACTTCCCTTGTTGCTCATTTTGATGCATGAACCCCTGCTGCTGTTCCATTCCTCCTTACTTGGGCCAAAGTCCAAGTAGAATGCCAAACAGAATTTTATCAGACTACAAACAAAATCACCAGTGCAACATCGCAATTTTTTGTTGATACATAAATAAAACAAGTCTGGTTGTTGAAATTTGAAATAATAAAGCCCCCAACTTATAAGGGGCTGCTTCCACAAAGAACCAAGATGAAGCAAGTCTCCACAAGATTCAATAATTATCTCTCAAAGCCATCCTTCAACACACGATCCACACCAAACCAAAACATCAAATCACAGTTGCTTCAGGCCAATGGATGCAATGGCTGCCATCAACCATAACCCAAAATGCTTGCTTTTGAGTCAAAAGCCTAACCACTTTATTCATTCATCATATTCATGCTACATTAGGAAATATATTTTAAGAGAGCCCAAAAAAATGAACTATTCATTCAAATATAGGTCGCTGCACACAGAGAGGAAAAAAATGCAAGTAAATCACATTGGCCAGACAATTGGTGACATAACATAAAATAGTAAATAAAAAAAATTACAAGTTACCATACCTTATACCAAATCCCTCTAGCTCTTTTTCTATAAGACGCTTATGAGTTATTGGCTTTATTGCATCCAGGACAATTAAAATGCAATTGCATGTCCTTGCAGTACTAATAACCTGCATTTGCAGAACAGTATATAAAATAAATTATGAGTGTTTGTCTGTGTCTGAATGAAGTGTGAAAAATAAAAGGTGCATAGTGAACATAGTCCTAAGTTGCAGCAAATGGAATATTTTGCAGGCCGAACAAGAAAGCTATATTCATGTACATGTAAGGCTAATTGTGTAAGTAAATCAAAAAAATAAATCACAATAAAGACAGCATTCCATGCTCTAAAAGAAACTGGATGTCTCAAAAATAAAAAGGAGTAGGATCAGGGTGTTTAAGTACCAAAACAGTTTCCAGGAATCACCCCATCCAAAAAAAAGCCAGAAGTTCATTAATGACAAAACAAAACCATAATTTCTCAAAATATGCCATGGATATCACCTCAATACAAGATCAATAGAAACATTTTTTAAAAATTTTGAGGAACTTTGCTCTCTTTAAAAAAAATGATAAGAGATATTCATTCACAAAGGAACTTTGACCACATGGCCGAATTTAATTACAACAGATATGCTTCGGTTTAGTTAATTGAAATTATCTGCTTATCTTGTCACAAATCATATGAAATGTTGTTAAACCATAACTAGAGCATACTATGGATTTTTTTTCTTTACCTGCCGTCCTCTACCCTTTCCATCCTTAGCACCCTCAATAATTCCTGGGAGATCCAACAACTGCCAAATAAAATTGAATAATTACTAGTTAAATATTGAACATAATTTAATCACAATCATATTATTATAAGTTGTATGATGATTAATATGTGACCATCATAAAGTCATAAGTTCCAACTAATTGATGAAAAATATTCAGGGAAAATTTTATTTTGAAGTAAACAATATTAATGGGACCATCTTGGTTCCCAGGAGAGAGAATTAAAGAAGAGTTAACATTAACCCTTTATTATTGCCTAAATGTAAAACAAAAAAGTTAAATTCAGTCCTTATACTTGTCACGCTTTTTTAATTTGGTCCCAACATAAAACAAGTAACAATTTAGTCCTTACATGGGGTAAACGTTTTTGAATTAGTCCTTTACATTTAAAATAATGTTAACAACGTTGGATGAAGAACAAAATATAAAAAAACATTTGTATAAGAACTAAAATGTTAACTTCATAGGAACTTATTTGTAAATAAATGTTGACTATAAGAACCAAATGTATATTTTAACTAGAAATTAAAAAAAATTGGACTTGCTTAGGAAAAAAAGAAGTTCTGAATGTAAACATCACAAAATTTTAAGTGACTAAAAACTTATATTTTTAAAAGATAAAAATATAAATAAGAAAATGTTAACTTCAGTCCTTAGGACTAAGTTTAAATTACTAAATATTATAAAATTTTATTCAAAGGAGAAACATTTATTACACTTTTATCATAAACAAATGTATATTCCAATTAGAAATTTTTTAAAAAATTGGACTTACTTAGAAAAGAATGAGGAACTGAATAAAAAAATTACAAAGTTTTAAGATACTTAAGACTTTGTATATTCAAGCAAACTTCTTTATAGTGTAACTTCATATTCCAAAGATAGTAAGTCTCCTCTATTATAAAGAGTTTCCAAAGATAATAAGTCTCCTCTATTATAAAGAGTTTTTTCTTTTCAAATATAATTATTGATGTATAGTAAAAATTTTAATGCTGATACTTTATTCATTAATTTGAAAGCATGAAAAAAGATAAAAATAAAAAAGTGTTAACTCTAGCCTTTAAGACTGTAAGAACTAATTATAGTTAAATATATTAAAAAGAGAAACATTTATTACACTTTATATTTTTCATAATGAATGAATTCTTTCTCAATAAAAATTTTCTGCTTTTAGATGCTTAAACTCAACTTTAAGGACTAAGATAAACAAAATTGTAATAAAGTAAAATTTTGTTAGACAAGACATAGGTGTGATCTGAAAACAAAATTGAATTATAATAGAAGTTAAGCTATATAGTTAAAAATTTATGTTTTAGTCTTTACCAAGTTTTTTTAATATTTTGATCTCTCCATCTAACACCGTTAACACATATTAAATGGCAAGGACTAATTTGAAAGCATTTACTCATGTAGGTACTAAATCATAGTGTTTTTAATGTAGAGACCAATTAAAAAGATGGGTCAAGTATATGAACTAAATTTGTAATTTAACAAAGAAAAAAATCTGCAAAACAAATACCTCCATGTAGTTGCACAGATTTCATCTTTATTTTTTTTATGCTTAATTTGATAATAGAACAGGATTAGATTGTATGCAAACATTAGGAACCTTAAAGAGATATTATCAAATTTTAAAAAATTCTTCAGCCCAACAAAAAATAAAAATCCAGATATATTTGTTTGTAAAATCATAACATGGACAAAAATATCATAAAAAAAACCAAGTGACACAAGACAAAGCTTTTAGGTGTTCATCTCTTTCATTTTAAGTCATCTAGAGATAGCTAGTTCAACAACCAACACAAGCAACTCGATTTACTCATATATACAGGAAGTATGAACAAGAAGAGGATAAGAAATAAAATTCACCAAAACAATGTTGGTTTCAGAAAATGTTCCTTAAAACTAACGACTCACTCACAGCTTACAATCAGCAGCTACTAATATAGACTGGCAGCATTCACATATTATTTACTCCTCTCAACCATTATCAGAAAAAACTAAATTTAGGCATTTAATTTTAGGAAACACAAGTTTTTCAACCCACAATCAGCATATCTTCTGCATAGTAAGGTGATAAATTTATCAATATATAACTTGCTCATGTGGAGGTACCTGAATTTTAGCTCCTCGATATGTGATCACACCTGGGATGCAAGTTAAGGTAGTAAACTCATAGGAAGCAACCTACAAACCAAAACAAGTAAACTTTCAGAAAATTCTTTAGTACTAACCAAACTTAAAGATAATTTGGAAAATCGTAATGCTGCCCACCACCCAAACCAAATACAGAGAGAAAATTATCCTGCACACACATGATGGTTCATTACTTAATGAACACAATGCATCACCTCTGTAGCATTATCCATAAGAAAATTAGTGTACTTGAACTTCTGTTTATAATTCCCCATTAGTGCTCTAGAGTTAGAATGATGGAAATTATTTGAAGAATGGAACTTGTATAGTAGGTCTATGCTCACATTGCTCACAAGGTTTAGAATAAGATGATTATTCCTGAGAGAGCTTTAGCATCCTAGTATTTTAAATCTGTGAATCTAGCCATGTATCCAACGGCATTTTTTAACTTCTTAAAAGCCCATTTTTTTATTAAAAGGTTGCACTTCTTTGGACTCCATTGAATCAAATTCCCTTTCCAAGACACAACAAAGAAATAAAGATTGGCCCATATTATACCTACATTAAAGAAGAAAATGTGTAACACCTGGAATACTTCCATACCTCTGAAAATGTCCCAGTCAACTTATTCAGCAGAGTAGATTTGCCAACTGAAGGGAAGCCCACAAGACCAACTCTTGAATCCCCACTTTTAGTAACATCAAAACCTTCACCAGCACCTCCACCTCCTTTTGATGTAGGTGTAAGGAGTTCCCTCCGCAGCTTTGCAAGTTTAGCCTGGCACCAGACAGTTACTAATAATTAATCAACTCCCCAACAAAAACAGCAATAGAAAAGAGGAACTGAAAAAGCTCAAAAAAGGGGCAATACAGAATAAAATTCTATTAATACTTATAGAAGACGGATTCCATATAGAAGGAGAATACAGAAACACTCATCTTCCCTTTAATATCATATCAAAGAAGAAAAAATATCAAGGATCCATGTAGACCATAGAAACAAGAAAAAAAAGATAAAAAGTATAAGATTTCATATTTTCAGATTTTATTTACTGATATTTTAGCATTCTTTTTTACCCAAAGGAGCACAAGCAAACTAGCATCATGTACCTAAAATCATAAACAAATCACTATACAAGTCAGTAGATACTCCCAAAATGGAGAGTGGAGACAGTGTAGGCCAACGGCATTGGCAGAAAGTGCTATTCCTTCCGTCGTGAATATAGGGATGGAAATTAAGAAAATCAACATACAAATCAACAAGAACCCTTAAAGAACAAACTAGGCCAAATGCATGGGCAGAATGTGCTATTTTGCTTTTGCCTACAAATTCCAATATGAAATGTATGGAAAACAATATCGTCAAGAACCAGATAAAATTCTGAATGCAATCCTGGTGAGTCTATAACAAATTTCTCCTTCAACTAACTCAAACAAGATCATGAGAATATTTCAGTACTTGAAATAAAAGCTTTCTCCAAGTTTGAAATAAAAAGAAGATATCCCACTATCTTCAATAATTTAACTTCAACTAAAGCTAAAACACATGTAATGATCTAACTAAAATAAAATTCAGAGTAGCACACTGGTTGTTAACATAATTGATCTTTTTGTACGCCATTTAATATTAAAACAAAATGCATTTAAGTGATTACCTTCAGCAAGCCCAAATGATGAGCAGTAGCCTTGTTCTTTTGGGTTCTTGCCATCTGAAAGATACAATTGACCAACGATCATATCAAAATAATAACTTAAGGACAGAATGAAATTCGCAGCTGCTATGTTGAAAAATAATCAGTAGACATATCATCTAATCCTTTGGATATCGATTGACATATGTCCTGACTCCTAAAGAATTACACAAAAATGTAATTCGACTAGGAGTACCGCACTTAATGGGTATACATTTGAAAATGTAAACCGCCATAGTTACAATATGAACTCCAAAGAAAACACAACACATGAACTTCTGGCGAGAAAGGGGGAAAAACCCAATTGAGAAACATCAATTAGATTCAATTAAGTAACTAAGTGGCTACAATTCCGATGTTGGAAATTCATCGTTCCAAAAACTGAATCTCAGCAATCAAAAGAAGGATAATATATATATATATATATATATATATATATATATATGCAAATAAAAATTGAAGGATAAACTCTGAATCTGTAAGAAATAGCTCTTTAAAAAAAGTGTTTCGTTATCAAATGGCAGTAAATTGATAACTTAAGAGGGGACGCAAACCATCTCAATTTTTTATGGATTATTTTAAAGTGCTAAATCGATACTGATACAAAAAAAAAAGTTAATGATTCAATTGAATAAATCGCATGATTATAACCATTTCCCTGTGCTACACTCAAACTAGGTACCTCATCTTCGATGTCTTTGATTTTCTGCATCACCGTCGCCATTGTGGAAGAAAGAAAAACAACGCAAAAGAGGTTCAGGTTACTCCTGGCGTGAAGGGAAGTGAGATTGGAACCGGACAACTCTGGGGTGGGGAAACGGTGTTTTGCGCCGGGGAGGAGGAGAACGAAGAAGCTGCTAGAACAAATATGGACAAATGCTTACGGTGGGACTTAGGGTAGAGTATTCGACTCTCGAATTGAAATCGAAATTGCAAAAAACGATGAGTCATATGGGCTGGGTAGGCCCAAAATAATCTAGCTCCAAATATTTTTGGTCCCGACTTCTTTTTTAGACCCAAATCTACTGCAGTTGAATCCAAGACGATAAAACAAGAACAAATACAAAACCAAAACCAACCATCGTTAATCTACCAAAAACAAAAGAACACAACCATAACAAATGTGCAGTACAAATTCTAGTGTTCAGAGTGTATTTGGTAATATACATGTATACATTATATCTTATTTTTTGTTAATAAACTAATAGAGTTGTTTGATAAATCATCTAAATAGTACGAAAATTTGGAATACAAATTCGACAAAAACTGCTTTCTTATCCTCAGTTTAAATAATATATTTAAAAAATGAAAAATAAGATAGCATTTGACAAAAATCAAGGGTAATGATAGTATACAAATTTTTCAAATATTTTCGTTAACCTATTTTTGTGCGTTTCAGCAATTGCCATGTAATATAAATGTTATTGGACAAAACTTAAAGAACAGTTAATGTACGATAATATTAAATGAAAAAGGTTTACTAAAATAAAAGTGTAATTTTAATGAATTTTACACTCCCAAAAGATAAAAACATTTTATCAGTTAACAAAATAATAATAATAATTAACATAAGTATGTTACAGTGATTTCATCAAATTTATCAGAGTTACATTGAATACTCCCTGAAATAGCGTATTCATAATTCATTGAACTGTTAAGCATTCAGCAACATGGAAAACAAAATTAATTTTAAACGCCCAAATGGTAGATCTTCTATCTTTCGAACTTTTTCTGTTGGTGAAACTATTTTTCACTCTGTAAGCCAACAAGCCTTAAAATCATAAATAACTCGGTTCACGAGTAAAATTCTAGACATTTGAAAAAGGGAGCAAAATTGAAGGAAAAACCCTGGAACAATCTGTTGACTACAAAAATAAAACTCGCGTTTTTCATGTCTATTACCAATGAATACAAATATAAGATCAAAGTTCAGCCAAGAAAAAGAATATAGGAAGACAATTCTAACGCTAGTTTCATCTAGAAGACTAGCTCGTGAGGCTTCACCCCTGCCTTCAAGGAAAACCTGGCACCTAGGTAAACCACCAAGTCTGGAACACTCTCGATTGCTTTTATCAATGCGGAATCCACAGTCTTTTGGTCATCTTTCTTTTGTTGGGGGAGCACATTTTTCTCCTACATTGGGACATCGCACAGATCAGCACACATCACACATGAGCCAATAACATGGCACTAAGTTACTGATACAAGAGCGGGGAAATTACAAAACTTGACAAACTAACCTCCTTTTCTGCCTCAAAGAACTCCCCTTCTCCCTTCTTTGTCTTTTTCTGGACTTCCTTTGAAAAGTACTTGTCGTCAAATTTATCCACATTAACTGCAGAAACATCTACTTTGGTTGATGTGCCAATAACATACGACTGATTCACGCGTCTCAAAGGAACTCCATTAATCTTGAAAGGACCTGAAATGGTGAGAAAGAAGCCTATGAAAAATGGGCAGAGAAGACTGGAAAGTAGGGTAAATCTTTATAGGAAGAGTGTTGTGCCTTCAAACAGAAATCAATTGGTACCGAAAGCTAAAGTAAAACAGGTTAGAGAATCCACGCACAGGTGTAATCACTAACATCCACAGACAGACATGCACAAAAGAAAATAGTACGGGAGACATCATTAAGAATGTGAAGAAATAAGAGTAACAGTCAATTCAAGAAATAAAATGTGAGGTAATATTGTAAACATTAAACTGATCCTTACTAAAATGCTCAATATTCACAATGAAATAGTATACCTCTTCAAGCCATTCTTAATTATCTTTAAAAATACGTATGCATACAAGATACAACTGGTTAAGATAAGAACAAAGACTTCAACATGAAACTCCCTCATAAAACTGTAGCAGCCACAGCATTTGCCCTCTTTATATAACAATGGTTACTCAAATGCACACGCACGCAGAAAATAAATAATTTAGCAGAAAGATTAAAAAGGGGTACCGGTTACGAGAAGCAACCCAGAAGGAAGCTGCTTAAGAAACACTACTCTCTTTCCCTTAAATCTGCCGGCAAGAAGAATCAGCACAGTCCCGGCAGTAATGCTGGCCCTGAAAACCAAAACAAACCATTTAAAATCATCAGAGACACAGATTCTCTATCTAAATAAGATAAGAAAACTATAGCTAAAATGAAAAGAAAATATAGGGCTCATTCACCACCTAAAGTCTCAATCTAGACCACCTTATGTTTCATATCAAAGGATAACTTGTTTGAGAACACCAAATGTTCAACAATTGATAACAAAATAGGTGTTGATGTTGACGAGTAGTGAGTGACCTGAGCTTGGTAGCTTTGGGCTTGTGCTTGTTGAGAAGAGGCTTCTTGACATCTTCAGCAGGGTAGAACTTAGGGGGTTTCTGAGGGGGTGCTTGAGGCTTGGGATTGGGATCGTGGCGAGGGAAAGAGCCACCGTTCTTGGCCTTGATGGCCCAGAGACCCCTCTTATGGTACATCTGAGATCTTGAGTATTTTCCAATTCCCCTTATCAATTCTGGGTTTCTGCTAACCCTCGCTCTTCCCTGCTTCGGCGCCATTGCTCCTCTCTCTCTCTCTCACAAAACCCTAATTTCTCTTCCACTCCTATCAAACATACCCTGCCAAAATTCATACTCCTGTATATACATTTCACTAAAGAAAACTGTTACTTTACTGAAAATAAAAAATAAAAAATTGCTGGCACATTTTTCACATATATTTTTTATATTAAAAAAAGAATCAAATCAAAATAATGTAAAAAAAATGTCAAGTTAAAAAAATCAAAGTATTAATTTTATCCTTTAAAATATTTAATACAGCCATATTTAATATAACTCAAACTTAAGACTATAGATTAAGTTAAAATAACTCTTTGTCAACTAATTTATGTGTTTGATGATTTCACAACTAAATTTTAAAAATTAAAATAATTTTTTATGATTTTAAATATTAAAATAAAATATTTTAAATTTGAGTTTAAAAAAGTTAACTATATTCTAGGAAAATATATTTTGTTTTAAAAATTATTAATTCTATATTATAAATGAGAGTACACTAAGACATTTTGTAGAGTTAATCCTTTTTACATATATACATTTTATGGTTAAAATTGAGTGAAGTAACGTGTAAAATGCTTCTTTTCTTTTTTTTTTAGTTACAACCGGTTTAATTTTCACTACTTTTTTTGGTAATTTTATTCTAAATTTTGAAGATAAAAAATATTACTTAAACTTATCTTATTATTATATATAAATTTATAATTTTTATAAATACTTATATTTAAATTTATAAAAAAAATATTACTTTATATTTTGTGATTATACACTTAAGCTAAACTAATTTTTAAAAAATTATACATACATATATATATATAATTATTAGAAAAACTTATATAATTTTAAATTTATTAATATATATATATGATAAATTGTTTATACATTTCATATATTATTGACTAATTTCCAAATAAAATTCTATAATCGTTCAAAACATGCCCTTAATTTTTATTTTATTGTTTTTCCTCGGTCTTTTCTAACTTACAAGTATGTTTTCATGTATGTGTATTAAATTTTGTTAATCTATTATAGAGTCGAGTTTAATTATAAACAGATTAAAAAATATTATTTGAAAACAAACACATTTATCATATAAAGCTATAATTAAAAGTTTATTTTGTTTATCTATGATTATAAAAAAAATTATTTTAGAAGGTAACTATAATTTTTTTTGACAATTTTTTTTAAATAACATTTCAAAATAAACAAAAATGTAGTTCTTCTTAAGATTAAATAAATACACTAAAAATTGTTTTTTAAGTCAACCGTATTTAAAAAATCTAAACAAACGAGTTTTATAATATATTTTAAAATATATGTATTTTTTATAATTACAAAATAAGTGTGTCTATTATAATTTATTTTAACGGTGAGATTATACTAAATACAAGTAAAGGTGTGTCATTTATATGCGAGAAATCAATATGTGTGTATATTTCATATAATATATCATTTGAAGATTTGAAATGTTAGCTTTGTTAATATGTTCATAAAGTTTCATTTCTAAAAACAATAGAAAGTGTTATTTATTGATATCCAGTGTTAATATTTGGCAATTTTATGCTGTAACCTAATGTTATAATTTAAAGGAAGCCAACTAATGTATTATAATACTCACTTTAATCTAGTTTCTATTCATCAATGTTGTTTTTTGAATCAAATCAGCCTCCTATTAAATTTTCACACATATATTGTACTACAACAGTAAAGGGATTTGTAGAACCAATCATTGTTATACCGTTGATCTTAAGTTCAACTAACATATAAACATTTTGTAATGTAATTATGTATTTTTCATAAACTAGGTGAAATATGTGTGTTTCAGGTCTCTAACATTCTACAAATGCATTTACAAGTGAATCGTTTATTTGCATTTTACAAAGTTGAGAAATTCGTTCAAAGTTAGTATGTCGTAAAAATTCTATAATTTTTGTCCTTAGAAGTGTTATCCACAAGTGACGAGATCATAACAATCTCATTACCTATTATAAATAATATAAAAAATATTATTAAAATACATTATCTATATTAAATAACTCCTACAAAATATTTATAAAATAATATAATTCTTATAAATATAAAACTCATTATAGTAATATAATTAACAAAATATTAACATTAACGCATTATTAACAATAATGTATTTTTAATAAATTTGAAACAAATTCATAATAATTATTATTTAAATTATAATTATTTAAAATGTAATAAATAATTATTAGAAAATATAATAATTACTTGTTGTTAGTTATTTTAAATTAACTCTCAGATTTTATTAAAATATTTTATACATACAAACTATTAATTACTAATTAATTCATTTATTATAAACTATCCTAACTCGTTCCATGTAAAACTTAAATATATTTAATTATTTTCAAACAAATTCATAATAATTATTATTTAAATTATAATTATTTAAAATACAATAAATAATTATTATGAAATATAGTAATTACTTGTTATTAATTATTTTAAATTAACTTTAAGATTTTATTAAAATATTGTGTACATGTAAATTATTAATTATTAAGTATTTCATTTATTATAAATTACCCTAACTCATTGCATATAAAAATTAAATAATTTATTACTAAATTAACCTAATTAATTTAACAAAAAAATTGCCTTACAATATAATATATAAAAAATTTTAAAATTCACATAATACATTAATGATAATATATATATATATATATATTAAAATATAGATTAAAAATATATTAAATAAAATTATAAAATTTACATTTAAATTTTGAATTTATTTAAATATATGTTTTATTGAATCAACGGTTAAATTTTTACTATTTTTTTAATTTTTTTCTAATTTCCTACTCTCTCTCAGCCTTATTCTTTTTCGCCAAAAAGACTCTCTCTTTTTTTCCAATTTTTGGTTCCCCTCTTGTGCATTGAGCATCAGCTCAGGTGGCAATGTATAAAAAGCAATATATAGTCTTCATTCCTATAGTTATTTGCATGGCCCGATAGATAAAGTCAAAACTCGCTGACGACGAGTTTATAATATTCAGAGCTCACATATTTCTGTACATTATAGTGTCTATAGTTGCTTAAAAGTGTCGTTAGCGAGTTTAGTTCCTGATCACCATCAAAATTGCCATTTGTAATTTTATAGAAACTCGAAATTGCAGCCTGCATCCTGCCATGATTATGTTCATATTAAAATCGCTATTAGCATTTTTGTAGAGACATGAAACTGTAGCTTGCGTTTCTGCTATAGTGTTGTTCATGGTAAAATTGTCATTCACATTTTCTTTTTCATATTCTAGTAATATTGCAAAAAAAGACTATTTTTTTGAATTTCTTTTATTAATATTTCATATTCAGATAACTTTTTCACATGTTGAAGGAATTTAAAAGTAAATTTATTAAAATATTGTAAATTAAAAAAACAATTTATTATTTTATAGGAAATTTGAAACAATTTCCCAATCTAGGATGATTTTGCCACGTGGATCAAAATTTCGCCAAACGGCTGGCGAAAGTATTAATTTTTGAATTTTTTAATACCTATTTCGCCACAAAAAGAACAAAATACGACTTCTTAGAGCGGTTAAATTAAAACCGCTCTCATAGGTCTATTTAAGAGAGCGGTTCAAATGGAACCGCTCTCATAACTCCTTTTAGAGAGCGGTTCCATTTGAACCGCTCTCTTAGGTATATACAGTAACTCGTATCACGAATTTTGCCAACCGAATTGTGAAATGTAAGTATAGTTTCGCATATTTGATGGCGAAAATTTTCTTTTAATATATTTTTAAATTAATTTCGTTACCGGACTGGCGAAACAAATAGCAGTTTCTTCATTTTGGTGGCGAAATTGCACACTCCAATTTCAGAGTTTAAACGCTATATATATCTCCAACCCTTCTCTCATTTTCATCGGAAGGACACATTAGAAGAAAATCTCAGGTATGTGTTATTTAATAATTTTATTATTTAATTTTGAATGTATAATTTTAGTTATATTTAATTAATGAGTATTGTTTATTTTATTTATGTTAATTATTGTAAAGTTTAAATATTAAATAAAGTTTATTTGAATAAAATGCAGGATGAGTGGGATTGTTATTATTATATATTGGAATGGTAGAATCTATGAAGGAAATGAAGGAGTAAGTTTTGAAGGAAGTAAAAAAGTAATTCAAATAAAACGAGGAATAAGTTATGAAACATTGAAAAGAAAAATTCATGTGAAACTCAATCTTAATCATAATCAAGTGATTTCTAGATTAATTTCTCATTTTTTGATTGATAAAAATATTAGACAGTATACAGCTTTGGATATATGTGATGATGAAGATATTGATTGTATGATAAGTTCATTTCAACAACAATCTAGTAGAAATATTATTGAGTTATATGTAGATATTGCTGTTGGTGGAAGTTCATCAATCTCCTTACAGACGATGAATTTAAATTTATCACTTTCACAACAAAATGATAGGACCCTTGTGAGTCGTGATTATAATGAAGGTAAAATTATTTTTGTTCTAATGTCTTTTATTTAATATATGTAATTGATTGAATTAAAACTGATAAATTTGTTGCAAAAAAGGAGTTAGGAATGATGCTGATGAAGATAATGAACACTCAGATTATGAGAGTTACACTGATGGAGATGATGAAGCAGAAATTTCGTTAGGCAGTTCTTCTTCTACTGATGTTGAAGGCGAGTTTAATTCCAACTTACATATACAAGTAACCGAAAATGTAGGAGGTAATGTGAAATAATTATAAAGAATTTGTTTTTTGTGGTTATTTATTTATATATTAATGATAAATATAATGCAGAAGATACTGTAATTCCTTTTTGGAATGTTACTCCAAAGTATAAGTATATTAATTGGGAATATCCTGATCAAGAAATGGATGAAAAACATCTTCAAGAAGTCAAATCGTGGGTTGAAGGAGATCCTTTATTTGTTGGCTTATATTTTGACAGTAAATAAGATGTGAAGAATGCATTAAAACATTACGCAATGAAGATTCATCAAAGTTATTTTGTGGCTGAGTCTAAACCAACATGTTTGTACGTTAAATGCTTAAATCATACATCTGGTTGTCCATGGAGAGTGAGAGCTTCATTGTTGAAGAATTCAAACAAGTGGAAAATTACTAGGTGGGGTGGTTCACGTACATGTGTCAATATGAGAATTTCTCAAGATCATCAAAAGTTAGATTCTGATTTAATTTGTTCATGCATTCTTGGTAAGTAAAATATCAAGTTTTTTATTTTATTTTTACAATGACATTGTTATTAACTTGAGAAAATTTATTTTATGTAGGAATGGTCAACGAGGAACCGTCGGTACATATTTCATTGATACAAGAGCAAATATGTGCTCAGTTTGGATATAAAATTTCATATAAAAAAGCTTGGAAGGCAAAGCAAAAAGCCATTGTTAAAGTATTTGGTGATTGGGATGAATCATATGCTACCTTGCCTCGTTGGTTAGAATACATGCAATTAAATTCTCCTGGATTTGTTTATAAACTTGAAACAAAAGAGTATGTGGTTGGTCATCAAGTGAATAATAGGTATAGAGTATTTGAACGACTATTCTGGTCATTCGAACAATGTCATGAGGCTTTTAAATTCTGCAAACCTATATTACAAGTGGATGGGACGTTCTTATATGGTAAGTATCGTCATACGTTGCTAATTGCAACAACTCAAGATGGAAACAATTGTGTTCTTCCAGTAGCTTTTGCAATTATTGAAGGAGAAACACTGTCAGCATGGGAATGGTTTTTGGCATTGATTCGTTTGCATGTTACCGATAGAGCAGGAATTTGTTTGATATCAGATAGACATCAAAGTATAAAAGGAGCTGTGTCAAATCCACACATTGGGTGGCAACCTCCAAATGCGTATCATGTATATTGCATTCGTCATATTGCCAGCAACTTTAATCATCGGTTTAAGAATATAGCATTGAAGAAAGAGCTCATCAAATTGGGTATATTTAATTTTTTTATCTAGATTATGGTTAAATTATTATATATCCATCGAATCCGTGGATAGATATTTCAATGTTTTGAATGTTGTATATGTAGGTTATACACCATCGAATGTCATTTTTCAGCAAAAGTTAACTAGATTCGCAATGAATCTGAAGATATAGAAAGGTGGATTGATAGTATATCAAAAGAGAAATGGGCATTATCTTATGATGATGAAGGACAGCGTTATGGACATATGACTACAAATCTTTCAGAATCAGTAAATAAAGTGTTTAAAGGTGCTAGAAACCTGCCCATATGTGCACTAGTTAAAGCCACCTATGGACGATTGGTTGAATATTTTGTGAAGCGTGGAGAAGAGGCCATGTCTGACCTTCACAATGGAAGCATGTTTTGTCGTAAAGTTATGTTGCAAATTCAAAAAAATCAATAAGAAGCTTCATCACACCAAGTTCGTCGGTATGACATACAAAGAAAAAGTTTTGAGGTTGAAGAAGCTTTTAATCCAATAACACAAAGGGGTGGACACAAATGGACAGTTATATTGGATAGAAGATTCAGCGAATGTGGAAGATTTCAGTCTTATCGATTTTCTTGTTCACATGTGATAGTCGCTTGTATAGCCGTGAGTATCAATTTTTGGCAATATGTGGATCCTGTTTATTCAATGCAATATGTTGTAAATGCATACTCCCCACAGTGGAAGCCCCTGGGAAATGAATGCAACATCCTTACAAACTGCGAATGGAAGTTAATGCCTGATGTTGACAGAGCAAGAGGTAAAGGCCGACCAAAATCAACTCGCATTAGGAATGAAATGGACTGGGTTGAGTCACAAACTAGACAAAGGTGTTCCAAGTGTAACGAAGTAGGTCACAATCGATGTCATTGTCCTCAACAAAACAATGTTGGTTAACCAAATCATACAATGTTGGTGTTTGTATTTTTTTTATCTTGTGATATTGTTATTTATCGTAATTGTCATTAATTATTGTAATGAAACCATTAATGTTATATCAAGTAAAGGCACAAACAAATTAATAATTACGGTAAGCATTAAAGTCACTAACAGTAATATATGTTAACTAAAATAAGTTGCTACATAAAAACATGTCATTGTTGTCCCCCCTGTGTGCCTGATGATGATGATCGTCTGGAGTCAAGATGCATTGCCTTTGTCTATCTCGAGCTCCTCGATGAGGGTTCCGACGAACATATCCTAAATCAGCAACTGCACCAAACTCGGCATTAAGATCAATACCTAACTCTATAGGATGTATGTCTGATGGTATAGGGTCAACTTGACTGTATGGGGCACCTGGAGTCAAAAGCGAATGGTGCTCGTGAGGAGGTGTGAAAAAGAAATCAGGTCGTGGGATGTAATCTTCTGTTCCTGTAAAAGGTGATGATGGGTGTTCTGATGGATGGTGTGTACCCTGTGATGAATGGAAATAAGTCGGGGCTGTCATCAAACTAGATGGATGAAAAGGAAACTCTGATGGTATTGGAAAGACACCATCAGGTCGCGCTGGCATAACCGGGACAGCCCACTCTGCTTCCTGCACTTGTCTCCGTCGACGTGCCAAGCCTCTTCCTTCTCTTCGTTGATGCGGCTGATCTATGTGTAAGTCTGGATCGACAGGATTACCACTTTGTACTGGTGGATCTGAGGTTGAAACATGCTCTAATATGCGATCTTGCTCCTTCTTCAATGACAGAAGAGTCTCAGACAAGTCCTTCAATTCATTAAAGGTAAAAGAATCATGTCCATCAGTGCTCAAGTAATGCAATCTCTCCATCACATCACCCTAAAAATAGTCAAAAGTAACCATTACTGTAATTTTGTATATAAAACAGAAAGTAATAGTGCAAAAAGTATATATTTTTGTAAACATACCGACAAAGCTGATACTGCTGCCTCCCTGGTTATCCAACGACGAGTATGACTAACATACCATCGCATGTACTCTGAATTTGAGCTAAGTAAACCATACTGAGGCTCATTAGTCAATACCCAAAGTCGTCTACTCTCCCAAATTTCTAACATAGCATTGAACTTGGCTGACCAATCTTCCCTCTGAGGGTAAGGTCATGTAGCTGGTTAGGCTGGTAAGGAGTCCTTGGTATGTGTTGAACCATGCCAAACTGACGCATTACTCTATCAGGTTGATGCCACTCACATACCTGAAAACATATAAGTGGCACCACTGCCCTCCATAAGTCCATACCATCTCTACAAATAGGTGGTAATATATTGATGAGTTCCATATTGTATGGCACCCACACAATCTGTATGATGACATACAAAACAGATTAATAACAAAAAAGTACGTAATTAACAAGTTATTTAAATAAGTAACTCAGCAAAAGTTGGCTATAATACCTCATCACGTGCTAGACGATCAAAAATATATCTGTAGTAGTGGACATCTTTCTTTCCCCTTCTGATACCGTGGGATAACCATCTGCAAGTAATTGACCATAAAAACATGAAGCCAAACAAATAACATTATAGAACACCTACAAATGCATAGTGCTAGCAATAACAATACCAACTTACCTAACACCGTACGGAAGATAAGGACGACTATAGGGAGGATTGATAGGTGCTATCTGGGGAAATCTATCCCAAGCCTAAATCACAATTAACGCAGTCAGTCCTCCAATAGCAACACGATCAATGTTGGTGGTCATGCATAGCTCTTGATACAAATAACCTAGAACTCCAAAACCCCAACTATATTGACCGGTCAACTCAAAATCTTCAAGCAAAGGCAAGTACCTCACAAATACCCTACTGCTAGAGTGATCAGGAAGCATGAACCCTCCAATAAGCCTCAATATATATGCCCTAGCAAACCGAGTGATCTGCAGTGGAGTCTGATTATGCATGGCAATATGAGTGAAGTGTTCGTCCAACCAGCTCATCTTCAAGAAACTCCCTACAAAAGCCTCTGATCCTGGTCTCATACCTAGGCTGTCTTCCACAATCTGAGCCCAATCACCCCCAGTGGGTGCTATAACAGGTCTCCCATCTATGCGTAATCCTAATATAATAGCAACATCCTAAAGGGTAATAGTACACTCTCCAGAGGGCATGTGAAAGGTGTGCGTCTCGGGCCTCCACCTCTCTACTAATGCAGTAATCAATCCCACGTCTACAGGAAGCTTAGACAAGTTAGCCACTCCAACAAAACCCGCTAATTCCAGATGTGGAATAATTTCTTCCGGAATACCTTCTAATCCACCGGGAATATTTGGACTCTTCCTAACTCTCAATGTCGGGTGATCACGTCCATCCCAAATATGCTCAGAAACATGAATACTCTGAAACCGAAGAAGTGATGGATCTTCTAGCCCGGGATTAATAACCCTACTTTGTTGTGAAGATGATGCCATCTATACAACAATAAAAAATATTAGTAAAAAAATTTCATTCAATAATAATAATAATAATAATAATTTATATTTTACTAACATATTAATAATACATAAATTTTATATAAATACAATTTTAAAATTTTACTTCAATATAAGTGTAAAAATTATTTATTACAATCAAACTAAGTATAAATTATTATATTTAGTTTTATATATTTATTTTATTTAACTCAATTTTTATTATTCTGTATTTTAATAAATATCTATAATAATTCCTGTAAACAAATTTTATAAATCTTAATTTAACCTATCTTCTTAACAATTAATTATAATTTTATATTTTAATTAACTATATCACATTTCATTTTTTCTAAAAATATATTAATCTATATATAAATAAATAAATAACTATTTAAATTTTAAATTCTTTTTTACTAATCTTTAATAACCTTTCAGCAAATTCTTCACTCACCCCCACTTAATTACCAAATCACTTACATACGTAGAGTTTAAAAATATTACAATATTATTATCAGATTTTCTAATTAACAAAATCAAATTAAAAATAATATATAAATGCATGTTGTTATAATTCCATACCTCTTAAATTCGTAGCAGTATTTGATCCTTCACAGCAAATCAAAACAAATTTTGAAACTTCGGACGATGATAGAGGAGCAGAGACGGAGAAAAGCTAAATGGACGACGAAAGAGGAGCAGAGACGGAGAACATGTAAATGGAAACGAAGGAGGACCGTGACGGAGGAGGAAGAAGGGAGACGGTCAAAAGCAGTTTCGCTAACTGCAGGGCGAAATGAGCTTTCGCCAATAGCAGTGCGACTCATCTCAGATGTTGCCACGTGTATCAAAATCTCACCAGCCGTCCATTTTAAATCTAAGAGAGCGGTTCCAGCAGAACCGCTCTCTAATATGCACTTCTGAGAGCGGTTCAAATGGAACCGCTCTCTAAAATGGACTTATGAGAGCAGTTCAGAAGCAACCGCTCTCTTAAATGGACTTATGAGAGCGGTTCCTTTTGAACCGCTCTCTAAAATGAGTTATGAGAGCGGTTCCTTTTGAATCGCCCTCTTGTGCATTGAGCATCAGCTCAGGTGGCAATGTATAAAAAACAATATATAGTCTTCATTGCAACAGTTATTTGCATGGCCCGATAGATAAAGTCAAAACTCGCTGACGACGAGTTTATAATATTCAGAGCTCACATATTTCTGTGTATTATAGTGTCTATAGTTGCTTAAAAGTGTCGTTAGCGAGTTTAGTTCCTGATCACCATCAAAATTGCCATTTGTAATTTTATAGAAACTCGAAATTGCAGCCTGCATCCTGCCATGATTATGTTCATATTAAAATCGCTATTAGCATTTTTGTAGAGACATGAAACTGTCGCTTGCGTTTCTGCTATAGTGTTGTTCATGGTAAAATTGTCATTCACATTTTCTTTTTCATATTCTAGTAATATTGCAAAAAAAGACTATATTTTTGAATTTCTTTTATTAATATTTCATATTCAGATAACTTTTTCACATGTTGAAGGAATTTAAAATGTTTACTCAGATTAATACACAAAGCATTTAACACATTTATTTTACTGAAACTTTAATTTAAGATCACACATTAAATTGAAATAATTTAAAAAAAAAAAATTGATTCATGGGCTCAGCAATAAATAACAATAATTTAAATTTACATTTTAATCATATTTAATAATTACATTAAAATGAATTTTATCACATTATAATTAAACACCGTCGAACATTTGGATTAACTCAGAGAAATTCAAATTCAAATTGTATTAAATACTTTGTAAATGTACCTAACTCGCATTGAATTGTTGTATAAGAAAATATTATAAGTCACGCGGAACCTTCAACCTACTAAAATTATAAAATATTTTGTATTTTAAATCACTAAACATAATTACGGCATGTATCTAAATTAATTTTAATAATCAAATTTACCTTAACTTACTCGTAATTAATTCCTCTTACCACGCTGGACATTTTAATATAAATCTTATAAAAAAACTACTTTAAATACATGTTTAAATTGTTTGTATCATAACCAACCATCATTTCCCGTTTTAAGGAGGGTACGTTATTGTTTCCCGTTCTAAGGAAAGTACGCAATTGTCTAATTTGGTTAGAAAGTTAGTGAAATGATGTGCTGTGATAGTTTCACGTGCCACAACCCTCACCTACGAACGGAATTGGTAGATGAAGTCCTCTCATCAGCTACACTTCCCCCAACGACAATCATCACTCATCCTCATCACATACTAATGCCATAAAAAATTATGCATTCTAACGGTGTATTTACAAATATTTATATTTTTTATTAATACAATTTTTTTAAACTTATATAACATTATAAAGGATAAAAACACATATATAATAAATTTTTATTAAAAATTATAATATCTAACAATATTAATGCAGTAAATGGTATTAAATTATGTAATTTTTAATAAATAATTATATATACTTTTTTATCCTATACAATATTTCACAGATTAAAAATGTGTTAATAATTTAATGTATTTTTAGCTCATACTTTAAATGGATCATAAATAATTTTAAAATTTAATAAAACATAATCATTTTGTTTATCAAACTTTGTTTACACCCGACATTCACTAGTTTCGAACGAAGAATGAAGCATTCACCAAAACATACTAATATTTTAAAAAATAACATTTCCACTCTAATTATATATTTATTGATTAATTTTTTAGTCCTAGTCTATTTTTTATTTATATTATAAAATTTTTGTTCTCCACTTTTTGGTCTCAAATATATTAATAATACAAGTCATTAATATTTTATATATTTTTATTAAAAGTGACACTTTTTTAGTTTTATTTTTATTATTTAATATTTAGGCAGACTTTTAAAACTCTTATAATAATGCGAGGGTATATTGTTCCATAAAAAGTACATTGAATTCATTGAGATTTTTAAAAGTTTGATAAAGAAAGTACAAAATTTATTTAAAAGAGTATTACAGGAAAACAAAATTGTCAAACATGTGTTTGTATAATACTTTAACTAAAAATTTAAAATTAATTAAGTTTTGATACATTCTAATTTTTTTAAGAAAGAAGGATATATAATTTTAAAATAAAAATGAGAGTAATGTAATATATATCTTTCAACAAAAAATATAATTTACTCAAATTTAAAATCAAGCACAAAACCTTACATATAAGGAATTTAAGCATGAATAGATGTGCATAAATATACACTTATTTTCTGTATCTACAATGTACTTTTAAATTAATTTTAGATAATTATATACAAATTATTAATTACTTTAACACAGTGCTTTTTTATATTTATTTAAGATTATATTTTCTTTTTTTATAAAATTACTTTTATTTAATTTTTAAATAGTCATAATACTACAATATTAACCCTTTTAACAGAAGTTTTGTTTTTTGTTTTTTGTTTGCTATGCATGAAATTTCAATTCAAAACTTAACAGAAATTAAATATATTTCACTTAAATTAATACTTATTAGCCAAATAGATAAAAGTATAATTTAATTATGTGATGAAAAAGTAAAAATATTATATTTTCTTTATTAAAGATAATAATTTTTAATTAAACTTTACAGTTCACTATAGTTTTATCATATTATAAGGTCAACGCATTAAAAATTACCAAAAAATATGTGTGATATGATATGATGTCCATTAGGATTAGATTACGCTTCTAAACTGTTTTGTGATTGGCAATAAACCACTGGAGCAGCTTCGGCTCTGAGTGCCACCAAGTAAGTAATGCGAGGTGAAATCTGAAGGTTTCGGAATTTCTATCTATTTGCATATTATATTCGACATTCAAATGAACTAATTCAACATTTCGAGTCAAAGTGATACAGCAACGTGACATCGAATTTCGTTATTTATATTTATATATTTGTTTATGTTTCATTCTGGATTCACTCACTCTATTTTATCAATTAATTTTGTCCTCTTGCTCCACTGTTATTCATCAACTTGGATACAAGGTTTTTAAAATGAGTTTGCGTAATCGATAACTACCTCTCACTGCGCTGAAACCATTTCTGATTATACTTTTGATTGGTTTATTGGTGAATTCGGCAGTTTCGAGGTGAAGCGCCATGGAAGCTAAAGTGGTTCAAGGCTTGCAACTTTCAACTATGGCGTATTGCGACAAGCTTGGGAAAACAAGGCCACGTGGTTCTCTGAGAATATCTGGTGAATTGAAGGACCCAAAGAAGCTTCAGGTTTTTGTTTCGGCTAAGTTGCAGCCAGCGAGACCTTCAATGAGGAAACCGCGAAGGAGGGTACCTTTGGAGGTTGCATGTTCGTATAAGGATGTTTCAGGTTGCCTTGAAAAACTACTCATAATTTGACAATTTGCAAACTATGAAATTTCTTTTGTTTCTCTCTTTTTCCCCTTTAGCTTTCAACCGTACGTATTATTATATTATATATCTTATTTTGACTGTATTGTTTCAAATAATATGATATAATAAACAGTAATAGTAATAAAATCTGATTTGTGAGTGTCAATTTATTGAAATCAAAATAATGGCTTCAAAAGGCGGTGCTGGATTGCGGTCATGTTATTCTCGATGTTAATTACTTGGAGTGTGATGGTTTACCAAACGAATACTAATTTTGAAGTCGCCATCTTGCAATTTTAAAAATTGTGTTACTACTGTTACAGGAAGAAGGTTGTGCTATTATTGTAAATTTGTCAATGAATTAGGATGATAGAGCTTATAATTAGTAGCTGTATGGAAATTGCAAATCTGCCCTGAATGTACCTTCCCATTAGTTTATACCCCTTTTAATAAGTAGTTCGCTGCTTCCCCAGTGAATCATTTGCAGAAACGTCAAATAAATTTTCATCAGAGCTTTAACACTCTTAAAATTTGTAAAATGTTTGAAAAAATAAGTATAGGAAGCATGTGGGGTCTTGGGATTTAGTGATTTCCTCACGAAGTGATCGTATCTAGAATTTGAACATGAATCTCGTTCATTAGTCTTTTTCTCAGATGTATTTTCTATATCCTTCTACTGTCTATTGGTATTGGAAGGGAACCAATTTTACACCCAACAAACCTTTTACACAGGATCTACTTCCTCCAGGTTCTTTCTGCAGAAATTTGAATGACCTTTCAACAGATTAATATCAATGAAAACTTATTACGATAAAGCTAAGGTTTAAGTTGGGTTACGTTCCACATTACTAGAGGAATTAACTTTTTAAATTAATGATATAAACCTCGAAGCACTTCTTTGCAAAAGAAGAATATATTTTTAATTTGAATCGCAATATATTTATACAAACAAAACAAGTAGAATATATTTCACTGGCCCATCAAATGCAGGGGCACCAGAGATAAGGTGTCTGCATTGAAAATCATTGTGACTTCAAGAAAGTTTCTATGATGGTGATTGGTGAGCTAGATGTTCCTACATCGCTCAATTCTGAACTACTTTTAATTATCCGCAGCTTCAATCACTATTCTCTAAGTCGATTAGTTGAAAAAATATATATCTTTTAAGGAAGGGTATGTGTTTGATCAAATCTAGTATATAAGTATGCTCTGAGATGTAATTTTTAATGACTGTAATAAGTGTTGCCCATTTAAGTATTAACAACTTTTTTCAAATGTCATTATTGTAGCTTCAACATTAGAATCTGGAAGCCTTCATGCTGTTATTGATGAAGAGTTGATTTTGAAGGTATAGAATGCTGCCTTTTGCCACTTTTAATTGATTGATGCCCTTTCAGTTTAGTGATGCCATATACCCTTCGGTTATAATACAGCATTTAGACATGGTAATCTGAGCTTAGTTGTTGCTTCTCTTGGCATCTAAGTGCCATTATCTTACTTGAATCAATAAACTTTCAGAGTAAATCACAAGAGATCGAGCCACTTTTAAATGGACATTGTATATATCTTGTTGGTAAGGCTCTTAGTCGAAGTATTTATGCTTACATACATTGCAAGAAAAATTACTTTGGGCATTCAAAATGTTTTGAATTTGACATGCAGGAATGATGGGCTCTGGAAAGACAACTGTAGGAAAGATTTTGTCCCAAGTGCTTTCTTATTCATTTTTTGATAGGTTAGTGTGGTAATTGCCCTACCTGTCTTCTCTTCAAAGTGAAACATAGAATTATTGAAGAGAAACATAGAATTATGACAGTAAGTGAAGAATGCATCATTTGAAAACATAATAGACTAGCATGATAGAGAAAGAATGAGCTTCAACTCGTGATTATATTCAATTCATATCATCTGACTTTAAGGAGATGTAACAAATGTATTGTGTCCATAGATTAATGTCTGGTCTTACTTTGGCATACAATATTCATTATGTAAATGTTGAGTATCGCATTAAAGTTTCTGCTGAACATTTTCCACATTTTCTCTTTTGCATTTATGGGAGTAGTGATGCATTGGTGGAGGAAGAAGTAGATGGAACTTCTGTAGCTGATATATTTAAGCACCATGGAGAGGATTTTTTCCGTGATAAAGAGGTCAGTCAAAAAACACAAGCTTTCCAGTTTACATTCGTATATGGAAAATTTTGTTGAAGTTTTTGAATTTTTAGGTTTTCCTATTTCTTCTATCCAAATTCAATCTGCATAGAATGTCTACCTTCATTTAGTAAGCTGCAACAAGGAGGTGGGAGCATTATATTCTGAATACCAATTAATGATTTAGCGATAGCTTGCTTCTTTTAAATTGTCCAACATTTTAGTCTCCTTTGTCAATAAATTGTGAACATTACTCTAGGAACTTTCGAATTTTGCAAATAAATTGGTTGTGTTTGGTATGTAGAGAAATTAAATATAAACTGATACAGGTTTAATGAGTGATCTCGTCTACGTTATGCGGCATCTGAGCTTGGTCTGTCCATCTGTTGGTGTGGAATGTACATGAAACACGATGTCCAACTCGACGGGTTAGGAACAGGAGTGAGTCCTGAATTAGTGTTTGATCAGCCTGGTTTCAAGGAGTGGATTCACCTCTACATTACCTACGTGGTTTGAGATATTTTTTTAACAGAAAAATGCTGAACTTCATGAAAACTTTTCTACAATATTCCATGCAAATCAAAGTGGCATGAAAGTTATTTTAGAAAATTACTTTTCAACCTTGTAATGCCTGCATAGAGCTCGAAGGTGATTGGCGGCACTTCATTTTAGTCGAAAAAATTCTTGACAAATAGCGTTGCTCTTTTTAATAAAATCGCCTCTGTTGATCCTCCCCTATTGCCCAAACAAATCCCCCTCTCTTCAGAAAAGGTTCAGGGGACAGTCCCCGGTTATGGATCATATTCCCTGTATCTTTTTTAACTCTTAAATGTGGCGGCGGAGTTGTAACCCAACCACAGCCCATCAAGGGAGGGATGTGTGTATTACACTTCAAGTTCTGCAGTTAGTTTGATCTCATACTAAGTGCTTGATCATTTGATGTATGAGTTAGATTGATATCAGCCTAAGTTAAAACTTTGGTTAAGTTGTTAAATAACTAACGGTAAGGCTCATGGAATATGGTGTTGGATAAAAGTAGATGGCTTAATGTCTTACGATTGCACATGCTAACAAGCCACCACAAAATCTCCCAATTGCTATTATTCTTACGTACAATAAAAACACTTGGGGAATTGTGATTTGTGAATTGTTCTGTTTTTCCTCCAGGTTCTATTATCGGATTATCACATTCGCTGTTAATTTGCCGTGCTTATTTTATTGTTGCAGACTGAGGTATTGCGGAAGCTATCAATGATGCATAGACATGTTATCTCTACTGGTGGAGGTGCAGTTTTGAGGCCAATCAATTGGTATAATAATTAACATACCAATGAGAAAAGTTGTACCTCCAATTTTATGATTAGTTTTTACATATTTGTATATGGATTGCCAGGAAATATATGCACCAGGGCATTAGTGTTTGGTTGGATGTACCTGTAGAAGCCTTGGCTCAGAGAATAACAGCTGTAGGAACTAATTCTCGCCCTCTTCTACATTATGAAGCAGGAGATGCGTTCACAAGGGTAAATAATTTCTCTTCCATGACATGAGTATTTTTCTTTCACAAAATGTAAGATATTAATATTAAATCACAAAGTTGGAGGAACTGATCTTAGCAGGGAATTATCATCAAATTTTTTTTTCCACTAACAAATTTTACCCTGTGGAATTTACCTGCAGACTTTCATGCGTTTGTCTGCCCTTTTTGAAGAAAGAAGCGAATCATATGCAAACGCCAATGCCAGGGTCTCCTTGGAAAGTATGCTTGCAAATGTTATTTCACTTGTTTAAATAAAAATTGTGGTTCGGTGAAGCTCTAAAGTGTACTATTCATTGTTGATCTGATTCCAGATAACATCCATTTATTATTATTGTGTTATGTTTTTTTGTACAGATATGGCAGCAAAGCGGGGCCAAAAAGACGTGTTAGGTTTATCTCCAGCTGCTATTGCAATTGAGGTCTGCTACTTTTTGCTCCATCCCCTCTGAACTTCATTTTAGTTTGCTCTTAGACCAACTAACATCCCCCAGAGCTAAAATAGGATCTACATTTTGTATCATTGATACTTATTTGTGCCTGTGTATTTGTCAGGCTCTAGAACAAATCAAAGGCTTTCTTAAAGGTCAAAATGGCTGTTAAGCATGATGCTGGTACAAACTTCAACACAAATGCGTAATTTGTGTGAGCATACTTTGGCGGGAAGCAGTATTTAATTCATTTTTTTTTGGTTGTATATTTGTGGGTAGATCTGACGTTTGTTATAATCCAAACTGGATAGATCAGTTAATGCATGCGTAACTTATTTTCAACATTTTATCTAACATAGTCGGTTCCAATTTCCATGGATGCACCTATGTTTTCTTTGCTTTTAGCATGTTACAATGATTTCATCAAATTTATCAAAGTTGCATTGAATACTTCCTGAAATAGCGTATTCATAATTCATTGAACTTTTTAAGCATTAACATGGAAAACAATTAATTTTAAACGCCCAAATGGTAGATCATCTATCTTTCGAACTTTTTCTGTTTGAAACTATCTTCATTCGGTAAGCCAACAAGCCTTAAAATCATAAATAACTCGGTTCACGAGTAAAATTCTAGACATTTAAAAAAGGGAGCAAAATTGAAGGAAAAACCCTGGAACAATATGTTAACTACATAAATAAAACTCGCGTTTTTCATATGTCTATTACCAATGAATACAAATATAAGATCAAAGTTCAGCCAAGAAAAAGAATAGGAAGACAATTCTAACGCTAGTTTCATCTAGAAGACTAGCTCGTGAGGCTTCACCCCTGCCTTCAAGGAAAACCTGGCACCTAGGTAAACCACCAAGTCTGGAACACTCTCGATTGCTTTTATCAATGCGGAATCCACAGTCTTTTGGTCATCTTTCTTTTGTTGGGGGAGCACATTTTTCTCCTACATTGGGACATCGCACAGATCAGCACACATCACACATGAGCCAATAACATGGCACTAAGTTACTGATACAAGAGCGGGGAAATTACAAAACTTGACAAACTAACCTCCTTTTCTGCCTCAAAGAACTCCCCTTCTCCCTTCTTTGTCTTTTTCTGGACTTCCTTTGAAAAGTACTTGTCGTCAAATTTATCCACATTAACTGCAGAAACATCTACTTTGGTTGATGTGCCAATAACATACGACTGATTCACGCGTCTCAAAGGAACTCCATTAATCTTGAAAGGACCTGAAATGGTGAGAAAGAAGCCTATGAAAAATGGGCAGATAAGACTGGAAAGTAGGGTAAATCTTTATAGGAAGAGTGTTGTGCCTTCAAACAGAAATCAATTGGTACCGAAAGCTAAAGTAAAACAGGTTAGAGAATCCACGCACAGGTGTAATCACTAACATCCACAGACAGACATGCACAAAAGAAAATAGTACGGGAGACATCATTAAGAATGTGAAGAAATAAGAGTAACAGTCAATTCAAGAAATAAAATGTGAGGTAATATTGTAAACATTAAACTGATCCTTACTAAAATGCTCAATATTCACAATGAAATAGTATACCTCTTCAAGCCATTCTTAATTATCTTTAAAAATACGTATGCATACAAGATACAACTGGTTAAGATAAGAACAAAGACTTCAACATGAAACTCCCTCATAAAACTGTAGCAGCCACAGCATTTGCCCTCTTTATATAACAATGGTTACTCAAATGCACACGCACGCAGAAAATAAATAATTTAGCAGAAAGATTAAAAAGGGGTACCGGTTACGAGAAGCAACCCAGAAGGAAGCTGCTTAAGAAACACTACTCTCTTTCCCTTAAATCTGCCGGCAAGAAGAATCAGCACAGTCCCGGGAGTAATGCTGGCCCTGAAAACCAAAACAAACCATTTAAAATCATCAGAGACACAGATTCTCTATCTAAATAAGATAAGAAAACTATAGCTAAAATGAAAAGAAAATATAGGGCTCATTCACCACCTAAAGTCTCAATCTAGACCACCTTATGTTTCATATCAAAGGATAACTTGTTTGAGAACACCAAATGTTCAACAATTGATAACAAAATAGGTGTTGATGTTGAAGAGTAGTGAGTGACCTGAGCTTGGTAGCTTTGGGCTTGTGCTTGTTGAGAAGAGGCTTCTTGACATCTTCAGCAGGGTAGAACTTAGGGGGTTTCTGAGGGGGTGCTTGAGGCTTGGGATTGGGATCGTGGCGAGGGAAAGAGCCACCGTTCTTGGCCTTGATGGCCCAGAGACCCCTCTTATGGTACATCTGAGACCTTGAGTATTTTCCAATTCCCCTTATCAATTCTGGGTTTCTGCTAACCCTCGCTCTTCCCTGCTTCGGCGCCATTGCTCCTCACTCTCTCTCTCTCTCTCTCACAAAACCCTAATTCCTCTTCCACTCCTATCAAACATACTCTTCGACCTTTCCACTACTGGGCCCAAAGCAGCCCAATCTGCCAAAATTCATAGCCCTGTATACATTTTACTAAAGAAAACTGTAACTTGATTGAAAAAAAAAAAATTAATGCAAAGAGAATAACGAAGTATCAAAAGAATTGTTAGAAATATATTTTTTATATATTTTTAATTATTACGTAAAAATTATTATTAAAATATTAGTCAGGATTATTAAATCAAATTTGAGATTTATGAAAAATTTATAATTTTTAATAAGTTTTAACTAAAAAAATATGTGTTTGCAAAAATATGCTATAAAGTGTATTATTAGCAAATTCTCAAAACACTAATACCTTGTTTGCTACAATTTTATTTTAGAAAGTATACTCTTTATTTAGCTTGATTGTGTTTTGGTTTCAACGTTTTTACAAACTTTTTGTTTTCTCAAAAATATTTTAGTTTAGTTTCTCATTTTTGTATATTTAACAATATTTTAGTAATTGATATAGCTAAATAAAGACTATGACGCTTTTTTTTTGTGAAATACTATCAGTAGAAGATATTAAAATAAAAATAATGGAGTAATATAAGAATTGAAGTAGAAAAAGTATGAGAATGAATTTAAAACATCATAAAATATAAAGACCAAAATGCATATTTAATTATTATTGGTGTTCATATTTCTCTTTCTCTTGCTTTTTTGTTTTCATTATTATCACATCCATTGACAACACTCCAATTAAATAAGTGTTTCGGACGGAAATGATTCATGTTATACGAAGATTTATTTATTTCGATTTTAATTTTTTTTTGTTGAATCTAATCGATGCTCATCTCTATTTGTATCCACTAGCAAGTGAGATGCATCTTAAATGAACAAATAGTATAGCATAAATCATCTTAGATAGGGTTTTTTTTTTTTCTGTCTTTCAGTAATTAATTTTAAAAAAAAATACTAAATACTAGCGATACACTCTTAGTTAATAGTTAAAATTTATTTAAAAATAAAAAAATATAGATTACCTGAATAACTTTTATTCTGAGTTTAATAATTCCCTTGTACTTTTATGATGTTTATTGTATTTTAATTAATAATTAAAAGCATATTAAATAATATATTTATAACAAACTTATGTTAAAGCAAAACTGAAATAGTGATACGTTTTTTTAAAAAAAAAAAAAACAACTACTAATACCATTATATATATATATATATATATATATATATTTTTTTTTTTTTACTTCAATATCTTTTTTATAATTTTATAAATTTTTGCTTTTAGTTCTTTCAAAAAATTTTCTTTAATTTATCACTTTTGATCTCCAATGATTATGATGAGGTACCTATTTAAGAAGTTACAACATGCCAATTTTTGTTTTTTTGTTTTTAGTCACATCAACAAGAGAAGTCTAAACAAAAAATTCATAAAAATATAAGGAAAAAAAAGTTTTAAAAAAAGCTCACTAAATATAAGAACTAAATAATTTATAAGTGTATTTTTTTACTTATTAAAATAAATTAGAAATTATAGTTTTTTTGTTCGAATGAACTAATATAAAGCACGCTAATGCAATTACTTTTTGTCTTCTGAATTAATTGTTAAATTATTTGATTGATGCAAAACTGCACACTCGTTTGGCTAGAAGAAAATATAATAAATTGTACAGAAACAGATGATTAAGAACAGCATTACGTGTACTCTTAAAATAAAATATGCATCATGCCACCGGAAAACATTTGCCTGAAAGAGAAACATGTTAACAACATTTGAGTATATCATTAAAGAAAATTAAATCTTCTTTTATTAATTAACCTTACACATATCTAATATAAAAAAATAATTAATAAGTCTTTTCTTTCTTTCTTTTTTCCTCTAAGTAGAACACCATTACATGAAAGAATTTAAATCTTAATTTAAATGGCAAGATGAAACAATTTGTAGGCCTTAAAAAAGGTTTGGAATGAGTTGATGAAGAATCCTACGACCCGTTTGACTTATAATTTGATGGAATTTATTGTGATATAATTAATTTAAATTATAAAATATAATCGAGATGTTCTATCTAAATTAATATTATCATCAAATTTTAGATCACTTCAATGTTAGAAGTTGGAATTGGTAAAAGTTGTTAACCAATGCGTATTAATTTGAGTTAAGAATATTTGAAATCCTTCAATACATTATCGTGCATTTAATTTCAGGATTTATATACATAGATTGAATACTACTCAATTTTTTTTAACCATTTAATTTCAAAAGAGTGATTTATGAGGTCACCATTTAAAAATATTCACATTGTTTGTCAATTCAGTACTCTCCAAGGGGGAAAACAATGCTAAATCCCTACTCTCAGGAACATTAAACTTCTTGAACCAAATGTTGCTAATGGATGTCATGTCATGGATATAGGATAGACATGTATTAAGATTATTGCTAAGATCCAGACACATTGAAATTTCAAAGCAGAGATACTTCTGTACTAACCTTTGAATTTCAAAGTCGCGGAGACTAACTTTCATTTCACAAACAATGCTTGTTACACATTACTTGATTTACTTCCACTCTACATGCCTTTGCACCAGCACAATTTCCATAATCTGATTCCAGCTGATCGTACCATAACTTCTATGCAACTAAACACTAACATTGACGTTCGTGCATGTAGGATTTTATTTGAGTATGAAGCGATGACCATAAAGCATTACTCTATAGAGCCAATGCTTCGTATCAAACCATATATCAATTAGTACAACAAAACAAGCACGAGTCACATGACATTATTATCAACTTAACACAGTTTTACACACATTACACCAGGCACTGTGCAGCAGCATTTGTTCAGTATGCCTATTGCAGCAATTTTTTATGGTAATAAGCTCACATTCACTACGAGGTCTTGTTCACTTAATTTGAATGAATTAATCCAAAGAATCTCCTTAAAACCTGGTAAAAGTGGAACAATATAAACCTGAAAACTAACAGCATTTTATTGGACGAGGGCATTTGGCATTTAGTACTAACTGTGCAACTCACAAACTCACTCAGATACAAAAAGAAATACAAGGGAAAGATGACACAACGGAAGTACTAAACTGAATACACTACATACTAACTATACAGTTGTGGTAGTGCACTACTATTTGAGCAGCACCTGTTCATTTATTTACAGACAACACTGGAGCTGAAACGTCACCTGATCAAACTTCGAAAGGAACTTGCAAGATCAATTTAATGTAAAGTCAAGGAATGCTTACATTATATCAGGACCTGAAAGATAGCAGAAAGAATATTAGAATGAATAGGAAGGAAGAAGACAATACTGAACCTCAAAATCTATTAGCCAATTAAAAGTCAAGCCCAGTTCAGAAAAAGAGTTAAGTTGTCCAATTAAACAAAAACAGGAAACAGAAGAATATTGGAAAACCTGATGAGGAAGGTCACAAGGCAACAGAAGAACAGTGGACAATGGAGGAGCCTTTAGGAACAGAAAGAACCTTACTGAACCAAGCAACGTGACCCCACAATTCCCCATCGGGATTCTTCTTCACCTCAATCTCCGCACACCAAATCTCCATATCTTTCACACTCCCACTCCCTTGGCACTCCCAAACCACAACCAAATTTCCACCCAAATCAGCCATGGTAGCACCACACAAAAACCTAGGCAAACCCTTATCCAACCCCTTCAACTCCTTCCACAACCCTAATTTCACATCGAACCCTTTGATTTTCCCCAAATAATCATAGCAATACAGAATCCCATCCACCACGCTCGCCCTCCCCCTCCACCCGTAATCCAACTCTCCCCCCACGCTCTCCCACGCGCCGCTGCGAGGGTCGAACGCGATGCCGCCGCGGTCTGCCATGGCGTAAACCTTGCCGTCGACGACGGCGCTGGCGTGCATCCACTTCTCCCGCACCTCCACGGGGCTCGCCACCCTCTCCCACCGCCCCACGGCGGGATCCAGCACCTCCGCCCAGTTCGCAGACCGGGCCCACGTGTCGGCCACGCAGCCGCCGATGACGTAAATCTTGCCGTCGACGACGCCGGCGGCGGCGAATTCACGGCCGACGCGCATGGCGGGGCCGGGGAGCCAGCGGTGGAAGCGGCAATCAAGGAGCCAGACATGGGGGGAGGGAACGTCGTTAATGGAACCGCCGATTACGTAGATGGTGGGACCGATGACGGCATAGGCGGAGCCGATGGCGGGGGAGGGGATGGGAGGGAGAGGGGCGAGGAGCGTGTGGTGAAGCGTGAACCATTGGAGAGTGGAAGCGCGTGAGCGGAGAGAGAGGTAGAGGAGGTTCTGGGTGCAGTGGAGGAGAGAGCGAGTGTTGAAGAATAGTGGGGAATAGAGGAGGGAACGGATGGGTTTAGAAACGAGGGAGAGTGTCGGATGATGGGAGCGAGGGATCCTTGCAAGACAGTTCAAAGCGACGTCGTCTGGGAGGCATGGGATCAGTGTCGCCGTTTCTGTTTCGACCTCTGAAGATGAGGACATGCTTTGTTTTGGTGGGGAGTGCTGTCACACCCCAACCCAGTGGCATACTCTGTTTTGTTCGGTTATTCTCTTCCCAGTCCCCACCCAATTTGTCATTACCATTATATTTTACCATTTTCTTTCTTAGTAAAGACAGCTCATCCACTTTGTCCCACCGTGTAAGATGACAACCTCTTCGCTGTCCACACCCCACCGTGTAAGATGACAACCTCTTCGCTGTCCACACCCCACAACTCTTCTTTTTTAATAACACTAGTTCCTTCATATATATAATATTTGTAATGACGATAAATAAATAATAATAATGATTTTGTGTAACTCATGCACTTTTAATATAATTAATATCACAAAATGTTCAGATATAATTTTTTAAATATTTCATGAATCAAATAGAAAGTCTAGTTATAAATATCTAATTATATATTTAATGTTTATTTATCGAATTCTTAATTAATCTTAAGCCATTACAAAAAATTTCTTTATAAATCTACTTTGAAAATTTTGACCTTCGGTATCATTATAAGTATCTTTAACTCATTTTTATTTGTAACACTTTGAGATATAGTCATAAGAAAAAAATTAATTTTATAATATAAATTTCAACATGTTTGATATATTATCTTAAACTCTTATTTATGATTATTAAAAAAGAAATTGCAATATAAAATTTCTCCTTTTTGAAACTTTAAAAGAATTCTAAAATTGGATGGTATTAATGATAATCGAAAAGTAAAAACTTCCTTTCTAAAATTACTTCTCGATATTACTTATGTTTTAAGTATGTAAGAACTCATCTTATCATCAAGTTTGTACAACCATACATATTATCTATATTTTTCAAAAGTATAATTAGAAAACTAATTTTTCATTTCAAATAATAATTAAGAAATTTTGAACAATTTGTTATATTAAAAAATTTAAGAGTATAACTTATTCATTATATGTAACAACCTTAATCTTAAAATGAAAAGATTATAAATAATTAATTCATACAATTAGATGCCAAAACAACATATAATATTTTGAGTGCACTAAAACACTTAAAAATAATTTAATCTCATTATTTTAGAGTAAAAGAGTTCATCTCTATTGATTCTTTATAGATGCACTTTATAATATTATATATATATATATATATATATATATATATTTATTTTTTGTAACATTCCAGACAAACAATATTGTTTGAATTTGTTATAAAACATATAACTTAAATATGTTGACATCAATTTTCCATCTAATTTTAAAAGGCAAAATAATCATGCATTGCAGTACTTGGATACAGTAATAATATAATTTAAAGAATCATTTAGCTAAGATAGATTACTACTCAAGGTTTAATTCTCATCACTCGTACATGCATATACATGAATATTTTAGTCATCAAAATATAATTAATCATAATAAGAGTAACACAAGAAAATAAACCTTCCTAATCAAAATAAGAGATTTAAACAGTAATAGTGAGCAAAACACGCTCAAAATTCATGTCATACATAACATCTAAAAGTATAAGATAAAGACACTAAGAACAATTCCTGTAAACCAACAAAATAAGGACTAATCCTCATCCTTGCTCAAAGGAGAATATATCTCAATGGGCTCAGACTCAAAGTTAGAGTCAAAACTCTCAAAGATCTCTAGAGAAGTATCAACTCCTCTTGGCCCAATATCAATGGGATATTCATCATCGCTATCCCTCCATCCAAAAGCAAGTATTAATGAACATGATAAATATTGTGTAATATCTTAATTTAATTTTTCAAATAAATAAATTTCACAAAATAGAAAATAATAAAAAATTATCATTCAAACAGTTCCTAATACACAGTTCGGTAAAGTGTTTCAAAATAAAGATGAATTACAATTTATATCAAGTCATTACTACAGGACTAGTTCAATTACATCAAAGTTTTCTAAGAAAATAACTTTCTAAGTCCTATAGCAGTTTCATTTATCCCTTTACTGAGCCTGGTGCTGATCGTCTTTGTCACCTGAAAAATAAAAGTAAGGGTGAGTACTCTACACTATCCAACACACACAAGTATAGAGACTCACCTTGCACACTCCACATATTTTCTAGTATAACTTAAATCAAGCATCAATAAACACAAGTAACACTTTTCAAATATTCCATTTCAATTCACAGAGAGGTGCGGTCACTCTACTAACAAACATTCCACACATACGTGCGCTCACTGCATGTAATCACGCTCACTGTGACACTATGATCACATATTTCTAATGCACTCAATCTTAGAGACTTACTCAGTTAACACCGTGAATGGTCGTCGGATAACTTCCGCCTCACGGATACAACGTGTGGTCATGGATCCTTTAGCAAAGGTGTTAGTCAGAGGTCGAGTCAGAAAGAAAGTGTGTGGCTTGTGGTGCACCCACGCTCACTGTTGGTGTCACCACCACTTTCTCTTCCCAAGGTATATCTACCGCCCTCATATTCTACACACTCAGTGTATCGTTGAACTATTCATAGCTTTCCAACATATTCAATCACAATCACAATCAACATCGACTTGTCATTTCCACACATATTAACCATTTCACATTATTCAATATCAATCACATTGTATTCAAACACACAACATTTTCCATTACAATCCATACCAATCAATGCATTCCATCCATCATAAATACTATTCAACATCCACCACCATCTCATGGAAAATAAGGTCATTTCATCACATATACATTTTCTAATGTCTACTGCATCATAACTAGCACAAAATTTCCATCAATACACACATTTCCTATATTCTAACTCAACCAAAATCCATTACATAGTATTATAAATGAAATTTAAACACAAGAGATAAGGTAGAGTCTCCCCTTACCTCAAATCGAAGATCCAATACAATCTAACAGTAGAAAATGTCTCCAATGCAATATCTCAAGCTAAATGCATGGAGGAAATCCATGAGAAACTGGAAAGAACCAAGAAAGGATGGAAAAACATAAACCTTAACCCTCACACTTACCTCCAAATGCTCCAAACATAATAACAACCTTCAATCTAGCTCTCAAACAGCTTTGAAGGCAATTTAAACAGTAAGAATGGATTGAGAATCGAGAGAATAGGAAGAGGGCTCGAAGGGAGAAGTGAGAAATGTATTTCCCAAACCCTAAACCCTTCAAATTAGAGGTGAGTATATCTGATCAATCCATTTCAATTCATATGAATCCGAACAATCCACTCGAGTAAGAACGGGTATTAATAAATTTTGAATGAATAGAATAATGTTTTTGGATTAAAATGATTAAATAAGGTAGGTGACAGATATAAAATTATGATACTGTCGGTATCAGAAACCGACCGATTATATATGTGAAATGTGTAAGAGTGTTGCTTTTTAAACGTGTGAATAAACATATTACTATCGGTGGATATACGTTCGTACTGGGTAGGTATTGATTTCATTCCTATATATATGTACGACAGTATGTGTGTGTCTGAAATTCAACAGAGCTTAAGACCCAGTAATCCAACATAACATGGTAAAGACAAAATCAATTAGCCGCATGAAATGCACGTTATTGGTGGTGATTAACAGTTGTAATAAAAAAAGCGAAACACGTGACACACAAGAAAGTAGACCATAATTAAGTGAGCCCAGGTCCTAAGGTCTCCATTAGTATAAGATTTAACCAAATTAATTAACCGACTTATGAAGTTATCTGACGTATCCGAATCCAAATTATCAGAAAAAATTGGATAACATTGGATATTTTTTTAAGCATTTCAGTTAAGTATAATTAGTTAATTTTTGACCTGAACCCACCCAAAATTGACCGGCGATCACTCCTACTTCAAATACCCTTCTGGTCGCAATACTCTTACTACAGCGAGCCCCATTTCTACAGCGAGACTGCACCTATAGTACACACTAGGCCTACTTCTCAATCAATTTCAGTCCAATTCACAAATCAATATTCATATTACAAATCATTGCATACTTACATACTCACATATGCTCATATTTGTACCATACACGCATCCACATCTTCACACAAAACAAAATCATGCATCCCAACACCACACATACTTATATATACACATCCAAACAATAATTCACATATTTATATCAATAATCAATAAATTACAAAACTCTGGGCGTTACATATTGAGGTGGTGGAAGTGAGGGGCGACAAACAGAAGGACCTGCCTTATCAGAGGTTGGAGTAGGTATAAAAAATGGAGAAACAGGAAGAGGGCAAATGAAGGACTCAATGATTTTAAGGAGGAACTATATTTTGACCAATATCTATATAGGTGTTTAATATGAGACTATGGGTTTGCATGAGCAAGCTTCCATCATCTAGCAAGGGTGCAACAAGACATGAAGTGGGTGCTGTAGGTACAGGCTTAGGGATAAATGTAGGAAAAGGCATAAGGTCTTCAAATTCCAGTAAAAGAATGTGGATCTCAGCTAGTACACTGTCTGACCACTATGGCTCCCACTCACTACCTATCACATGGTCAAAACTGAGGGTAATCTCCCCTCGATAAGTGCGCTTGTGGAGGTTAGGATCATGTGTCCATAAGTCCTCCTCCCTAGGGTGCAGTTAAATCTTAATTAGTTCTTTACTCATTTGCACATGCATCATTTAACAAACAACACACAAGAAAGGATACCAAGTAAACAAAAAGGATAAGTCTAACATACACATTAATATTCAACTAATCAAGACAATTTCCAGCAAGTTAATCTCATGAATCAATATACAAGAGGGATTATTCACACAATTATACTCTAACCACAAGTTAATCACAATGCTTGATGAGGCATGGTATAAGTCAAGTACAGATTAAATTCTCATTTATGTTGAATGATGCAATGCATGGATACTTATTATCATACTTCCACATTCCAACTCAATCATCCTTGTTAGAGGCAATCAGGAGACTTCATTTCCTACTGCATAAAAGCACAAATGTTTTATAAATAATTTTTTTGACACAACATACTTCTACAATATCATTTAGGAATGGACCTACTACGATCTTAGTGATATGTGCTTTCGTTGGAATTGGCTAGAGTTTGTTGGCGATATGACCGAGTTACAATGAGCTACTATGCACGATTAGGGGTCATCCCCTTTGGCCACCTCAAGGGTCTTCGTAATATTACAAGAAATTAAACTTGTAAATAAGATATAATGAATATCTAATATTGTGAGATTACAATCATACTATAACTATAAGTTAGTCACATACAAGGGACAGGGTAGTAAAACAAAAATAAATAACCAACAAATATAGTGAATAATTAATATTTGAACAAATATAACAAAAAGATAAGGAGAGAGGGAAGAAAAGAAAAAAAAATCCCTCAAAACATATATCCTATTCATTCCTGTAACATAGGAATTTAAGTTTGTATAATTTAGAATATTACAAGCAGTATTGGATATTTATAGATTTCTTTAGCATCATTATGTTATCACGATTTAGCCCTTTATAAAGAAAAACAAAACATGTTAAATTGTAAGGGCCCATTTGGTAGCTAGGATAGAATCAGAATCAGGATAGATAGAAGAATGTTGGATAATAGTATAAGATAAAAGTATGATGAGATTTTATTATATCCAATGTTTAATGCAACTTTATAAAAAGAAAGATATGACATAAATATGGAAAAAATTATAAAATTACTATTTTATCAATATATATTAGATTAAATTTTATTTTATATAAGTTATTTATTTTTAATTTATAGAAAATATATAAATAATTTAATATATTTTAAAAACATATAGAAATAGATAGAGATAGAAAAATAAATTAAGGGGGTGTATTAGATTAAGATTTTAAAGGACTTTTTTAGTTGAAAAAAGTCTTGTGAATTTTAAAAGACTTTGTAGGATTTTCATGACTTTTAAGACTTTGCAGGATTCTGCAAAACTTTCAAATCAGGATTTTAATGGATTATGTAAGACTTTTAAGTCAAAATTTTAATGGATTCTGTGGGACTTTGTGGACTTTGCAAAGTGTTGTGGATTTTTGACATAAAAAGTTTAATTTTTTTTTACACGTTCAAATTTAAAAAGAGTCAAAGATAAAAATAATAAAAAATAACAATGTCTGGATAAATAATTATAATAATTCTCCGTAATATTATGTCCTCCTAAATAACATTCACCCACATATCCATAGTTATACTAGTCCTTCAAGCATTAGCGTCTTCTCGCTTTTGCTTCTGCGTTTGAATAATAGACTCAAAATTATGATCGAGAGTTGTTGTGCATAAGTGTTGACATATTGTTATATTGTTTCTTAAACTACTTCATTCGACTCAAATAATGATTATATATTTTACGAAATTTAATTTTAGCATTTAGACGAGGAAGGATGACTCTCTCCACATTTAGTTTGCTAATTGACCCATTAGCTTCACGCAGTCCACTTTTCATAGCATTCATTATCAGCTGTAACAATTTATCGGAATCCTCCTTAGTCCAAGCTTCATAGTTTTCTTTCTCCTTTTTCTATCATTTATTATTTCCTTGTGAATCTATCATTTGGAAACTAGTTATATAAATAATTCTGAATAAGAATACTTATTAAATTTATATTTCACCTAATAGGTACTTATATAATTAAAAAAATACTATAGCCCCGTGAAAGGCTTAACTACTATATATATAGGGTATAATTATTATTTCTATATTTTAGATATTTAAACATCTATTTATTCAACTAAAAAAATATTATATGGTATTTGATGATCTATAGTTGATTGTAGAGATCATGATATCAATTTCAGTTTTCACTTTTTCCTTTTATTTACACGTGTTAAAAAAAATTAACATTTAAAAGTTAAAATTTCAAACGTTTTCTGTATTATATATCTGAGAAATAAACTCAATTAAATAGAACAAAATAAAGTAAGTTAATAGCACTATCATTTACATTTTCACCAAATAGGAGAATGAAATGAGAATAGTAGTACAGTATTACATATAAGCAGTAGTACAGTATTATTAGCAGAAAAAAAAAATGGAGAAGACAAGAGCATAGAAAAAAAAGTGATGAAAAACTCACTTGAAAATTCTTGAAACACTTGAAAAGTCACTTCAAACAATCCTAAAAAATTTGATGAGTTTAGATGAGATTGTTTTATGAATTTGGTATTTATAGATACCGTTAAAAAGTCCTTCAAAATCCCTCTAATACAACAATCATTTAAAATCCTTATATTTTTTTAATACCAATAGATTGTTTTTAAGTTATAAAAAGTTTCAAATGAATACAAATGGATTTTAATTGACTCTTTAAAAAATCTTGAAAATTCAGATTGAATATCACTGGATTGTTTTTAAGTAGCACAAAATCCTGATTAAATATCAACAGACTTTTTTACTTAAAAAAAGTCTTTTAAAATCCTATGAAATCCTAAACTAATACATCTCCCTGAGAGTATTTTGGAAAGATAATTGATAACATTTCTTTCTTTTTTTGACTCAGCTATATTTTAAGGATAAGAGTTACACTAGCCCAATAAAATAAGATAAGTAACATGTTAAGTTAATCATATCTTTGTGATTCAACAAAAACTTAATTAATTAAAAACATATATGATAGTTATCCTATACTGTATACTCTTATCCTAGTTACCAAATAGATCAAAACTTTAAAGTCTAATTTCATTCACTCTTGCCAACAATTGCAAGAATTTTTTATGGACATAGCACTCCTCTTCTTTGGCATTAGAACATGTTCTAATAAATATAATACATAAACTACAAGCAAGTTGTGCTATCATGATGTAATGATGTTCTAATAAATATAATACATAACTACAAGCAACTACTTTAAATTTATTTTTTATCCTTTAATATCATTGGATCCAAGTTAGTCGCTCAGTAACTTTTCACATATCCTGGATTGTTACATTTTTTAGAATTAGTAGAATCAACCACTTGTAGAACGTCAATACAAACTCCAAGTAAAATAGCAATATCTCTTAATATAATTATGCATTTTCTATAAGAAAAATGAAATATGTTTGTTTCTAACTTTCACTATTCAACAAGTATATTATAGGTTATTTATTTGAATTTAACAAAGCAATACAATGAAGGCCAAAATGTCATAAAACATCATATATTTTATCCCTAAGTGGCATTATTAATAAGTCGTAATAATCTCATCACCTATTACAAATAATAAACCAATTAAAAATATAATTGCTAAAATATGAAATAATTGAACACTAATATATATTATGATGTTAATATGTAAAATTAAATTTCAAAATAAATTAGTAAATATTAGACAAATATGTTATACATTAAATAGATTTTTTAATAAATTATTAATTTTTTTATTAATTGTTATTTATTAATAAAAATTATTATACATTAAAATAAATTTATTTAATAACATTTAATCCAATATTTTTATGATATCAATAATCAATAATAAATTCACTATCACACTTAACCTACAAAATATATATATAAACAAAGAACAATAGTTGTACATTTAGAATTGCTTACATTATCATTGTGAATTAATATTAAAATATGTTTACATAGATTTATGGTAGAATCATAAAAAAAAAATTTATATATTTCTCTTCCACTTCTTTAATTAGAATTTTTTTTTCAAAATAAACCCCTCTATCTAATATTAGTCACAATTCCATTTTCTTTCCTTATCTCTTTTTCTACTCTCTCTCTAGGTATTTCTTTCCTTTTTCTCTTTCTCACTGAGCTCGCTTCCTTTCTGCATCAAACTCAATATGTAACCCTCTTAATCGTTATTAGCTATTAACAAGTTGTTGGGATTCCATGGTACAGGACTTGCAGTGATTTTTTGCACTAAAAAACAGTTTTTAAGGATTGGCTTTAATGTGATTGCAAGATAGAACTCTTCAAAGATTCTCTGCCATAAAATAGTCACTGGTGAATTGTCAAGGACCTTGCATAACTTGAAATTTGTCGCTAATGGCATTTTTTTGGAAACTCACTGAAACAATATATTAAATTAATTAACTTCAGGTTTTGTTAACAGAGTTGAGATGGCCGAGTTGGTCTAAGGCGCCAGATTAAGGTTCTGGTCCGAAAGGGCGTGGGTTCAAATCCCACTCTCAACAGTTTCTATATTTTGACAAAATATTTTTAATGGAAGTATCTGTGGTACATATGACCCTCAAATTTTCCTCAATCGCAGATGTTATGGTTTCTTATACTTTGAATCACATAAGCAAAACAAAGTTTGACTTTATAAAATAATTTGAGAAAATCCACGCGTGTTCATTGTGAACCTTTCAGGATTCAAATTTCGTGTGTATGGCAAGGCTGTTTCTGTCTGCCATTTAAAATTGTTCGAGTTTGCATTATCGCCTACAAATTCCCATCAAAGCATCCAACTTTCTCAAATTACGGGACCAACACGCCCCAACATTGATTTATCAATATCAAGCTTATTCATGCGTTTTCTACTAAAGCTGCCGTGACAAAGCAAACTCTTCTGCTTTACACTCAAAAAAGGATTCTATATTCAAAGCCGGCCATACATTGAAAGCATTTCTTTGAGTCTGAATGCCTCTCTCTCCAAGCTATCAAAGCTCACAGAACTTGCAATTCTCCAACCCCAGTTTCCGAACTACAACAGTCACGAGATCAACAATGTCATGATTTTATTTATACATGTATTTCAGGGAGGGGGTGCCAAAGACAATTTCTCCAGAGGTTACAAGTCATCTAAAATAATTTTTTTTTTCTCGTTTAATAAACCAAAATCTTGCCAGAACAAACTGTGAACATAATGACTAAAATTTTACCTGAGTTGCAGGAATATTCATCCGGGCAGAACTCCCCAGTCCAAGAACATCTTGCATAGGTATTATTGATGTTTGAGCAACGGAAGCCAGTACCCTCTGGATTAGCCCCCACGAAATGCTATCTTCCTCACTTAATGAAAGATAACTTAATACCTGGAACATGAAAATGAAGAATGAGATGAACTCTCATCCAACTTGGTTAAATAAAAAACATTTCACCCTACATATCAGCTATAGCACCCACATTGGATTTCTCTTTTTGGTTCAAAGCTTCCCACCAACCTTCAATCTGTAGCAGAGATATTTCTTGTCAAGATTTATCAGTGTTGTCAGGTAATATTTTTTTCAAGACATGAAAATATAGAAATAAATGAACTAAGATATCATAAGCTATGCATGTTGGTTGCGTGCATCTATTTCAAGTGGTAAAACATTTTACAAAAAGAAAAAAGACACCAAATAGCAAATCTTATTTGCTGCATTGGCAATCTTTGACTGATTTCTACAGAGTATACCCAGGTCGTCCTTTCTAAGAAGATAGATATGCAACGTTGACAAATATATGGCAGAACAAATTCTTACTGTGTCATTGTCATGAGTCCCTGTATAGACAACTTGATTCCATTCGTGATTATGGGGCAAATGGGGGTTGTCAGCATCACTTCCAAACCCTGGAACAAGTAAAATAGATCAGAAAATACCTTGGTACTCTGAATTAGAATTACTAGTATGATACTGAAGGATGGTAAACAAATTTAGCAAATAATCATTACCAAACTGGAGAACAGCCATTCCAGGTGCCCCAATGGATTTTCTTAGTTGCACTACATCCTCAGTGATAACTCCCTTCCGCAAATCACAAAAGCAAAACATTCAAGGGCTTGTCTAAGCAAGAGTCAGGTATTATAAAAAGCAATCTCCCTCATGAAACAAATTATGCGATAATTTTAAAACATCTCAGAATTCAGTTTAATAGTGTGTACCAAGTCTTCTGCTATAATATTAATCCTTCCGACGGCTCTGAAAATGGCATCAAATAAGGACATTCCAGGTCCTACCTATTATCATTTAAGTGATATGAAGCAGATTATAGTTGACCAAATAGATCAAAAGTAGAAAAAAATGACAGGATCTGACCTTCCACTTTCCAAACAAAGCTACTTTTGCTTCTGCATATTTATAAAGCATGCACGTGTTAGAAAAACATCTCACCAAGTGAAAAGGTGAAATAAGCTTAGTGCAGACTCACCAGAGGGAACAGCCCAAAATCCAGCAAATCCTCTAAAGTGGTCAATCCTAAATTCATCAAATAAATTCTGTGCACGTTGTATACGTCGTATCCACCATGAGTATCCATCTTTCTCCATGGAGTTCCAGTCGTACAGGGGGCTTTTTCATTAAAATTTGAAAATATTAAAAATGAGACATCAGTAATCTAAATGAGACAGGATACTTACTGCAATAGCTACAGTATAATATGTTAGCCATTATTAAAAATCATATGCAGGCATAGATGGTTAAAGCATGGAAAGATGAAAGAAACTAAAAATGACACGTCAGGGAAGATGTCTTGCTGACCATGATCACAGAATAAGCAGATATCTTTTAAGAAAAATGAAATATCAGTTCATGTTCAAATCAGGACAATAAGTGAATAAAGAACATGGAAAATTAAGATTTGTCACGAAAAAATATAAAGGGATTAACTTTAAACCTTCCCCACAGCTGACCAGTTTCACTGAATGCATCAGGAGGAACACCGCTAACTAAAAGTGGAAAGCCTTTCCTGTTCTGCCAGACAGATGGAGATTATTCTATGATCACAAGGTACAATATGCTCTGAAAAAATATTAGAACAGACCTCAGAGACATATTTTTAGGGACTACTAACCAGTAAAAACTGTTTCTTATTTGCCCAAACATCTGCACTATGATAACCAACATATATGGGCATGTCTCCCATTATGCTGATTCCCTTGCTCTGCGCATAATTGCGAATTTTCTGCCATTGCCTTTGGAACAAGAACTGTTGGGCAATAAATACATTTATCTGCATGCAAAAGTATCAATGACTCGTCAAGACCTCTTCTGGCTATAGGTAGACCTACAATGAGAAAGTATTGATGGTAATTATAGCTGTAAGGATTCTTTATGTTCTTACAAAATCACACTTTTGTTGGTAAATTTCTTCTAGAGCTACAAGATGCCGATTTCTTAAAGGTTCAGGCCAATTGTACCAGCTGAATGTGTTTAAACTGTCATCAATTGCAGCAAAATAGGCTGCATCTTCAAGCCAGCCTACAACATTGAAATGATATCACAGCCTCACAAAAGATAATCCTCCAATGAGTTTCTATAATACTCACAAGTCTTAGAAACAAATAATGTAGGTAACATTCAGACAGATGCATGTGTGCTTGTGCATATTCTTGAGAAAAGAAATGCATAAGCAATTCTCAACGTTCAAATTTTCCATTTCCTCAGTATTTTACTTATTACTGTCACAAATCCTAATGTTTCTTTCCTTCCAACTTCTGTAACACATAATCCTAAAATCCCAAAGCCACCCCCACCATCCAAGCATCTATAAGAAATTTACTTGTTTCTAGCTTGAATTAATTAACTTGGCCCAACCGTTGAACAGAAATTAAGGAGAGGAGAATTTGTAGATGTTATTGCATTTTCTTTGACTTTCCATCACCTTCTAAATTTTATTTATTTTCACAGTTGACCAGTCTTTAGATAAAAGAAAAATGCATTAAGAGAGAGAATAACACAAAAGAGGAACGTTAAGAATCCCCGAAAAGAAGCATATAAGCTTACAATGAACTTACATGTAACATCAATAAATTTTATCAGCAAAGTACTATGCAACAGGCATGCGTACATTTAAAATTAGATTTGCAACTAAACAAGTGTTAGTGTCTCACTTGATATGTTAGGATCCCTTTTAAAATTCTCAAGCTGTGTTTTCAGTTCCCCTTCACTCGAAATGAGCCTCTCGGCAGCCTACAAGTAGGATTTCAATAAGAGGAAAATTAAAATCAAATACAAGACCAACACAAGGACCTCAAATGTACAAAGCAGAGTAATGCCTGCGCAACAAAGGAAGGGTCACCAAAAAAAAAAAAAAAAAAAGGAAGTTGAAGTACAGAACAATACTAGTAGAACGAATCTCTAAACATCTTACTTTAGTAATCAATGGATCCTTAATATCAGCAACAACTGAAAAATTTACGCGCTCTGCATCACTGCATTCATTTAACAATAACTATAAGATACGAAGCTAAAAAATATGCGTATGTTATAAAGATAAATCTGACATTGGTTGAGGAAGTTCGTGTTTTTCCAACAAGCCATCCTGAACAAGCTCTTCAAGAGAGATCAAGAGCGTGTTGCCACAATTAGCGTCCTGAAAAGCAAAATGTCAAACCAGATTGCATTGAAAGCGTTGAGGCTCCACCAAAAACAGAAATCGAAAACCTGGCCAGAGTAAGGAGATCCCTCTTCGTTAGCCTTTCTGCCAGGTGGCACAAGAGGAAGAACCTGCGAAGATTTCACGTTTAGATTGAAATAGTTGGAGGTAAATCGATAATAACAAACAGGAAAACAACAGTGAGGCGAAGGATAAGAAAGAGCTCACCTGCCAAACGGAGCAACCTGCGTTATGGAGCCAGTCAATGAAGCGAAAGGCTTCTTGACCGAGATCGCCGATGCCATAGGGGCCACGAAACGACGTCGGATGGAGTAGAACGCCGGCTCTTCTGCGAAGGTGAAGGAGAGGCTTGGGAAGACAATCACCGTAGTTGGATGGTAAATCTTCACCGACGCTGAGTTGGGCTAAGGAATGGGAAGAGGAAGCATTGGGAATGGGGAAGGTAAGAGTGGGTTTGGTGGGCTTGAAGAAATTGGGCCACTTTACTTGAGGGAAAGTGTGTGAGATGCTGAGAGTGAGAGACATCTTTTTAATTTTTATCTTTCAATTTTCAGTTAGAAGAGACCTCGGAAATGAATTGGAGTATCGTTCAATTTACTATTTTCTTTGCCTTTCAGCAGGTTCACTCAAACGGAGGAAGTGAGGAGTAGAGTGGTCGCAGGAAACTCGTGACCGTAGAACTTGAACCACTTTCTCATCACTCTTTAACCCAGCAATACCAATCAATGTACCTTCGCTTTTTGAGTAACTGTACTTCGAGAACATCAAGTGCACTGCAATCTGCATCTTGGGATGACGATAATATGTACTCAAGTTAGCTTAGCTGACCTAAGCCAAGAATGAATCCTGATCGTGAACTTAGTCGCTCAAAGTATAATTAATTGCTGCTTATTTTAATTCTTTATATTCGGGAAATGAAAATAAATGTTTCCAATTAGTAATCATTCATTGTTTTTTATTTTAAAATTTATCAATTTTATTCCTATTTTTCATTATTATTAATTATTTTTATCTTTTAGTTATATTACTTAATTTAATCTCTAATTTTATTACACATTTTAAGAGTCACAACGATACTTGAGGTATGACATGCGCCTTGAGATTCACACGAAACTTTTTTAAAGGTATGACATGTTAATTTTAAATAAATATATAAATAAATTTTAATAATTTTTCTTTTAAAAATTATAATATAATATTATTAAAAAATCAAATTATATTTCAACGTTAATAATTTAATATAAAAAATATTTTTTTATTAATTCAACTATTAAATTATAATTATATATTATTTGAATTATTTATGTATTATTATTAAAAGAATCTTTATTTTTATAAATTTTTATAGTATATATTATTAACTTTTATGTATATAAATAAAATATTAAATAATTTTAAATTAAATTAATATTAAATTTTACATATGTAATTAAATTATTTAAAAAATCATTAAACATTGAGTATAACTTGCGCATATGATTTGATTCCTCTTGATCATATTGCTTCCATTTCCATTCTCTTTCATTTATGTGTATAGTAATTTCATTTTCTACCCATCAAATTCATGTTTGGATTATCTACGGCAAATTTTTTTCCATCTAACATTTTACAAGATCTCAATATTTTTGTGTTGAGAAACCTAATAACATGTCCTTTTGAATATTATTTTTATGATTAATTAGTTTAAAAAACTGTAAACTAAATATTTTAACATAAAAAGCTAATAATTAAGAATATGTTTTTAAAAATCATATTGTTGATATTTTTATCTGTTTTAACACCACAACCCAAGCAAAGAAAGCACACGATGGATCATTGAAATTTCTTAAAAGGTCGAGAGGATATGAATCCATCAAATTCATTTTATATCATTATTTATTGGCGTGCCAATCAAGTGTAAGGCGATTTCAAGCCATATTTGAAACCTTCTCAAATTTCACGTGCAAAAAACCAAAATTTTTCTTTGCAATGATGCAAAAAGCTAATCAAGCCCAAACATTCTCATGCATGATGCAACAACGCTTGGTGAATAGAAGAAATTAAAAAATGAATTTTCAAATTTATACTCAACGATATAATATAAAACTAACAAATAGCATATTATTATGTAATTTTGAATACATTAAATCGTATAATTTTCATAAAAATATTATTATATATAATTTTTTAATCGAAGTTAAAAAAATAGATTAAAAAAATTCATAACATATAAAAAAATACATCAGTACACATTGATTTGACTGCCCTAATCCTGGATCATGGATCAATCCTAACACACTCAACCACCACAAAGAACCTCATAAAACATATTTACAAGACCATTAAATTCTACATGAATCGTTGGAATCTTAAATCCTGACAAAAAATATAGTAAGATCAGGCCCAGTATTTCCCTCGGGGCTCAACATATAAAGAGTCTCAGAATCCTTAGACCCCACAACATGCTCAAAAGGAGCTCGCATATAAGCCAAATCTCCTCCATCTACATCATCAACTGATCTCAACGGAATCACGCCAGCACCCATTGACACAGCCTTCAGAAGCTCCATCACATAAAGGTCCTCTTCCGTCGCTTCTCTCTTCACACCATACCCACTTTTCTTCCCATTACAATACATCGTCCATAACGGTTCCTCAACTACCCTCGTCTTCTCCTTCTCTTCCCTTTTTTCACATTCAAGCGCGATTCTGACCATCCCCGCCGCTATCTCCTTCTGCAAAATGCTTGTTTGCATGGATAACTCAACCACCAACGAAGGAAGGCACCTCGGGGATTCTTGAACGGAGAGGCTAACGCGTCCTTTGCGGTAACCGAACAAGGTGCCGGAGACTCTTTTGCCGTTGTTGACGGCGTTAAGGGTCTTGTGGTAACCGTTGGGGGGGAGCGTTGGGAACTTGCAAACGGGGTTTATGATGGGTAAGGAGCGGAAAACGGAGCGGAAGAGGCGAACGACTTTGGGTTTGTGTTTGTGTTTGTTTTTGTGGGAGGGTTGGACGAGAGAGATAGTGTGTGAAGGTGGGAGAGGTGGTGGCGTGGGTGGTGATGTTGGGTCCCTGATTGCCATTGGTCGATTTTCACGAACCAGGAAGAGAAAATCAACGACAATGCCATCAGAGAGATAGAGAGGTTGGGTTTCAATGCTGTGAGCGTCCAAGTTTTGTTTATGTTTTGCGGCTTTAGATGGATCTTCGGACCTTAAATTGTCGTTTTGCTATATCTACCTTAATTTCCCTACACCTCCTCCTCTAACAAGTAAATTCTTCATGCTTTAAATAGCTCATCTTTTTATTCTTCTTCTTGTTAGGATTTTGTTTATATACTGACTCGCTTTCGTTTTCCTTTAAGATGGGATAAGTTGCATGGACCAATTATTTCCCCTTTGATAAGTTTTTGTTTTCTCTAACTAATCTAAAGTTAAATTAATAAAGGAAATGTTTTTTTTCATAGAAAAGATAAAAAGATATTACCTATAACAATTTACATTTTATTTCCTCAATTCTATCTTCTTTTTTTTATTATTCAAAAACAAATATAGAGGGGAGTGGGGGTGGGTCTCAACCTCATTCCCTCTCCTTTATATATATATATATATACATATTAGAATTATTATATATAATTTGTAAATTTAATTATACGTGTTAATTATTTTTTATCTATCAAAGGTTGAGTGTTCCTACTCTAAATTTATTTTTTTAAACATTTTTTAAAGCACTATATTAATTATCACACATTAAGCATTTATTTAAATATCATTAATCAAATTAATAATTTGAAAAATATTAAATTTAATTACTTATTTATTAATATATATCAAATTTTTTCATATTTTTAAATTTGAATTTTAGTGCCTTATTGAATTACCTATTGATTCAAACAATTTATTTTTATTAATTTACCGATCTATTTCAAAGCTTTTTCTCTCTTCCAGTCTCTTTAAACTAGATTTTAAATTATAAATTTTATAAACATTTTTATTTTAAAGAACAAAGATTTTTTACAAAATATAATATCATTTGAAACAAGAATATCTACAACACAATGTGATTAACTCTCAATGTTTTTTTTTTCCATTTACTTCAAACCAACCCAATCGATGTTTACAATTAATCGTGTAATATGAACAGACAACTTTTGAGGAATTATACTATGAGTTGTTTCCTTATATATATACACGTGTGTGTAAAAGGCCATCTCATATGTTACAGTCATTTTTTTCAAAACAACTCAAAAATTTGACTTTTTAAAACTACTTTTTATTATATATTTTCTTATACTTTCTACGAAATAAAAATATATAAACAATACCTTTTTTTATTAAAAGTTATATAGAGAGAGGGTGGGAGGGAAGAAATATGGTATTTTAATTTTCTATTTTTTAGCTTTTTTTTTTCTTTTGCTTTGCTCGCTATTTTGGTTCTTTTAACAACTTTTATTTTTCTTCTTTTTTTTTTAAATTTTCTTTCTTCTTTTGGGGTAAGTGCTTTTATCCGCTTTAATAATGGATCGAAGAGAGCAACATCAACAACACGATGATTCTTTGATTGAGTCTTGTTACTTGGACGACAAAGATGATAGTAATTCTAAGAATGATTGTTAAGTGTGTTCATATGGTGAATGGAGCACGTAACATGATGTTGGTTTGCCAAGAAGAGGAACGCGGCAACTATGGTAGTTTGTATAGTGGCTTGTTGTTGAGTTTGTGGAGGTATTTTGATAGTAATGCCAGTTACAAGATAGAAGGGGGAGACAATAATTTTAATTTTAATTTTTGTACATTGTTAAAGGGACTAAGAAAAAGTTAAAGAATTAAAAAAAAAATTAGAGAATTGAAGAAATAAATAAATAAAAGGATCAAATAAAAACATTTAGAAGACAAAAATAAAGTAAATTAGAAAAAAAAAAGTTAAAGAATTAAAATAATATTTTTATTTATGTATATTTGAAAAAATATATATAGCATCATTTGAGAAGCATAAATTTCATTACATATATAGAAACAAAGTGAAAAAAAAAAGATAAAAATAAATTTGATTAATAATTTAATAAAAGAATAATAACAATTATTTGTTAATTAACGTCGTTAGTAATACTTTTAAGATTAGGGCGGTGATTAACTAATGAGAATACTAGTTTACAATTTAATAACAACAATAACCATTAGATATAGTTTAATGGTTGTTAATTAATTTCACGAATACATATCATATGACATTTTATTTTTTAAAATTATTTTATAATTCTTTTAAAAAGCCTTTTTTTTTTTTTACAATAAAGATGATTTAGATCGATTCACACTTGATTCATATCAATTAATCTGGTCAGTTCTTAATTGATGTTTACTTCCCCGATTTGTGGGTTGTCCAGATCTATAACATGTTTGATTACTGGTCGAATAAGCCATGGTCCTTAGATAATAATAGTTAAGGAATCAATAAAATAATATTTTTATATATAAATTATATTGAGATGTATTGAAAAATACAATAATAAATATATTATAATTTTTTAAAATAATTCATTAATCAAAACTGTTAAAAAAATTGGTTAGCATTTTTATAAAACGAATATTACCCATCAAATTTTTTATTATGCATCCATCGTAAACCATCTCACTTAAAAGTAATATAAAAAATAAAGATATATATTTTTTAAATACTGCACTTTAATGAGCTAAAAATTACACAGATTAAACAAGTGGCTCTGTTGGTAAAACTCAATTTCTCAACTCTCATCATTAAACACACCCATATATAAGAAATTCATTCTTAATTGAGTCGACTTTTAAAAATAGTAAAGTTACATGCTAAGAAATGATCTTGGTTTCATAAAAATAAAATAAAAAGTGTTAAGGCACCAATAATGGAATTATCCATGCAAATTGAGTTGTTTCTTCAAGGTTGCCACCATGACCTTTTCTGCAAGCCATCGCTGTGCCATCACCTCGTCATCTTTGCAACTTGTCACCATAACCACCTCTCATCTTTATGCAATTCTTCGCTCCAAAACCACACCTCACCGCCTCTGCAACTTCAATCTAAAACTTGGATCCATGTTTTCAAGTAACGTATTGATAAAAGGGCAAAGGCAGTGCCTTGAGGATAATCACATGCACAATCCCGACAAGCACCTCGCATTTCTCTTTCTGTGATCACAAAATATTCAATTGGAGCTTAGTCAATCGGAGGCGGAGCTGCATGGCCACATCGTTATAATCTCATTCACCACACCTTTAAAACGCACGACCCTCAATGTCGTTGACGTTTTAAAGGTGGAAGGAGGAACAATTGGTTTCCGTTTTGGAAGACGCGTTAAACGGCGCGTGACGCATTTTATTTTTTAATTCACTACACGTTTGGAAGCAAGTGCCCGTGTGAACGTGTCGTATTTTCTTTGTTATTCTACCCTGTTGGCTGTGTGTAACGTCTATTACCCAACACTTCAACTCCCCCAACCTGTCTTCTCACTTTCTCTGTTCCTCTCTCTCTCTCTTTCTCTCTGCTTATTATCATAATCTACAAAGTAAAATTCCATGTGCTTAGATTGACATGTTCGATATAGATGACGAGCTGACAATAGAGAGCTTTAGAATTCCATGGTTGATTTGGATTCAGCTATGGGTTTTGCTTCTTCTCCTTGTCCTGCTCTTTTTCTTAGCCATCTTTCCCTCCGATCCCAACAACCGCCCTGCCACCGCCGACATCGCCACCGACCACCGTCACGTCATCGCCGACATCACCGCCCTGCCCTCCCCTTCTCCATCTTTGGATGACATTCAGCAGATTCAGAAATCGCTCGCCAACCATGGTTCAACGCCCGCTGTTGTAACGCACCGTCAACACCGTTTGCTGCAGGTCAACCTTTTTTCTTTTTCCTTTCTTACCATTTTAATTAATTTTTCTTTTTTCCCCCTCTTTTTTACATCCTTCTAACGAGCACTGATTATCTTTACTCGAAGAAATCCAAGTATTTGGCTTCATTTTTTATTTTTTTTTGTTTCGTAGAGATCTGATTGATAATTGATTGCTTAATAAAGTTCAGGACAGTTTTTTTCTTTTTTTGTTCGGTTTTGAGAATCTTACAGCGAAGGTAAAATGTACATTTTTTTTGTTTCTTTCTTAATTTGGATGAGTATTGCAATCGTTTCTTTTCTTTCTGGAAAGTTAAAAGTGAAAAAAATTGCTGCATAATCCTCTGCTCCTATTATGTGGGATAGTGTAGTTTAAATCAAATTAATCCTTATTTATTCAAGCCTTCTTCGATCTGATTTTACCGTTTTTTAATCTGAATTAGAAAATGGATATGGAGTCACCACATTGGCTCTCTTGTTCCGAGCATAATGCATTTGATATTGGTTGTTTATTGGTATATTTGGTTGATATTGGGGCCTAGTTAATGTGAGGAAGTCTCGTGTCTAGTCTGCAATAATATGAAAAAGAAAGAAGCGTGTGAGAAATTATGACTGCTTTGTTTGAGCTAACTCCTCAAATTATTGCTTCTTAAAGTTGGTATCAGAAAAAATTATTACACACAACTCTGATCCAAACTTTATACTAGTATATTGTTAACTGTCTGTTTTATGCCACCCAAGATTAGTTGGTTTCGTTAGGTTGAATATATTTAGTTCTTATCTTTAGCTATGTAGCTTGTGATTTTTGGTGAAGTTGATTAGTTCGAATTATCAATTTATCATATTCAATAAAATGAGAATATCCAAATTTTAATTATACTCCCATTTAGAATTCTGAGTGAGAGAAGTTTGGCGAGTTTTATTAATCATTTCATATATTGAATTTAAGTGATAGTTTGGAATGGAACCCAACGTGGATTGCTTCTGTTTGACAAATATTGAATCTAAACTTGGCAAGTCATGTGCCATGCGTGAGTTCGCTCACATGATATATTGCTTCTGTTTGATTTTTGCCACGTAAAAGTTTTGTGTTAATATTTTTTCCTCAGAGACATTAAATAGGTAGGGTTCGATTAAATTTATGAAAATCTATCAAAAGAGAGACAATTTTTACCTAACGAGATGGAATAAATCATTTCATATTAAATTTTAATATGATTATATGGAAATTCTGTGTCTAATTTTCGTTTGATAAGTTTTCATAAATTTTAAAGCCTTATTACTTAATATTTATTTAATATCTGTTAAAAGATATAAATATAGATTTCTGTAATTTTTCATGAAAAGATTCATTGCTTCTTGTCAAAGTAAGTTTCACTTCATGTGTCTTGTACTTTCTCCTCTCTTTGTATACTTGCCTTACTCGTTTTGAAGGTGGGTCAATGGTTGATCTGCAATATGTGGAGTGCAAGTATGAACATATTGTGTTGTTCTTTTTTTTTTTGCCTTTTCCCGTTGATTGTTGATTGATCTTAATTTAGAAGTTTTATTCTTTCCTATTGGTGTGGTCCAAAGAGGATATTATAGATCAATTCCTTCAAATACGAATACTTACATCCAAAGAAATATATGATAACTTGTCACAAACTCAAGTTTATACAAGAGTAATTTTCATATACATAACTTATATATTTAATGTTATCATTATAATTCGAAGTAGGCGATTTAACAAGGTATTTGCACTGACTTAAAGAATGTTTTCAGGGTGGACAGAACCTATTTACAAAAGGCGAGATAACGACAGCTCCAAGCATAAGAAGGGAAGAGATTACGGAGGAGGAGGCTTCATCATTAGATTTTCACCCTTGCCATTATTTTCAATTAGCCACGGTAGCATTTCTTAAGTGTTTCGGCCTGGATTCAACATCTGATAGGCCTTCAACACGAAAACATAGGAAAAGAAAATGAATCTGATTATGAAAATTATGTTGTTGTCACTTATGAAAAAAAGAAAGAAAAAAAAGGCAAATGTCATCATTCTGAACATTTTTCTCATCAATTTTCATTTAGCCCAATGTTCTCCACAATTTGGTGGCAGTCAGAGAAGAAAGCTTTTGTTCCTTGTAGCATATTGATCCTTGCATGACTTAACAAGTTAACACCACGACAATTGGATAGAGAAGCATAAAAAAAACTAAATTGCCATAGTTAGCACAATATGATTTCGATACTACCTCTTCATTTATTTTTTTACATTTAAAATATACAATTATATCAAGTCCAGCCTAAGTCGGTGACAGATGATTTCGTTTCCCTTTTAATATTTGAAATGATGATAGCCGTCCAATATACCTTGCTTTATATCGAGAAAAAGGGCTTGAAAAACACTACTCCCACCAAACCATATAATTTATAAAACCGTCGCATTCTCATTTCTAAATTACACGCTATTGGTGTCTATCGAATATGATGTAGACATTCTTTTTTCTTCTTGTTAGTAAGATTTAGACCTTCCTCTTTCTTATTGTTTTTTCCATTCTGATATGTGATGTCGACATAATATATTCGTTTTTAATATTTTGAACGATTGAATTTAGACTAAGATAGCCGTTCAATACACCCTGCCACTTGATATTGAGAAAAAAGTTAATGTTTTTAGCCAGCTAATGATGTTTAAATTACACACTGTTGATTTTATATTGAGTTAATAGTGTTACATTTAACAATTAGGTTTACGAATTACAGAATAAAATAAATATGATAATTCAATTAAGTAGCGTATTCAATCGAACATGGATGTAAAACCATATGTTTTATAAATAGCATTGCCCACTTTTCTATATTCAATTGAGTGTCGTGGGGGCACAAGAACAAATGAAAAAAAGACTAAAATCCAACCTGCTATAATTGATGAGTGCCAATTAACTGATTCTTTCTGATAAATAACAAGTTTTTAATCAGTATGTAAATATATAATAAAAATTAATAAATATTTTTTATATGAAACTATAATATTTAATATATTGATATATTAAATTTATGATATTTTATAATTTTAATAAAAAAACTTATGTGCAATGAATGTTTATTGTAACTCTAAATACCCGTGCAAATAAAAAAGTAACTAAAATATTATTTAGTTGAGAGTGCTTTGAACTAGAGGCACTCGTTAGCCATTAGTGGAAGTGAGTGCAACTTGGTGAGTCCGTGACCTCACAGAGGTCCCCCAATGTGCAGCGAAAATTCATTTAAGGAAGGAGGCTGTACACGTGGACCCATTGATGGCTACGTGGCTACACACTCCAATACCCACTCGCAGCTCATCACGCACTCCCACCTCACCATCAATCAAAGCAAGTACTGAACGAGGTTTCATCCTTGGTAAGATAACGACCACGCTCTTCTTAGACTTACTGGACAGATTAAACTTCACATCTTAGTTAATGGTACTCAAATTTATAATTATATTTTAGTTCTTTTTAATATAGCCTCTCGTAGTACATTTGATCGATAAATTACCAAATATAAACATTATTATAAGATTAATATTATTAGGAACTCAATAAAAAGAGTATAAATTAAATTTAAATTGTATAATTTAATTAAAAATATAGATAACTAAATTATTAATTGTGAAACATTATAAATATAATTATTTAACTTAATTGAAAAACAAAAAATGTTTGCAATTTTAAATGTAAATTTTAATTATATTACCCAGATATAAGTAATTTTAAATATTATAATTTTTATAATCATAAAATTTTGTAAGTAATCATCTATAACCAAACTTCAATTTATTTCAATAATACCAATGTTACCAATCATAAGTATTTATTTTGTTCTTTATATAACTCACATTTTGAACATTTTAGTGATTTTTTAATAAAATATTTTAAAATTTTTATGAAGTATTTATTTTTTATTTACTATTAATAAATAAAGATAGAAAAAACCTAAACTAAAATCAATGAAGGTGAGTTTTGATACTGGCATTAGGTTTAATAATATTAAATAAGATTATAATTGTTTTGATACGGACATTAGGTTTAATAATATTAAATAAACTAATTTTAATTACTTTGATTAATTTGTATAATTTAGTTAAAAATAAAGAGAGTAATTTTTATGATATTCATTAAAATCCTTACTCCCTTTATTTGGATGTTTAGAGGGGAAGAGAAAGAAAGAGTTTGAAAGAAGAAGAAAGGGAGGGAGAAGGGAAAGAGGTTAAATCTCTTCCTTGTTTAGATATTTAAAATTGAAAGTAGATGAAATTTAATCATATAAATTATATTATTTTTTTATATTTATTATTAATACTTTTTATCTTTTTTATTAAAAAAAAAAAAATTCTCTTTTTAAAAATTAATAATTTTTAAATTAATTTTTTTATTTTTTAAAAAAGTTTTACAAAAATTCTCACTTTAAAAACTTTTACAAAAAATTAAAAATTTTCTAAACAAAAAGTAAACCTTTCTAATCCCTCACTCCCCCTCCAAAATTTTAATGCATTAAATACATGGGAACATAGATAGGATAGGGAGTAAAAGTAGTCGTATCAATAACCAATGTGAACCTCAATAAACTTACAAAATTTGTTGGAAAATGTATAAAATTACAAAAAGACGGAACTACTAACTATAACGTTTGTTGTTACTTGTGCTTTTGTAAGATGCAAGGTAATACTGTGCATCTGATGCCATGGGATGTCCAAATAAACTTATACAAGACCTTATACCAAGACCTCAAACGGCCAAAAGCGGAAAACAACTGTGTGTGTTTTGTGGCAGGTGTCGCAATGCTGTCACCCTTTTGAAACCCAAAGTGGGATGCATGTAAGCCACACACTAAACTAGTGAAATCAGAGAGAGAGCAAAGACATCACAAGAAAGTGGAAGGGAAGAGAAGAGAAGGAAATATGGAGACGCCAACAGAAGAGGTGCAGAGGGAAAGACAAACAGCATGGAATTCACACAGCCCATGCCATTTCATAGAACAAGTTGTGAAAACTTTCTACAAATGCCTGGGTTTTGATCCAACTTCAGAAAGAGCACAAGATCCTCTTGAGCAAGATGATGGAGTAACATCTGCAACATCACGAGCACTAAGGAAGCCCCCGAGACCACCGTTAAGCGTGGGACGTGGGGGCCAAATCAACCGTTCTTCGTTTTAAAAATTTGTAAGAATATTCTATATATGTGTGTGTGCATGATTTTCACCTTGTAACTTCGCCTCAAATTTCCCTGTAATACATTGTGGAGTAGTCATCGCATTGAAAATGAAGGGTGGCACCAGAGGCTTCCTTGAAATTACACTGACTGGGCCCTTGCCTCCTTGGCATAGCAGGTTAAGGACTAGAGAGTTACAGCATTTGAGGCTTCTTTTCTTGCAAACGGATCCTTGTAATTCTGTTGACCTCTCTACTTTGATTTGTATATTGCCACTTCCTTCCGTTAGGACATACATGAAAGTTATGTTGGTTTATTTATATATATATATATATATTGCCACTTTGGTTTTGCATATTATCCTTGTAACTCGGTTAATAAAGTGACGAGGTCATCTTCATACATTACTGAAAATTCTAAATTCAACACAAGGAATTAACATGTTGAGAGATCAATTTATGTGCTATTAATGAATCGAAATTAACGACCTTAAAGAGGGGGTGCATAACAGAAACAAGGCAAGACATTGAACTTGCTAGGTGCACAAACAAGATGGCTGCAACCATTTGTCTCGTTTATTCTTCAAGGCATTCAAGAATGCTACTCCCTTGACATTGTTAATGTTTATCTTTTCAAGATTTATTTGGCTCGGGCTACATGCATTATCATGTTCATTTACGGCATGCCCAGATGTGACAAGAATCGCCGAGAAAATGAAATTGATTCGGTGCTGTCGTTCCCTATTTATTTGGGTAACTTGACTGTTCAACTTGTCTAAGGACACAGAAGAAACACGGTAACAAAAATCAGCACGATGAGCAATGATTTGGTCATTCGGCGATGGACCGGAACCCATGTATGTCACCACGGGGGTGCAACGTAGCTGAATTGTCACGAGTCTAACAAGATAAGTCCATGGTAACCAACAAATCCCTCTTCATCTTTGTCTAATTCGTAATAAAAATTTTCTACTCTTCAGCCCCTAAAGAATCTCACTAAAACCCCGGGGCCGATGGCATCTCTTCGTCCCACACAACCAATTCAGTGCTCTACAGTCTACAAGTACAAGCTAAAAACCCCTGTAACAATTGTTGGTGAGGCATCTCTAGTCTAGATCATTTCAAAGGAATTAAAGGAAATACATCACTCATCCGACTTGACTATTATTCGGCTTATCTTATCATTTTGAGCTTAGATACACAATTTCACAGATCAAAGGATAGTTTAAAGCACAACTTTGAGGCCCATGATTAAATACATGAAAATAGATTAAAAAAAGGTTATTAATAATAGTTCCGTAAATTATTTGCTCCATCTTATATTTATAAAGACATTATTAACTTTTACGAATATTGGACTTGGGAGAGACAAATGAAGTGTTAACGAATTTTTAGAGTGCTGAGTCTCGTGAATTCAATCTGTAGTCCATTTATTTTAGGTTCTCACTTCCTGTACAGATCTATGACTCTTAAATATATTTTTATTTTACTCGTATCACTAAGGTGAATAACGAAGTCAACATTAGAAATTGCGAAAAACATTGTTACAGACATTAGACCCTGTTGCTTCATGTCCAAAGGGAAATGTCTCTTTTGCAATCTGCAATAGAGAAAATGGCAAGAGTGCACAACCAAACTAAACCATCCATGACCAAATAGAAAGATCAACAGACAAGTAGAGACGTGGGGCTGAGGAATAGTGGTTCATTCTGTACGACCCAAGAAGAGATGCTAGCTTTGTCTACGTCCAGTGAAAAAGTTGAGAGCAAACCTTGAAAAGCGGGTGAGGGTGAAAAACATTTGCAAGATAGCACGACCCTTCACAATGCCCTCCCTCACGCCCCTGGCGGTTCGGGCTACCGCTGGGTCATCCTCAGTTTTCGGACTCGTCATTACCTGCAACGAAGCTATAACCAAGTAAAGAACATGGAGTAAAATTGTTTGCCACCAATTGAAATCATAGGAATATAAAGTGAAGTGCATTGGGAAGAACTTATTAAAATAGTATGACTCTTACAAACTCTTTTTACCTTATTTCAAATAAGCCTATTCAAATTATTATTAACTTATGTGAATAAATTTCATGATCAAATTTAATTACAAAACTTGCCAAAAATAAGTTTAAAAATAACTTATTTTAATAAACTATACTGAGAATCCTGTTCAAAGAAAAGACCTTCTGACTATTTCTATAAGTAAACTCTTCCAAACAAATCATAAATCCCTTCTATCATAAGAACTTGTTGAATGAATAAATCTAAACCATTATCCAAACCCTAGAACAGCCACTGATGGTAAATAACCTGAAGCAGAAGAAGGCACAGTCGTTAAACGTCGAAGCCTCTGCTCCGCCAACCGAACTGCACGTGTGGAGCTTCTAACACCTTGAGTAATGTCTTGTCTACACCACAAAAGTGAAAGTGAAATCAAAATCACAGGAACAAAACAATTAGACAAAAGCAAAATTCAGAAGTAAAATAAAATAATAATAAAAAATGCAACCCTAGATCACTGAGTTCGGTGGTTAAATCGCTGATTTCCATGCCGGATAATCGAATTGCGGCCATGGTATTGGGAAGCTCCTCTCTGGTGGCATCCATGAGCTTCTCCAGTGATTCTGCCGCTTTCTTGAAAGCCTTCACAGGACGCACATTCTCACAATCAGAATATTAAGCATTTCCAAATAGAAACACTGATTCCATTACCAAATCCAGAACACAAACCAGAAGCGCAGGAATCGCAGAGCAAAAGAGCCACGTGGCACATATCGCTGTCTGGTAGAGACAAGAAGCACGTGTTTCATCGTCCGAAAAACCTAAAATGAATTGAAAAACGAGAGAGATAAATTGGTTAGGAGAGTACCACGCAAGCAAGGGCGTTGAGAAGAGTGAGATGGCGGTGAGTGAGGTTCGAATGCTGAATCAGTGAAGATCCAACGGTGGAAGTGAAGTGAGACGATTGAGGTGATTGTAGGGTGAAAGAGCACAAGGGTTGGGGAAAGGCTTGGCGTCTTGTGAACGCGAGAGAACGTCGTGAGTCGATGTTGGTGGGGAAGGCGTTTTTCGTGTGCAGAACAACGCCTGCGTTTGAACCTTGAAATCGGAGGGCATTAAGCATTTCTGTGTTTGTGTGGATGATGCATACACAGGCACAGTGATACGGACGCAGAACACAAAGCACCGAAGGTAGTTTCCACCTCGCACTCTCCGACACTAAACGACCGGAACTAGAACCAGACCCATTCTCTGTAAAAATACAACGTTGGTCTCGGTTTCTATATTAACGGACTTCAATTTGGGCCCAAGAAAGGAGGAAACTTCGTGTCTGGGAAAAGCCCAATTTGGGTTTGGATTGCATGAAGAAAAGGGATGAATGATATCTTTTTAGTCCCACCACACACACACACACAAAAAAAAAAAAAAACCCCTTTTCTAGTAAAGTGGAGGAAGGGGCTGCAGAGGGGCATATAAGACTATAAAGGGATCGGGTTAGGGGGGAGGAAGAGGGGTATGTTGACTTTTTTACTTTTTTAAAAATATTAATATAATAAATTATAAAAATTTTCATTTTTTAAATGTTACAGTAAAAAATTAAATTATTTTAGATTATTTTAATTTTTTATAATTATTATTAATATAATTTAATTATTTTTCACTCATTCAAACAAATAGAAGAAACATTTTTATTTTATTATTTTTTCTCTTATTTTAACCCATCAAATATCAAATATTTTTTACTCTATTACTTATTTTTCTATTTCCTTTCCTTTAGTTTTTTTTTTCTTTCTATTTATTTAACAAAGACTTCATGTTAACTTTTCCCGGCAAAAAAAATAAAATCCCTCCCTTTCTCTTATAGCATCCAAACAAAGATATTTTTATCATTTCATTTATTTTCTTTCCTCTTCCTATTTTCATACTATTTGAGGATGAAAATTAATGAACAGGGGTTCATAAGCTTAGGAAATATATATATATAAAAAAAAATTAATAATGTAAGTGAGAGAAAAAGAAACTGCTGTTAAGTAAAAATGTTTGCAATCTTGATTATTTTCAATACATTAGGATCACATATTGATAATCATTTGCGTGAATATAGATAAAATGCACATTAATTGCATGAATCCAAAATAAGGTCACTTTCTGCAAAGGAGAACGAAGAAATCCAAGCTTTAGCCAAAACACATTGCTCTTGAAAGATGACAGACATTCATTTCTCCTCCCATAAGTTATCTATTCATGTTGTATTCTACTAAAAAGGAGTTTGTTGGTTCCATAAAAAATGGGTGGCTTATAGGAGGATGTTGATAGTTTCGAGTAACATTTTGTATTGATGAACAACTCGGATCAAATTGCACATTTTAGAAATACACGATCTCTGTTTTTTATGCTTCGCCTTTACCTCTAGTGTTTCAGACTTGCCTCATGTCAAGCTGTATGCTTTGCTTTTAAAGAAATCTGTATTATTTTGTGATGTCTCAATGTTGATGTTCCTACTCAGCTTTTGTCTTTTTGTAACAAGTGAATATGTTTGCCATCATCTTTACCATGTTGTTGACTTGACATTGGTTGCAGATTTGGGGTGTACCCTTAAACTGCTTACAGTGTTTCAATCTTTCCCTATGTTTCGTTGTATCTTATTTGTAAGAGAATCACTGCACTCTTGTCTTGTCTTTGTTGATTTATGCAATTCTGCTTCTTGTTTTTATGTTCATGTACGCTCTGCTATCCAGCCTGCATCCTGGACATCTCTTTATCAGACTTTCATGCGTTCCTCTTTGTTGGATTACTAATTTTTTTGTTGCGTTATTGAGATAAACTTTATCCTAAATATTTGAAGACTTGTTTTAGCAAGTTTAGACTCAAACACATACTGTTTAAACAAAGGGTAACAAATTTTTTCACTCTTCATATTTGACAATGTTACAGTGCCCTCTTTTAAAAATGATGCTAATCAACTTAAACTTTTCTTGATTTAAAAAAGTAAACCTTCTTTCATTATTTTATAGACTTATTTAAGCGTTTAATTCATAAAAAAATTACATAATTTTAACTTACTTAGTTCTTCTAAATTTTTTGTTAAAAAATAATTCTTACTTTTTTCTCGTACTTTTTTTTTAGTCCGTTTAACAAACATAGTCTATTGATATACTGGTAGTGTTAGTTTTTTGTTAGACTACATCAACTTGAGAAACTAAAAGTAAAGTACAAGAAAAAAAGATAAGGATTGTATCCTAACAAAAAATATATATAAAGATTATGTTTAAATTATACAACATTTTTAAGGATCAAATATTTAATTAAACTTTACTTTATATAATTCTTAGACTTATCACTCAGATTTTCTATTATATATATATTTTTCATGTAAAACCATACACACTATCCAAATAACAATAAAAAAGATGAAACTTACAAGGAAAGTAAGTCTAATTTCATAATAATAATAAAGTAAAAACGTAACTAACACTAGTTTCAAAAGAGGTTAGCGTTATTATCCTTAAATTATAAAATATTAAATTAAATGAAATTTGAAATTAATATAAAATGTCAGGTCATATGTTTTACAAAATAATAAAAATCAATAACAAAAACTATATAATAGCAATGTAAACATCGACCTTATGTCTTGATTTGTCTAAAAAACATTTTAAATAAAAATAATAATAAAAGCTGCTTCAAAATGAGTTTATACCATTGACCTTCATCAATTATCACCCACGTTGCTTGTTAGACGATACGACTGAATTTTCCTTTGATGTTACGCTTGTTTAGTTTCCTAGATTGTCCGTATTTCAGAGTTAACTAATTTAAGTTTTAAAGTCAAACTGACAGATTCGAATTTTTTTGTCAAATCTATTTCCAGCCAAAACTGGAAATGTGATCAAATGGACCAAGAAAGCAAATAGAAACGTATTCAGAACATACTTCTGCGTACAAATCACCCTTCCACCATGCTAGTAGATGGTCCAGAATATAAAAAAGGACAACTTTTCTTTTACCAAATTCTCCGATTGAATTTAACTGACAAGTACATGTTTTTTCAGCATTAAATATCTGTTATTAAAAATATATTATTTAATTCAAAATATTCATTTCAGTTTTAAGATTGAAACCTAAATTGAACACTGACTTGTGTAAAAACCACCAATTCAGAATTTTCATGTTACAATTATAATTTATTTAAGTATTTTAAATATGATAAACAAAACATGTAATCTGCTTTAATTTTAAGTGAGTCCTGCACCCCACGTCACCTTTGTCAAGGCATCTTTTCCACCCATTATAACTGTACTAGGTTTTTTAACATTAATGCCCGTGCATCTATTTTGCTCTACTACAGAGTTTGACGCTATGGCCTTCCAAGCCAATATAGTGAATAATGCAAGTTGTCAAGCTGAAAGAAAATTACTTTGATGATTTTGCCTGCCATTTACATCGCATATTTACAGCATAATACCCTCTAACATAGCCTACAAAATTCTTAATTCAACGATGGCGACTTCCTAGCCTATATGAAGAAGCATTTCACCATCTCGGAACAGTATTAACTCCTACCCGACTACCCCACCCCCTCTTTTTTATTTTTTTTCCTTCTCCCCATCTTTTCCTCTACATTTCTTGTCATTTTTTGTATATGGAGTCCACAAATAAGCAAATAATCAGTTACCGACTGGCTAACTTTCACCAGGAACCAAGCAATCACAAAATAGAAGCTCCTTAGCTCGTCTTCTCACCAATTCTGCTAACATCTGTTACTATTGCGTTGCAAAAGAAACATCTCTGGCAGTTCAAAAGGTGTCTGGTTATACAGCCATAACAAGATCTGTGTGAACAAGGTGTAATCTGAGCATCTGCTTCACATGCATAACATATGCAGCACAAGCTATCATCAAGATCTGTGTCTCCCACGCTATCTATTTTATCTTGTTGTAACACAGTGCGGCATGTAAGAAGGCTCAGAAAGTTCTCTAGCTGCTCGTATTTTGTCACATAAGCTTCCCCCCGAAAAGATCCATCCTGAGAAAATGAAAGAGCAAAAAGATGGTAATCATATATATAAGAATTGTCAATTTTTCCAAAGCTTTCTTTTCATTTGACATTATAACATAAAATGTTCAATTTGTTAAAATGAAAATCATCCGGTGATATTATGGAGGTAACAAGATATCAACTTCTAATATTGTAATAATGCAAGTCTGCAAAACTGTGAGGGATTTGTCCCAATGAAAGACCAATATGAATCATATAGTTTGTATCCCACTAATGTCAGAACTAATATCTCCTCGAGCACTTTTTGTTATGAATATTGAACTTTCCTGGTTGAGTTCATTACTAATTTCGCATTACATAGCACCAAGTTTGAAATAAACAAAATAAATTGAATCAATTGGAAATTACAAAAGTTCGATAAAGATTGCGTTAGAAACAAAAGGCAATTATCTGAACATTGAGGAATCAAGAACATAGATTAAAGGTGACAATAACTAACCCAGTTATAATCCAGAAGATACTGGAATCCATACTGAACGGTATCTGGGCAGTCCATGCTTGCAAAAACATCTAAAAGATCATTGTTTTCTTGATATTCTGCCAAATTAGTAGCATCCAGTAAATTTAAGATGATTCCTACAAGAGGTGCCAATATCATGCCTCGATTTACTTTCTCTGAAGATTGGCCATGCCGTCTAAGGGATCTGAAAAAGAAAAAGAGGATAACCTCTCATCAAAATTCAATAAATAAAAACTATTTTCAATTAACCCACATGGTCCCAAATTCTAAAGGACCCTTGAACTACCGGTCTCTCATTAAGCAATATCCATATATGGTAGATGGATAAGTAAAATTTTCAATACACACACATTCACTTCTGGCCATATACCCAAGTTTAAGTCACAAGCTTGGAACTTACAAGTCAAAGAATTCAGCATCAGCTGCAGAAGTAATGTGATTTAAGATAAATACAATCAACTCAGTTAACCTCCGCAGGTTTGTGTCTGGTCCAGACAGGAATGCTTGAGGAATCTCGTGAGTGCAGAACTCTAGAATCCTTGCAAGATTACACGAGAGATCAAATATGACACAGCATTTTCTTTGCTGAAATTCTATTACCTGCGAAAGAAGTGGTGCAACAATAAATTAATGGCATGAAGTACACAGGATGACAGGTTATATCAGACTCTGATTGAGCCCAGCAATCACTTTAGCAATAGAAAAACCTTCAATTTTATGCATGCAATGAC